TATCATTTGAAGAAAAAGCTTTTGCAATTAAAAATCTTAAACACAATAAAGCCTTTGGAACCGATCAAATTGAAAATGACTATCTTATAGATTCATTTGATCTACTTGGTGCTACATATGTTGAATACTTTAATTTGATTTTATCATCGGGAATATTACCGGAAGTATGGTTGACGGGCTTTTTCAGACCCATCTAGAAAGGAAACCGACCAATTACGATACTCAGATGTTTCGGTAAACTGTTCACACGTATACTGAATAACAGACTTTACACTTTTCTTGAAATAAATAATATATGAACCCCTGCCTTAACATCTTTGTATATGTTTAAACCAATTATTAAAAACTAGTAAAAGAAAACTGTTCTGTGCTTTTATTGACTTTTCGAAAGCGTTTGATAATGTATGGAGAGTTGGGCTCTTGCACAAGCTACTCAACAGTGGAATTAATGGCAGATTAATATCAATCTTGTGTACTATGAAACAATAATATGTCGGATTACTTACCATGCTACGCTGGCGTACACCAAGGTGAAAACCTGTCCCCTCTTTTGTTCTGTTTATTCATAAATGAACTGGACGATTTCCTTATTAATGATGGATGTACATCTGTGAGTCTTCGTAACTTCCCAGATATTGATATGAACCTATGTATTTCATTTACGATACTACCTTATGCAGATGACACAGTCCATTTTGCCGCAACAGCTCCTGAACTTCAACGTACTCTTAACTCATTCCATACATATTGTAACATGTGGCATCTGGAAGTAAACCTAGATAAAACAAAGGTATTTATATTTGGGAGCTGTCCAGCAAAATACTCTAAGCTAAATTTCCATTATGGAAATACTTTGATTGACATTGTAGATGATTACATTTATCTTGAAGTGAGTTTCAGCAGAAACAGAAAATTCAATAAAGCAATAAAACAACTTTCAGAAAGCGCCTCTAAAGCTACGTTTTGCCTTTTGAAAATAATCAAGAAACTTTAATACACCTATAGATTGTTTACTGAAAGCATTTGATGTAATGATTTCACCGATCTTGCTTTATGGTTGCGAAACATGGGCATATGAAAATTTACAAGTTATTGAGAAGACTCATTTGAAACTTCCTAAATTAGCCATTGGTTTACACAACTCTACCCTAAATTAAATGGAATATGGAGAGCTAGGGAGGGTTCCCCTTTATATATTAGCCGCTAAAAGGGTAATCTGTTACTGGTATAAGCTACATTCTATTGGAACTACTCCAAAACTGTCAAAATTGATTTATAATTATACACTTATCCAAGGCACTAGAGAAAACGAATATGACATTTGGACCAGATATATAAAAGGCATACTTGATAAATGTGGTCTATCTTATATATACTACCCATCAAAAGTTTAGACTCTCTAGTGTAAATGTAGCCGCTTACTTCAGTCTACTTTCAGTAAAGGTACTCTTTACATTGATGTATTGTAAAACAAATTCGTAACGTTGAAAAGATTATTGTCATGAGTTCAATAAATGATGAAACTCAGTGAAAATTGGTGAATTCTTAACAACACTTTACACCTAAACGCAGCTGTTCACATGGACGATATTTGCACGTGCTTTTCAGCAATTTGATGCATGATCCTCATGCAATTCATGTGCATACGGTTTGCAGTTGGTTCCCCCAAGTTTTGGGGAGAAATTCATCTTCGATGTAACCACATATATATACATAACATATAGTGAGTGCTTTAAGTGAGTCTAAACTTTTGATGGGTAGTATATTTCATAACCCCGTAAATGTTTCATGACAGTGGTTACCTTCTCAGGTAGAAACAATCCTGAAAGATCAATTTTACCAAAGTTGGAAAGTTGAGATAGGAAATAGCCCTAAAGGTTTCTGTTACAAATACAGTAAAAATCTCCCGATTTTAGAAAATTATCTCCTCCTGTCGGCTTATGTACATTTACCAATTTTAAAATACAGAACCATTTAACCATAACCTACCTGTTGAAGTTGGCCGTTGGCATGGCATTGATCGTGAAAATAGAACCTGCAATCTCTGTAAATCACCTGCTGTAGCAGATGAATTTCATTATTTATTTAAATGCCAAGCTTTTATTGAACAAAGAAAGAAACACATTCCCATGTAATACTTACCTTTCCCTAATCTAATGACCTATAAAAACCTATTTCTGAAGCCAAACCTTGCACAATCACAAATTTAGCAAAATGCCTAAACGTAGTTGATAAAAGTGTGAAAAAGACTAAATGATTATATTATAAACTGTAACTATGTTGCATGTATATTGTAAAATTATAATTGTACTTTCTGCCATCTTGCCTTTATGTAGATATATTGAAAATGTTTAATCGTGTACCACCAAGAGTGGGTTTTTTTAGAATAAAAGAGTCTGAGTTTGGTGATATTCTGCTGTTGGAGGTATTCAGTGACAATCCTAGCCCTGTGACATCTGGCGTTGTCATCTTGGAAGATGAAACGGCGGCCATGGCGTGGAGCAAATGTCACAACGTGGGCTGCCAGGATGTTGTCCTGGTAGTACTTGACCTGTGACACGTCCAGTAACAACATGTAAGTCCGTTCTTCCAGACGCAGTGATGCCACCTCACACCATTACAGACCCACCTCCAAAATGATCATGCCTTATGACGTTGACATCGTGGAAACGTTCGTTACGTCTACGCCAAACCCTGTTACCTCTATCACTGACTGACTGACTGAGTATAGTTTTACGCCGCTTTTAGCAATATTCCAGCAATATCACGTCGGGGGACACCAGAAATGGACTTCACACATTGTGCCTATGTGGGGACTCGAACCCAGGTCTTCGGCGTGACGAGCCAACGCTTTAACCACTAGGCTACCCCACCGCCCCGTTACGTCTATCAACGAGTCTAACACGAATCTGGACTCATCAGAGAACATTACATTGTTCCAACGTCGATAAACACCAAAGACGTCTTAGCCCAATGTGGCCATCTCTCAAGCAGGGGATGACACGAGGACGCCGTGCGTGTAACTGACCACTGTGCAGTCGATTTCTGATGGTCTGGTCACCCACTCTAACACCAGCACCTGTTTGCAGTCGATCTCTAATCTGATTGGCTGTTATGACACGATTTCTTAAGGCTGCAGTACGGATAAATCTATCCTGAGCCCTAGTTGTCGCCCTTGGTGTACCTGAGCGTTGTCTGTCGTTGTCGTTCAAACTGCGTACCACAAGGGTCTGTGTTGTGCCAACCTGTAGCATGCCAAGGGCACGTAATCTTTCATCTCGAGAAAGTCTGCGCATATCTTAAAGTTGTTAACAGAGTTCTAAAACAACCAAATTGATGTTTGCACATTCCAATTTCCTCTGTTAATGACGAGAAACGTCACATCCAACATCGTGCAAATGTCAGGTTCAACCCCCATGATCATCACAGTTATCACGTGCATATTGTGGGCATGCCAGTGCTGTGTTTGGGCGATATTTTTACATAAAATGATTACTCTCAAAGGATAAATAATACTTTCCTTGATAATGCATGTGAAATGGAATATCCCCTACTTTTGGGATAGTATATGTTCTGTTCTTTTGCCCATTCTAATATCGACATTCCTTAACTACTTCTTTTATGACATTAGAAATATTTGCCTCAAATATACCGAGGTTGTCAATGACTTCATTAATGGCATATCTGTTTACTGAAATTTATACTCTGCGTGTGTTCAGAATCGATATAATTTCCTGTACTATATGAGCTAATCGGACCCGACTGTCTTCTAATTTCTTAATATTTTGTCTGCATCAGAAACTACGCCAAACAGGAAACTTGGTGACTAAAATGTGCAAAGTTTACATTGACCCAAAGCGTTGAATTTAATCCTATTGCTTCGTACTTTAGAAAACATGCTTATCTTTAACTTGTCGGGATGATAGCGTTCCAGTAATTCCTGAAGAGTCATTATGACTTGTTCTGTGTTATTTTGGCACCTGGTTAGAACCTGCGCGTAAGGTGCTAAATCTATGACGAACGTGACTCACCATTTAGACCAGCTGGTTGTCGTTGCTTCATTGAGTTTTTAAAAACAATATTTTCGACATATTCTGTGTGAGTCAAGTAACACAGTTCATTAACGCGGACCTTGCATGGCCAAGGGCGTGTGACTCAGCAACTCACAAAGCTTACTGACCACGGCCGTGTCCCTTTGCTTCACCTCTTTCAGCTTTGTCTGTCTGGCTTTGGTGGTCTCGGAGTCACCGTGACTAGTTTGTGGGGATAGTTTGTTGTTGTTTTTGTCAAGTTACAGAGAAGAGCAGTATAAGAATGAGCATGTAATAGAGCTGATTCATACAGGTGAACGTCATTTAACTGAAAGTGCACATACTGAACCTTTGGATAAACGATGACGTGAGTGTGCGGGTATGGAGGGTCCCCAACTTGTGTTTGTTTTAGTTGTTTTGTTTTTGTTGGGGAATTTTTGTTTGTTTTTGTTTGTTTGTTTGTTTGGGGTTCTTTTGTTTTGGTTGGGTTTTTTGCTTCTTTTTTCGCTTTTTAGACTACATAAAATATTGAGTTGAAATCTTTGCCAATCTTCTGTGGAAGAATAATAGTACTATTCGTGGCATGAGAGAATTTCGTTTAACACCGTTTTGAACAGTATACCAGTTAAATAGCCCGAAGTGGTGTAGGTGTGGTCCTAGAATCAGGGCGAACCGGGAATCGACCCCACAATCATACGCTTCTGTCACGATTAAGGGACGCTACTCTCCATGGCGCATCGCGTAGCCTCAGATGCCTAAGCCACCCATGCGACCCGTAATCTTGATACTAACAGACTCTCACTATCAATCACAGTTTTGCGTGATCAACTTCCCCTGCTGTTTTATGGCTTTAATATTGCAGACTAAGACGACAGAAGCCGTGCTTTCAATGGTGTACAAACGCGGCTTAAACTGTTGTCGCATTAAATATATCAGATGTGACAGAATTTATAGGTCAACAAACTTACAAAACTCTCAATATTTATTTCAGTTGATCTCATTGAAATATGCATTGTCTACGCAAATATGCAAACGATTATTTTTGAACTGCCTATAACTGTTTACACATTAGGGCTGGACTAGGCACTGATTGATCACAACGTGAGTGGAATCTGGCCTCCCTCCGTCTGGTCGACCTTGCCCTTCAGTGACAGAAGTCCTCGCATCTGATTGGCTGTTGAGTCACTGTTGGCGCCATCAGCCTTCGCGTGCCAGGTCCATCCTCCAGCGTAGCCACTGGTGTACAGGTGTTTGAACTGGTCAACGATGTCCATCCCTGCCCCGGACACCTGGTTAAACTCGGCTACCACCAACGGCTTCTTAAGTCCGTAGTCGGCGAAGACGTGCTGAAATCGAGTACTTTATGATTTGACCTTCTGACGACCACATGTTCCTATCTCCGTACACCAATGCCGTAATTGCATGTATCAGTGTAATGACCCACAGGTGATCTTAACGCTACCTGCACTGTCGTAAGTCTTGGTTAAATTATATACGACTGTAGGTCTTAAATAGGATTATCGTTGTGTTAATATTACTCTTTGGAACAGGCTAGTGTAGTAGTCAAGTAGTCACACTAGACGCTTCAGTTTAATGTGGAAGAATTCTAAAGTGCATATCGTAAAGGTTTAGGCCATTGGTGAAACCTACGACAGGCGCGTAGGATGCCTTCTTTCGTGTAAGCCCGGTAGTTTGCAAAGCTTTATATTTAGATAGTATTGAGAGCTTGTCCAACCTTTTTTGCAACAATCATGTGTAAGCCCGGGCCTTTTTATAATGGTAGATACGCCCCTGTACGAGAAAGGATCATTATCAGTGATTCGAACCCTCAATCATCGGATCCTGTAACGACCAAGTTCCACCATACCATCATACCCAAAAAGCATACTTCTCTTTGTGTGACTTTGGACTCGACTGCATTCACAGCATATGGTTTCCAAGAGGTTCTAGATGTAAATTCGAACACCGGTACAAATATCTTAGCAATATCCTGTAATTCCGAGGAAGAGTGAATGTATGTAACTAATGAAGAGTTTCCGGTCAACAGGACTCACCTTAAAGGGAGAGAACTCGCTGTATTTCCCTTGCCATGAGTAGGTATGGCTCGAGTAAAACGTCAGCGTGCCCTGAAACCATAACACTGATGTAAACATGTAACTAAGGAATGGATGTTTTACGTATTCTTCATTTAAGTTACCCCTAACAAATATTTTTTATCAGCCTTCTCGCACTGTTGAACCTGGGATTCCAGGACAAACGATGTTGCGTGTAACCCTGTGCGGCTCTTAAAACCAGAATATGGCGTCTGTGAGTTCAAGGTCGTTCCTCATGCTATCAACCAATGCCTTGAGTATATTTCTGTTTGTTTACATGCTGCCAGGATATAATAGCTATGGAATCTCCAAGAAAGGACATCGTCACGTTGTCGCAATGTCGCCCTTTTATAGAATAAAAAATATTATGACAAGCGACAAATGAGAAAGATGTAGCATTATCGCGCTTTGGTTAATTGTCACACTTTTTGCTTGCTTTTGGTAAAGACGACAACTCGACAATGTCCCTCCTAGGCTTCCGTAGTGTAATACATAGGGGTTAAACTGATGCGAGTGTTGATGCCCAAAATAATTTTCTTGACATTAACCTGACCGAAACTTGAGTCAAGTCATTTGTACTTAATGATAGCCTGCCCTTGCATACACAACCCAAAGACACGCGTGGATCTTTATCTAACAGACACGTAACTTAAACGACACTGTCGTGTGAGACACTGTCTATAACACTCCCAAAACAGTGTTTGCCAGTGGATTCGTTGTTAGAGGTTATTTGTCACCAAGCCGAGCACATCTGCACAAACGGATATTGTCAGGTACAAAGCGTAATACCAGTGCAATATTTCTGAAATTACCATCTTTTTGCCGCCAGCCTTTACAAGGCACTCGTCTTTGTACAAATTGAAGCCTCCCCATTTGTCGACGTTGTCCCTGGCCTCCCACGACCCTGCGGTGACGAGCGCCTGGGGGTCAACCTGTCTGATAGCATCCACCTGCCAGTTTATGAATCTGAAGAACAAAACGTGAATTGTGATTTTTAAGAACTGACTCATTTCTGACTTACATTTTATTGCACGTATGGAGTAATAAAAAGTCATAATACACTTTGCATACATCCGCTACTGACTGACTGAGTATAGTTTTACGCCGCTTTTAGCAATATTCCAGCAATATCACGGCGGGGAACACTGGAAATGGGCTTCACACATTGTACCCATGTGGGGAATCGAACCCGGGCCTTCGGCGTGACGAGCCAACGCTTTAACCACTACGCTACCCCACCGCCCCCACACATCCTACTGACTGACGGAACTTGACTAGCTTGTATGCAGGCCCTGCGTATAGCTGAAATATTACTGAATGTGTTCAACATCAAGCAAAACAGAAGTGGAAGAGTGAGCACCCGGTCCGTTGTAAGTCAGTTAACCTTTTCGAACGAACTGAAAATCCTCGGTTGTTACAGTGAGTGGAACAGTCTTCTGTTTTGACAACAAAAGCGACACAAATCATTCTATAATTATCCGAAACCTCCATTAAAGCAGGGTCCATTAAATTCCGACTATATTAGAAACACGTGTCTATGTATCACTATCAGATAGTAATGAATCCAGTGTACGCGAAAAGGCGACACCCGTCACAAACACCTGCAAAGGCGAGTCAATTGTTCGAAACCAGAGACCCGTTTCACAAAGCGACGGTTGCCCTACCGAAATTACGCAGTTTTACTCACTTGCTTGATAACGGTGTTACAACCTACACCGAAACCTCGCTCTCACAGCAATATAGAAGTTGTTCATCCATATATTGCTATCCTTCCTTACTGCCCCAACTTCTAAATGCCTCTCAAAGAAGTTACTGAGACTGCTTTGTGAAATTATATCCTGTCTCATCCTGCATATCGTTGCCCTACGACTTCTTCATTGTAGACTTAGCTCTACTCCTGTCACTTTGGGGCAAGCTTGTCCGGGTGTACGTACTTCAGAAACTCCTCGGCCGTGTACTTCTGGCCCGCCCAACCTGCCCCGGAATTCAGCAGGAACTTTGTATCAAAACAGGGTTCCGCGTTGGCCAGGTTTGGCTTGATTTCTCCCTCCATCTCGTTGATGATGTCCCAGCCTCCCATTGAGGGCTCGTCCTTCACCGCCTTCACCCACGGGATCAGGGCATTGTCTATGTACGACTGCAGCTTAGCTTCGTCCTGGAAGTGTTAATTATGGGGTTTTGGTAATTATCACTGTCAAATTAATAATTGGCAAGTGTGAGTGAGTTTAGTTTTACGCCGCTTTTTAGCAATATTCCAGCAATATCACGGCGGTGGACACCAGAAATGGGCTCCACACAATGTACCCACGTGGGGAATCGAGCCCGGGTCTTCAGTGTGACGACATGTGACGTAAAGCACAACTCAACCAACCTTCAGCGTGACGAGCGAACGCTTTAACCACTAGGGTACCCCACCGCCCAGTTGGCAAGATAATGTAGAATACATAATGCATCTTGTGGACCATAAAGCAAACGTTTGATGAAATAACACCTGAAAATAATGAATGTTTAGCATTTTGCTATACACGAGATTATATTCTCTTTCCGTCAGTTTGTACCTTTGCTTAGTCAGCTGTTGCGACAAGCAGAAGAATTCTAAACCGGATCGTCACGGTAAGATCTGATAACTGGACTGTGCATATCTGATAACTGGACTGTGCACGTGTTAACTGTTAACTGGGGTGCATGTGTTAACTGTTAACTGGCTCAAGATAAATGTGTTACTTTGATCAGCCCGTCCAGCTTGAAGTGGTCGTTCTGTGCGAGAGCCCCGTTCCACAGACAGAAGAAGATGAGGATGTTGTACTCCAGGGCCTTCCGCAGGTACTTCTTGATGTCGCTGATGAAGGTGCCCTTCTGATCCAGGCTCACGACCATGCCAGATGCGTCAAAATGGGGAGTGACAGCTCCCTCGATGTGCACCCACACACCTGGTGGAACATACAGTGAACTACGGTAACTCTAAAGGCCTACTATGTTTAGTTGGTTTAACCATAGTTAATGATAATAGATGCTGCAAGAGGGGGGGTCGACAAACATGCCTGCTAAATTGGTCAGTTTGTTATACTTATAGAACTCACCACACCGGTAGAACTATAATCATTTTATATCCTTTAACATCGGGCTTGCCTATTTATGAAAACATACATGTATGTCCACCATATTGCCGATTGCCGAGTATTGATATTGCCGATTGCCGAGTATTGATACGATACGTACTGTTCAAAATAACTCAGTCATGTCTACCCAATTTCCACAGACCCAAACAAAGAAAATATCCCAAAATGTTAAATATCCCTGTATTGTACGTTGTGTGATACATACGAATAGAATTGCCGCCATTGTCAGCTACCAACTTCAGGTACTTTTCAAACTCTAGGTGCCTGTATTCGTAGTTGTTGTCTCCGAAGTCATAGCCGTAGGCTATCCAGGCCTGGTTGACGCCGGACAGAAAAACCTTCTTGCCGTTTTGTTCAAAGTCAGTCCCCTTCACGGTCAACCGTGTTCCCTCTGGAAAACAACGTGAAGAATATGGGGTCACGGAAAACAACGTGAAGAGTTATCTAACCTTATGAGGTCACGGAAAACAAGGTGAAGAATTATTTAACAGTATGACGTCACGGAAAACAACGTAACGAGTTATTATCTAACAGTATGAAGTCACGGAAAACAACGTGACGAGTTATTATCTAACAGTATGAGGTCACGGAAAACAACGTGAAGAATTATTTAACAGTATGGAGTCATGGAAAACAACGTGACGAGTTATTATATAACAGTATGAGGTCACGGAAAACAACGTGAAGAAATATCTAACAGTATGATGTCACGGAAAACAACGTGAAGAATTATTTAACAGTATAAGGTCACGGAAAACAACGTGACGAGTTATTATCTAACAGTATGAGGTCACAGAAAACAACGTGAAGAGTTATCTAACCGTATGAGGTCACGGAAAACAACGGGAAGGGTTATCTAACAGTATGAGGTCACGGAAAACAACGTGAAGTGTTATCTAACAGTATGGGGTCATGGGAAACAACGGGAAGAGTTATCTACCAGTATGAGGTCATGGAAAACAACGTGAAGAGTTATCTAACAGTATGAAGTCACGGAAAACAAGGTGAAGAGTTATCTAACCGTATGAGGTCATGGGAAACAACGTGAAGAGTTATCTAACAGTATGGGGTCACGGAAAACAACGGGAAGAGTTATCTACCAGTATGAGGTCACGGAAAACAACGTGACGAGTTATTATCTAACAGTATGGAGTCACGGAAAACAAGGTGAAGAGTTATCTAACCGTATGAGGTCATGGGAAACAACGTGAAGAGTTATCTAACAGTATGGGGTCACGGAAAACAACGGGAAGAGTTATCTACCAGTATAGGGTCATGGGAAACAAGGTGAAGAGTTATCTAACAGTATGAGGTCACGGAAAACAACGTGAAGAGTTATCTAACAGTATGAGGTCACGGAAAACAACGGGAAGAGTTATCTAACAGTATGGGGTCACGGAAAACAACGGGAAGGGTTATCTAACAGTATGGAGTCACGGAAAACAAGGTGAAGAGTTATCTAACAGTATGGGGTCATGGGAAACAACGTGAAGAGTTATCTAACAGTATGGGGTCACAGAAAACAACGTGAAGAGTTATCTAACAGTATGGAGTCACGGAAAACAACGTGAAGAGTTATCTAACAGTATGGGGTCACGGAAAACAAGGTGAAGAGTTATCTAACAGTATGGGGTCACGGAAAACAACGTGAAGTTATTTAACAGTATGGGGTCATGGAAAACAACGTGAAGAGTTATCTAACAGTATGGGGTCATGGAAAACAACGTGAAGAGTTATCTAACAGTATGGGGTCACGGAAAACAAGGTGAAGAGTTATCTAACAGTATGGGGTCACGGAAAACAACGTGAAGAGTTATGTAACAGCATGGGGTCATGGAAAACAACGTGAAGAGTTATCTAACAGTATAGGGTCATGGGAAACAACGTGAAGAGTTATCTAACAGTATGGGGTCATGGGAAACAACGTGAAGAGTTATCTAACAGTATAGGGTCATGGGAAACAAGGTGAAGAGTTATCTAACCGTATGAGGTCATGGGAAACAACGTGAAGAGTTATCTAACAGTATGGGGTCATGGGAAACAACGTGAAGAGTTATCTAACAGTATAGGGTCATGGGAAACAAGGTGAAGAGTTATCTAACCGTATGAGGTCATGGGAAACAACGTGAAGAGTTATCTAACAGTATAGGGTCACGGAAAACAACGTGAAGAGTTATCTAACAGTATGTGGTCACGGAAAACAACGTGAAGAGTTATCTACCAGTATGAGGTCACGGAAAACAACGTGACGAGTTATTATCTAACAGTATGGAGTCACGGAAAACAACGTGAAGAGTTATCTAACAGTATGTGGTCACGGAAAACAACGTGAAGAGTTATCTACCAGTATGAGGTCACGGGAAACAACGTGACGAGTTATTATCTAACAGTATGGAGTCACGGAAAACAAGGTGAAGAGTTATCTAACAGTATGGGGTCACGGAAAACAACGGGAAGAGTTATCTAACAGTATGGGGTCACGGAAAACAACGTGACGAGTTATTATCTAACAGTATGGAGTCACGGAAAACAAGGTGAAGAGTTATCTAACAGTATGGGGTCACGGAAAACAACGGGAAGAGTTATCTAACAGTATGGGGTCACGGAAAACAACGGGAAGAGTTATCTAACAGCATGGGGTCATGGAAAACAACGTGAAGAGTTATCTAACAGTATGGGGTCACGGAAAACAACGGGAAGAGTTATCTAACAGCATGGGGTCATGGAAAACAACGTGAAGAGTTATCTAACAGTATGGGGTCACGGAAAACAACGGGAAGAGTTATCTAACAGTATGGGGTCACGGAAAACAACGGGAAGAGTTATCTAACAGTATGAGGTCATGGGAAACAACGTGAAGAGTTATCTAACAGTATGGGGTCATGGGAAACAACGTGAAGAGTTATCTAACAGTATAGGGTCATGGGAAACAAGGTGAAGAGTTATCTAACCGTATGAGGTCATGGGAAACAACGTGAAGAGTTATCTAACAGTATGGGGTCACAGAAAACAACGTGAAGAATTATCTAACAGTATGGGGTCACGGAAAACAACGGGAAGAGTTATCTACCAGTATGAGGTCACGGAAAACAACGTGAAGAGTTATCTAACAGTATGTGGTCACGGAAAACAACGTGAAGAGTTATCTACCAGTATGAGGTCACAGAAAACAACGTGACGAGTTATTATCTAACAGTATGGAGTCACGGAAAACAAGGTGAAGAGTTATCTAACAGTATGTGGTCACGGAAAACAACGTGAAGAGTTATCTAACAGTATGTGGTCACGGAAAACAACGTGAAGAGTTATCTACCAGTATGAGGTCACGGAAAACAACGTGACGAGTTATTATCTAACAGTATGGAGTCACGGAAAACAAGGTGAAGAGTTATCTAACAGTATGTGGTCACGGAAAACAACGTGAAGAGTTATCTAACAGTATGAGGTCACGGGAAACAACGTGACGAGTTATTATCTAACAGTATGGAGTCACGGAAAACAAGGTGAAGAGTTATCTACCAGTATGAGGTCATGGAAAACAACGTGACGACCTATTATCTACCAGTATGAGGTCACGGAAAACAACGTGACGAGTTATTATCTAACAGTATGGAGTCACGGAAAACAAGGTGAAGAGTTATCTAACAGTATGTGGTCACGGAAAACAACGTGAAGAGTTATCTACCAGTATGAGGTCATGGAAAACAAGGTGACGACTTATTATCTACCAGTATGAGGTCACGGAAAACAACGTGGCGAGTTATCTAACAGTATGGGGTCACAGAAAACAACGGGAAGAGTTATCATACACAGATAATGGGGAATGTGTGGGATAACGCATAATAAATGTGACAAAGCCACCTCGATATTATAAGCCAAATCCATTTTTATCCAAGTTTCACTGTATTATCATAACATGCAGTTGACTTGCTGGCATCTGTTCACACATCATTCCTGTTTCCGTTTCCTGGGCTCATCACATGTTTTGATGTCACGTGACTCTAACTTCATGAAACAAGAGGTGTCTGAAATGTTGACTGATCTTTTGAGTATTTCCTCTTTGAAATCAACAACTGAATGTGAGAACACATAAGAAAAACACTCTTTACCTGAAATATAGGGGTGGGGACACGTTTGTCAAAGTCGCCAGTCTTAATGTGTACAATGTGTGAAGCCCATTTCTGGTGTCCCCAAAGCCGTGATATTGCTGGAATATAGCTATAAGCGGCGTAAAACTAAACTCACACTGGCATGGGCTGCAAAGGTTGGCGGCTGGAACCTGTATCTGAGGTGACTGGCTTTAAATGCATGACGTGGGGTCATTTCTAGTGGGCGGCCATCACGGGGACAGTATATGACTTGACTGTTATGCTCAAAACGTGACCATAAGTGCCAAATGGTGTCCTATGGAGTTGAATGGACGAGACGCAGTGTTTTATGAGTGAGTATGGTTTTACGCTGCTTTTAGCAATATTTCAGCAATATCACGGCGTGGGACATCAGAAATGGACTTCACACATTGTACCCATGTGGGGAGTCGAACACAGGTCTTCAGCGTGACGAGCGGACGCTTTAACCAATAGACTACCCCACTACCCCACGTGAATGATGAACCTTCATCGCTTTCGGCTTTCCTCCCTCATCAAGCCGGCGTTTCCTGACCGAAATTTGTTCAAGGCAGCATTAAACCAAACCCACTCCTTGGAAGATAAATACCATTTACATGTACTATATATTGGGTAATAACTATTGGTTACGTGTATATTAATATAATAATTAAATGACATATGACGTCCTCACGTACTTCGAGCTGGAGCTTTCCCTAAATCAGGTACTGCCATGGTAACGGGTTTTGACGTCACTGGTTGTGCTGTGACTGGTTGGTTGGTGTGTCCTGTGTTCGGGTTTGGTGTGTTCTGATTTCCTGTGTTGGGGTTCTGGCTTCCACCAATGGAACACAGTGCCACCGCTTTTGTGTCGGGGGCGTCACAACTTTCTGATATCCACTCGCCAACGTCGGAGTATTGACGGACAATGGCTGCACATAACGACCCGGTCACAGTCGTGGGATTTCCTGAAATCGAGAGAAAAAATAATCAGAGGATGTTTTTGCCTCTAACACCGAAACCCCGATGATTCTTCCAGGGGAAACGGATGGCGCGGCCGTGTGTACAGACATGCGCCTCTCATTGTACCAGAAGCTCATGATCGTGGTTCGAATCCCATATATGTTCTGAAAAGAATTCTTGGTTCCTTGTGTCTGTTGACATGCCGTGCTCTGAAGCTGTTAAATATCTAAGATCTACATTACTTAAGGCCATCCTTCCATATTTATATAAATGCAATATTGTCTAGAACTGCGAGATTCGGAAATTAGCTAAAACGTTCAATGAGTACATATCATTTAGGAACACCAGAACGAAGACAATTTGATTTCAGCATTTCGAAACCTTTATCCATGCAATAAATATTTAAACTTTAGGTGTGGTTGTCGGTACATGTACGTGCTTTGAAAACATTAAAGAATTTAAAATCCATCCATTTCATTAATACTGCAGCTTTTAAAACGTCAATCAAAAATATCTATACGAAGAATTTACGAAGGGTAAATTGGTTACCGGCATGCCACATTGTGTAGTCCAGAGAGGTGCCATCGGTCCACTTCCAGTCTTGTCCATCATTCTTCAGACCAATCCAACAGTTGTGCGGGGAACCTGGGATATTATATTAGCAAAGTATGGATTTGTTTGTAGGTATAATTTAAACATTCAGCAATATTATAACTGTAGAATTTTATCCAATCCAGTGTTGCCATCAAGAGGATCAGTCTACCCAAATGGGATACTATGATATTCATCATGAGTGAGCCTGACTAAATGATTCCGATTGGCGCCTCTTCTGACGTCCCTAGTCTGGGCTGTTAAAGTATGTGGGCGGTAGGGTATCCCTAGTGGTTAAAGCGTTGCCTCGTCACGCCGAAGACCCGGGTTCGAATCCCCACATGGGTACAATGTGTGAAGCCCATTTCTGGTTACCCCCGCCGTGATGTTGCTGGAATATTGCTAACAGCGGCGTAAAACCAAACTCAGTCAGTTTTAAAGTATGTGCTAGCCAAAGTCTTCGCGGGGTGAGCAAAGTAATGGTGCGAGGTACCACTTATGTTTGTGACGTGGCCTGAGTGTGGGGAGATACTCTAGTATTCCAGGACATACAAGGTTCAAGTGGCCCCTGGTAGTCGTCTGAGCACAGGCAGTTTCAATGTGTGACATGGTTGATTGTGTGTCGTTGTCACCCAAGCGTTAGTCTGGAAGATGCTTGTGAATCTACCTTGACTTCATAACTGAGACGCCATTGCAAGCATCCCCGTGTAATACAGCGAGAATATTGTTGACATAATTTTTGCACAAATGAATGCCAAACAAATGTTTCATATTGCTGGTTGGTGATATCAGCCTTTGGTGATGTCCTAGTACACCACAACATTTTCGCGAAAATGTATTGATATCCTTGATTTTCACTGATCCAATGAAATAATATTCCTTGTATTTGAGTGTTTAAGATCTTCATTCATATTTACCAGGTTCAATTACTCATGGAAAGGTAGGGCCATAGCTGGAATAGAACAAAACTCACTCACTCACTCAAATATCTACAACCATGCAACAAGATCTTGAACTTACCAGAACCTCTGCATATGTCCTTCAACCTGTCGTTATGGTTTCGGTCATGAATGGAAGCAAGATGGCCACCTTTCGCAACACATGCCTTCTCGGCTTCTGGGAAGCTCACCGGCTTATCGATAATTTCAAGCTGCTCTGAAATATAGTGATTATAGTATGGGATTGTGGTGGAGAGTGATAAACAAACATTAAAATCAGCGAGGCTAACCGCTACTCTTAATGATGGGAACAACCATATTGATTCAAAACTAGTTAAGTAGTATCCTAACAGGATCTGTCTAAGCCAAGGGTCAAACTGAGACGTAAGTGCTTTTCAATACTAATTCTCTGAACTGGGTCTAAGTCAATACTCTATGGAGCTGGGTCTAAGTATACTGTATGGAACTGGGTCTAAGTCAATACTCTATGGAATTGGGTCTAAGTATGTCTAAGTAACTGTATGGAACTGGGTCTAAGTCAATACTCTATAGAACTGGGTCTAAGTCAATACTCTATGGAGCTGGGTCTAAGTAGTCTATGGAACTGGGTCTAAGTACTCTATGGAACTGGGTCTAAGTATGGGTCTACTCTCAACTGGGTCTAAGTCAATCTATGGAACTGGGTCTAAGTCAATACTCTATGGAACTGGGTCTAAGTCAATACTCTATGGAACTGGGTCTAAGTCAATACTCTATGGAACTGGGTCTAAGTCAATACTCTATGGAACTGGGTCTAAGTCAATATTCTATGGAACTGGGTCTAAGTCAATACTCTATGGAACTGGGTCTAAGTCAATACTCTATGGAACTGGGTCTAAGTCAATACTCTATGGAACTGGGTCTAAGTCAATACTCTATACTGAACTGGGTCTAAGTCAATACTCTATTGAACTGGGTCTAAGTCAATACTTTTTGGAACTGGGTCTAAGTCAGTACTCTATGGAACTGGGTCTAAGTCAATACTAAATGGAGCCTCTTGTCACACATTGACCTTTACCAGTTCGTTTAGTGTTGATGCAGGTCATTTTGATTTTGAATGTTTTCCTAAACTTATGAATATCCAGTGTGATGAAAAGGGTCACTTATCGCCCGTTGAACTTTACTTGAACATCTTCATTAAACTATTGAAACAACTTACCTGCTGCCACAAAATAGAGCAGCGCAGCGCACAGTGTGATGACGGACCACATCTGTAACAAAACAATTAGGAATTTAATGATACGCAGATCATTGTTTCCGGCTGCTATCTAACATAAAGCAGAATAAGAATACTTTGTGCTCTCCTCGTACCCAAGAAAGCTAAGCAGGTCATGCTCACCCGCTTCGTGAGCACTCTGTTTCATCACAATTCATATTAACTTCACCGCCATTTTGCCTTTTGCGCCCAAAGCAATCAGCAGGTAATCGAGGCTGATTGAAGCTGGCTAGTCTCAGAGGTTGAAATCTGATATATTACCATCTGCCAGTTTGGACTGTTCGCCAGTATAATGTCAGAAGAAATGCATAAAAGTTGCAAAGCGTTTAAGAAGCAGTTTAAAGTATCCTCACCATTGGTTCCACCTGGAATGTCTGTGGTGGTTGTGCCTAATCTATATACGTAGGTATGACCTCAATCTGTTATCTTTCACACTTTAATCTGCCCATACGGCGTGGACATAGCAGAACTAGACTGTCCTGAAGTTTAACCAGGTTCTTAAAAAATAAGTCAGATTGTACTTTAATTATAGTCAATAGTGCATTGTGGGATGTTTCCCATGTTCAAAACCGATCCACGGTTATAAATAACATTAATGATCCCTTTCCAGTTCACATGGTTTGGTGTAACGTTCACTTATGCACCTGTAGACACGTGCCCTGCAGTCGCGTCAGTGAAGAAGGAAACGTGGTTTATAGGTGAACTCGTCTCCATTCAGGTGCTCTCCATTGCAGGTTTAATCTACTCCACCTGTCCACTACTTTGATGACCTCGACGTTGATGTCGGTGTTGTCGCGTCGTCTTGCACGGGTGCCGTAGAGGCGTAGACATCATCAACTGTTGTCGCAGATACAACCCTGTTGCCAAGTGTGGTATGGGCTGAGGGGCGGTTGGGTAGCATAGTGGTTAAAGCGTTTGCTCGTCACGCCGAAGACCCGGGTTCGATTCCCCACATGGGTACAATGTGTGAAGCCCATTTCTGGTGCCCCCGCAGTGTTATTGCTGGAATAAAACTTAACTCACTCACACTGGTATGGACTGTAAAGGTTGGCGTCTGGAACCTGCGTCGGAGGCGAGTGGCTCGAATCTATCGGTCTTGACATGGGGTCTTTACTGGTAAGCTGCCACTGCGAGGGCGGTCTATGACTTGACTGTTATGCTGAAAACGTCATCATAAGTGCCAAATGGCGTTCTATGGAGTTGAATCGACGAGAACGTCACGCAGCGAGGTACCAGACAGAAGCATACCAATAGCTCTCCATCTGTCTTATTTTCCCAAGGCGTAGCATATCGAACTTGTTCCAGAACGAATAATAATTCTCTGATGGCCAATAGTCCCATTCATCAGGTATTCAAATATGGCTCAATATATCGAAGACAGCACATACGAATTCGGTTAAAACAAATAAGATTGGGTATAGTGTCTTTCAGACTGGATCCAGTCCGCGTTGTCATTAGTTGAATAAACTGAAAGAATTGAAACCATTCTGTCATCCAAAGTACCAAAGTCACATGTTTAGTGCAGCGGTTCAACCTTTTCTTTGTGGACAACTGCAGAACCGTGCACCTCGCTAATCTCGTAGAGATCCTCTTACGGTTTGTCGTCTGCAAGCCAAACCTGAAAGCTGCGTTCTTGTGCTTCTTACTTCATCCTTTGTTGTTTTGTCCACTGCATAGCTCACAGCCCTAAGATAGCACTGTTCAGAGACGTAAAATAAGCCCCATGCGTAAAGAATAGCAGGCGGATTATGGTGGGGAAATTCCTTACTTACCTGTTGGGCAGCTCAGTCTGAGGTGGGCAGCAGCTGTCCAGTGAGATACGACGATCCTTCTTATCGTTAGAAGCAACCTCGTTAGAATCACCATGATCTACGTGAGTCAAGCTGGTGTTATCACCATTAGACTACTGCTTACATAAAAGCCGTCGGTGCAAGGTGAGGTTGATGCTGGAGTGTCCTCTTCATATGGAGTGTTCAGCTTGATGTGGCAGACTAGCTGCGAAAGCCAGTACAGCTTGGTTTCAGTAGTGGTGCAAGAGGTGCCAGAAAGGTGTTGAAGACAACACCAGATTGCTCAAGGAAACGTATTTTTTGTGAAGTTGTTCCCTTAGCCTTTCCCATGAATTTTCCTTCATCTCAAAGAGCAGCCCTCAAAGAGCAGTGGATGAGCTTATGAGAACCTTGTTTCAAGGCGCCAAATGGGTGCTTATAGCTCCCCCTTCCAGGTGAGAAATGAAGGCGAGGGGCTGGATCTGACTGCCTGGAGCTGTTCATGGTTGGGGGATATTATAGTTATGACTTCAACCTTCCCGATGAGTCTAGCAATTCCAGCCTTCAGTTTCGCCACTTTTGTTTATTGTTTAACTCCGCACTACGCTATATGACAGCGATCTGTATGTAATCGAGTCCTGACAAGACAATCCAATGGTCAACATCATGAGCATGGATCTATGGGGTCATGACTTTGTAAATTTTTTCAAAAGATTTTATGATGGGCTTGTGGATGATATTTTCGAATCTGTCACAACAATGATGTCCGAAGCAATTTCCTATTCAAGTATCATATGCCCAATTAACAAACAATTGACAAGCCTTTACATATGTTTACTGATACGGGAATACATGCTAATTATGAAGTCAAAACTGTACAGTCGAGTCTCCTTTCAGCGGAAATCTTTTATGGAAAGTGGCTAAAGTATTGCCTGGAAATATTGATGAATAGCTGGCCCATGCGCCTCTTTTAAATAGATAACAAACCAACATTGAACTGGTGTGAGTCTGGAATATTTAAGAAAGGGCCTGAGATTCGTTTCATATAAGAAGTGACTTAAGTCACCTTCAAAACTAGAGTTGTCGCTCCCATACAATTTGGTAATTTTGATTTTCCTTCTCCGAAACCACAGAGCCAGTTCATGATTCTTTGTTCATCTACATTATACATTTCAAATGTGGACATATAATTTCAATGTTTAATAAAGCTGAGTTTCCATGACAACCACTTCCCCTTTGGAAGGGAGGTATGTGCCGGGTACTGAACACACATAAGCCTTTCCAGAGAATGATGTTATCAAATTAATATAGATACAAATTAGAAGGAGGAGGACAGACATATGGGACAGACCTCTGTTCTAGCGTTTATCGTCGTTTTCAAAGACCTGGTGATTACAGATCCACTGCCATTTGAAACACGAGTTTGCACACACCAGTTGAAGTACTATCTGCATTTGTGATCAACAATTCAGTCTAGAAACTTTACGTGTGTGTAAAATATTTGTTTCGTACAATGTTGCCGTGTTAAGAAACATTATTGCGAAATTACCAAACTTCTTTGTTGGGAGTCCTTTGGACTACAAGCCTTGACAACCTTAAACTAACCATGAGCCGTCTTCACACTTATCGTAATGCCAAGGCCAAACCCTGCTATTTTAGATCCTTATCTATAAAAACGTCCACGGCATTTGATATAGCCAACCGATGTTGGTTTTCCCAGATATCTCGTTGATAATGACACTTTTAACAAATATGAAAGTCAAGGGCGGTTTGCGATCGTAAGAATTACGGGAATGGAATCTGGGTTCAGCATAACAGAGTTCGCACCTGGTTGACAAAACCTGAAATTTAAAATGTTACCTTAAAAAGGCCCTAAATTAATTTAAGGCCCCAATTATCAATTATTTGCCATGAAAAGGGTTTTAAAGCTGCTTTTACATGCACATATTTACTTACAGGAGTATATTTGCTTATGTAAGTAAATTTACTTATAGTAAGTAAATTGACCATGTAAGCGTCACAAAACGAATTTACTCAAGTAGGTATTTGTATTCCTGAAGTAAATTTACACCTGCTCCAGAGTAAAAGTATATTTACTCCTGGAGTATTTTAATCCAGGAGCAAATTGTTCTTGTAAATGACACTTTGATTTGCTCCTGTAAATATACTTTTTGCATCATATCTTCAAAGGGACTATTATTTCATCATTATTGTGTTTCATGCTCTTCAAAACAAATAAGATTAACTCCTATTGGTTAAATATCCAAGTGAACAGAAAGTAAATATACTTTTACTCCTGTGAGTTAATTTACTCCACAAGTAAATATACTTACAGGAGTAAATGTATGCATGTAAAAGAGCCTATGGGTAATTATCAGCTGCCTGAAGAAGCTATGTAACCTGACAACATATCTCTGCATACCAGTACCGAATGGACAGTACAAATATGTGGAAGATAACAGATTGAGGTCACTCCCACCTATATCTGTAGCTTGGGCACCAACATCGCAGACATTCCAGGTGAAAACAATGGTGAGGATTGTGTTAGACCGTTTCAAACCGTTGTACTTGAGATATGTTTCTTCTTATACAATACTGGCAAACTGTCCACATATAGAGATCGGTAAATATAACCTTTGAAAATACTCAGGCTGGATAATCTGCCGGAACTGATTTTGTCAGTAGAGAAAGACAATATAGAGGTGAAAATTATCTGAATGTTTCACTGAACATCAATGATGACATGTCAAGTGTAAACATGTCCTGTATGCCTTGTAAACAAAGCCTGCCTTATACGGATGATAATAGTGTTTTATAATAGGATGTTATACATTTGACTGCATCGAAAATAATGTTGTGCGTATTGTTCAATAGTTCGGATGGGTTGTTTTCAGATGTGGTCAATCATCACGCTGTGTGCTGCTTTGTTGTGTTATGTGGCAACAGGTAGGACATTGATTTGTTGTGTTATGTGGCAACAGGTAGGACAGTATTTTGTTGTGTTATGTGGCAAGAGGTAGGACAATGATTTGTGGTGTTATGTGACAACAGGTAGGACAATGATTTGTTGTGTTATGTGGCAACAGGTACGACAGTTGATTTGTGGTGTTATGTGACAACACGTAGGACAGTATTTTGTTGTGTTATGTGGCAACACTTGTGACAATGCCGTGTTGTGTTATGTGGCAACATGTAGAGCAATGTTTTGTAGTACTATGTGGCAACAGGTAGGACGATGCATTTTTGTGTTATTTGATAATAAGTAGAACAATGCTTTTCTGTGTTATGTGGCAACACTTATGACAAGGCTTTGTTGTGCTATGCGGCTATAAGTAAAGAAATGCTTGGTCATGTGGCAACAGTTATGTCAATGTTTTGTTGTGTTATTTGGTAACAGGTAGGACAATGCATTGTTGTACTATGTGGCAACAGCTAGGACAATGTTTTGTTGTGTTATGTGGCAACAGGTAGGACAATTCTTTGTTGTGTTATGTGGCAACAATTCGATCAATGCATTGTTGTGTTATTTGGTAACAGGTAGGACAATGCTTTATTGTGTTATGTGGCAACAGGTAGGACAATGTTTTGTTGTGTTATGTGGCAATATTTCGATCAATGCATTGTTGTGTTATTTGGTAACAGGTAGGACAATGCTTTGTTGTGTTATGTGGCAATAATTCGATCAATGCATTGTTGTGTTATTTGGTAACAGGTAGGACAATGCTTTGTTGTGTTATGTATACTGTGTTATGTTATGTAAGACAACCATGAGTTAGGGGGAGAGAAGATGCGTACGTAAAATGAAATGAGAGAAGAATGACATTAGTCCGGCGACATCAAGCCGAGTAAATATCTGTTTGTGATCGTAACACAATAAGATGTAGATAAGATCCTTTCAGTCGTAAAGATATTTCGTGAAACAGATATTACTTATAGAGATCGAGATAGTATTGAAGAAAGTGTCTGCAACTTGACATTTGGCTGACTCATGTCCAACTTAAACAGTGCCTCACTGTTGTGATATCAATATGGTTGTCCTCATCACCACATAGACTGTGGGAAGGGTAGCCATGAGCCTCGTTCTGGCACTGCGTGCATTTCATTGTTAGTCTATCATTCAATCAAATAGTTATTGCATGTAAGGCCTCCGGTCCATATACAAAAGAATTACATATAAGTAGGTTTTACATGTTCGGATATACACTGATCTTTAACAGCTTGTTTCTTAGAGAAATTGCATTTTTAACATACATGTATAGAGCTAGTTTTAATATAACACCTTCGTCCTTTGAAGAGAGAAGAGAAATAAAAGCAGATACAGGATAATTTGACGGATATCCTTCAGATGTATACTTGTTTCTTAGATCACAGTAAAATGGACATACAAAAGTAAAATGAATTTCATTTACAATAGCAAAATGACATAATGGGCACAACCTCTTCGATCTTTCAATGGACATTTTTCTTCCTTCATTTATCATGAGATCTAAGAATCCAAGTCTAAATTGAATAAATAGACGTCCAAGTTATTTTGATGTTATCACAGACAAGTATTTTTCTGGTTGAAGAAGACTCTTAAAGGTTCTCCACTATAAAACCCAATATCTGATGCGGCGTCAAGCAATACTCGCTCACTCCACCCCAATCCCATATCACTGTATTTCAGAGCAGCTTGAAATGGTTGATAAGCCGGTGAGCTTCTCAGAAGCCGAGAAGGAATGTGTTGCAAAAGGTGGCCATCTTGCGTCCATTCATGACCGAAACCATAACGACAGGTTGAAGGACATATGCAGAGGTTCTGGTAAGTTCAAGATCTTGTTGCATGGTTGTAGATATAGTAGACAGCAGGGGCGGATGCAGGATTTTTGAGAAGTGGGGGGGTGCACATATATCATGAAGTCCAAAGGTAAGGGGAAAATGATCCTCAGGGACATCTTCTTTTCCCTCCCCCACCACTTTCCGGATCCGCCTTTGGTCAGTGAGTTCTGTTCTGTTCTAGTTGGTTGTGACCGCCTCCGTGGTGTAGTGGTTAGAGCGTCCGCCGGGAGAGCGGAAGGTCGCGGTTTCGATCCCCGACCGCGTCATACCAAAAGACGTTAAAATATGGTACTTGTTGGTCCCTGCCTGGCGCTCGGGATTAATGGGTACAACAAGGACTGGTCGGCTCGGAGTCAGTATAATGTGTCTGAGTGGGGTATTCATGCTTCGATGCGGCATGGTAACTCAGTGGGCTAGCATTATAAAACCAGCTTAAGTCTGGGCTAGTACAAGCAGCTGCACACACATACACACGCATGCACGTCGTCATATGAGCGAAATATTCTCAAGCACAACGTTAAACCAAATTTCACCTCACCTCACATCTAGTTGGTTGTATCACGCCGACTTTACTCTGTGGTGTAATGGAGGCTGGAAAGTATTAACATTAAATAAGATCAATCAGTCTCTATTATCCGGGAAATCAAATTCCAGTAGGCATACAATAACGGTGAATATTGTCTCAATGGGTCACTGAGAATCAACGCTGACAAGTGTCTGCAAAAGCGTCAGCCCTGCCCTACCTGACATCACGAACCGAAAATGTGAAACAATTTGTATAAAAGCAATGTCAGCAGTATCCTCGCTATATTACTCGGGTTTGAGTATAATCGAACCTTGGTCATGAAGTCAAAGGTTGATACATGAGCACCTTTACAGACCCTCGGGTTACGAGGACACACAATCAACCAGGTCACACATTGTAACTGTCTGGTTCTCAGGTAATAGACTTCTTCTGGCCTGGAATACTGGCGGGCTCATAAGTATTGGTGGAGAAATATAAGAACACATTGTTATCAATGTACATCAGCCCTGTTTACTACCCCACGTAATGGGTACTTTACCTCCGTACTTCACTACCCCCTTGAAAACCTGGGCTAGAATTCTTCTTCAGCAGCCCAATCTTGTGGTCAATGGTGACAAACGGGATTAGGTGGTCAGACTCACTAACGTGGTTCAAGTACGTTATTGCAGCCAAGTTGCCTATATTGACGCTCACGATGTCAATCATCGGATTGTCTGTTCCAGACTCGATTATTTGCAAACCGGCGTCAAATGGTAAGAATATTGCAACGTCAAAAAACAAACAAACAAATCCATGATCTGCTATTATAATATGCCAGGTTCCCCACACAACTGCTGGATTGGTCTGAAGCATGATGGACAAGGCTGGAAGTGGACCGATGGCACCACAGTGGACTACACAATGTGGCATGGCGGTAACAAATTCACCCTTCATACATTCTTTTGCTTACATCATACCTTTGTCTCCACGATATATGTTTGACTGACGTCACAAGCTGCAGTGTTCATTAATACAGAGTTCACTAATCGATTTTAACTTCCGTTGTCTCCAAATGCGACCTTTCAAAGTTTTACTGCCATCTACACCGAAATGTTAGGGTCGTATTGAAAGAATATAAAATTAAAATTTGAAGTCAACTGTCTTCATTTTGTACGTATTCCTTAAACGTCCATGCATACTCCTTGGCATACTTGACACTTTTCAGCTATCGTTCTCTGGTAAGTCGGGGCGTTGGGGTAGCCTAGTGGTTAAAGCGTTCGCTCGTCACGTTGAAGAGCCGGGTTCGATTCCCTACATGGGTACAATGTGTGAAGCCCATTTCTGGTGTCTCCACCATTACTGGAATATTGCTAAAGCGGCGTAAAACTAAACTCACTCACTCTCCGTCATATGTCAAGGATCACTGTAGGACGTTGGTCTTTGTGGGCTTTTTTTATTCCTGTGTATCTGTGTATCGTTTTGTGTGAGTAGTATTGCAAAAAACGCAAAAACTATCACGTGCACTTTCGGCGTATGTTCTGCCTTTTGGAAAAAAAGAAACGTTCGTTGAACGACGTCCCCCTCTGCAATGGAATCGTATCCTTGTGACTGGTTGAACGTCATTGTTAATTACTGTCAGTTAAAGTCGCCTTGGCGATTAACTACCATAGTCCGTGGAATCTAGCACAGGGGTGTAACGAGTTTTTTAACATTGATTTTTCATGTAAACTTAGTAAAAACCGAGGTGTTGGTGTTAACATTTATTCGTAAAGTACCTATAATATGGCGTGTCATCTAAATAGGAAAGGAAAATCTAAGTGATGACGATCATAGGTATCCAATTTGGAGAAAATGTCGATCACGGAATGGTAAGAAACCTAAACAGCAAAGAATCATATCGGAATAATGATTATCGGATCCACGCAGATGTCTATACACGAACGGGGTATCTAAGTCCCCTGGACAAATCATTAGACCCTTATTTAGAAAGAAAAACACCTGTAACTCATTTCTCCATTTTTCATCAATTTCAGGAAGCCCCTCCACTGAGGCCGGGGCTGTGTGTGCCGCCATCGTCAGTCAGTACTCCAACGTTGGCGAGTGGATGGCGGAGAAATGTGATGCCCCCGAGACGAAAGCAGTGGCGCTGTGTTCCATCGGTGGAAGCCAGAACCCCAACACAGGAAATCAGAACACACCAAACCCGAACACAGGACACACCAACCAACCAGTGACGTCACAACCCGTTCTTATGGCAGTACCTAATTTAGGGAAGGCTCCAGCTCGAAGTACGTGAAGACGTCATGTGAATGGAATCTCTTTAATTATTATATTAATATACACGTAACCAATAGTTCTTATCTAATATTTATTAGTAAGAATCAAATGTCTTTCACAATGAAAAGAGATGTTATTACATGTATACCCAAGCCAGATAAAAACAGAACCCTTTTAAAAAACTGGAGACCAATAACTTTATTGAATTCACTGTATAAAATAGTAAGTACTTGTATTTCTAATCGTTTTAAAACAGCCCTGTACTCTCTTATACATGAAAATCAGACTGGTTTTATACCTGGTAGAAATATAAGCGAAAACACAAGATTACTCTATGACATTATGTTTGAGACAAAAAGAAGAGACATCCCAGGTTTATTAATTTTATTTAAAATGAAAATATCAAAGGTATAGTAATTGATGATACAGAGTATAAATTAGGACAATATGCAGATGATACTGAGTTGATTTTAGATGGTACAGAAAAATGTCTATATTCTGCTGTTGATGCAATTAATACTTTCTATATGATGTCAGGACTAAAAATAAATATTGATAAGACTAAAGCTATCTGGATTGGATCTAAAGCAGGTTGTAGTGATAAACTATGTCAGGATTTGAATATTGAATGGCGAAAAAATGAATTTGTTGTTCTGGGAATTATACTTAATGCTGAACTGAAGGATCTATGGATCATCAATACAAAGAAAAAACTAGAGGAAATTAACAGATTATTGGCAGTGTGGAGAAAAAGACATTTAACATTAATCGGCAAAATCACTGTTATCAAGACACTAGCTATGTCAAAATTAGTTCATATTTTCAATACTTTACCAAACCCACCCCAAGATTTTGTTACCTCCCTTGATAAAATATTTTTCAAATTCATCTGGACTGACAAAACTGACAAAATTAAGAGAAGTACCTTGAAAAAGATTATATACATGGGGGTTTAAGAATTATCGACATAAAACCTTTTATCAATGCCTTGAAACTATCCACTTTGAGACTTTATTTAAGAAAATCATCAATATGTAATCCATGCAATTTTCCGTTACATGATATCATGAAATTTGGTGCTAATTTCTATAATATTGCTGATATTAATAATCCATATTGGAAAGATGTTTTAAGAGCATGGAACATGTATTGTACTAACATTACCATAGAGGAAAACAACATTGATGAAATTTTAGCACAGCCATTGTGGTTTAATCATAATTTTAAATACCAAAATCATTATATCAGTCATTGGGCAAATAAAGGACTATTAACCATCAAAGACATGTGTGATGAAGAGGTTTGATGTCTTTTTGAATCTTTAAAAAGTAAATATGCAATAAAAGGGACAGAATTAGATCATAGATATGTTCTAAATAATATACCTGAATCATGGAAGAATACAATAACAAATCACAGGTGTATAAATAACTATGACATGAATCTTAACTCCTATCAAAAGAATTTTATGAAATCATTACAAGGATCAAGATTATTTTATGATATATTGTTATTTAACAATAATAACCGTCATATGAGTCATAAATGGGAGAATGTGTTTGAAGATACTGACTTTGATTGGCCAATGATTTTTAAGTCTTACAGACAAGACATTAATGATGTAAAACTCTTAGAGTTCCAATATAAATTTTTACACGGTATTATCTATACCAAAAAGGAACTTTTAAAAATGAACCTTATCCAGAGCGCCTCATGCAGCTTTTGTTAAGATGAAGGTGAAAACTTGTGCCATGTTTACTGGGAATGTAGTGAAACTAAGAAGTTTTGGAAGGATCTTCAAATTTGGATTAACACTTATTTGATACAAAAAGTCAATTTGACAAAATATGTGGTGTATTTTGGCTCCTTAAGTAAAAACCCATTACTTAATCATATAATCATTTCAGCAAAAAGACAGATCTATGTCTCTTCTTTGAAAAACAACATTCAAAAATGCGATAACTTTATAAAGACTTTAAAAGATATTTTTTTCTGTTGAAAGCTTCATTGCCAAAAGGAAGAATAAAATGAAGAAATTTGCTAATAAATGGCATCCATTATTCCCAGTATTCAAACCTGACCTGTGTATGAAGCAACCGCTTCTTTTGTAAAATCTTGATCTGTTTCCCCTTTTGAAAAATTATCTTTGTTTTAGTTATATATTGACTAGTTAGTTAATGGCACTGGTGTAACTTTGGGGAACACATATTATAGGTTGGATATAAGACACAATATACAACACAATAAGCCGGATGTTGCGCAATATATAACACAACACATTGGATGTGACACAAGACACAGCATGACATGTCAGAATAATTGTGGCACTATATACAACATATGTTAGATAAGACATATTTACAATGTATATCAGATAATACACTATGTACAACACGATAGATTGGCCGTGACGCTATATACAATATGCTATGTCGGGTGTTGCACTATATACAGTATGATATGTCAGATGTGGCGCTATATACAACATGGTATGTCAGATGTGGCGCCGTATACAACAAAATATGTTGAATGTGTATGCAATATACAACATGATATGTTGGATGTGACACAATATACAGCTTGATATATCAGATGTGGTGCTATAAACAATATGATATGTTCATATATGATGCTATTTACAACATGACATATGGGATGTAATACTATATACTTATGATATATCAGATATGACATTACATCCAACTTATGATGGAAGACTTTACTTTTTCATGAAAATAAAAAAAAATTGATTGAAAAAAATAAATAGATAAATAGTTCTTATCTAATATTTAGTACATGTAAATGGAATTTGTGTTCAAGGAGTGAGTTTGGTTAAACGCTGCCTCGAACAAAATTCGGTCACGAAGCGTTGGCTTGATGTGAATGGAAAGCACGAAAAGTGATAAAGGTTCAGCACTCACGCGAGTATCTGGTACATGTGTATGATAGTTGTTTTCAAAGGAGTGAGTTTGTTTTTCACGAACCTACACTATTAAATACTTCTTCCCGTTGTTTTCCATGACTCCATACTCTTAGATAACTCTTCACGTTATTTTCCGTGACCCCATACTATTAAATACCTCTTCACGTTGTGTCCCGTGACCACATACTGTTAGATAACACTTCACGTTGTTTTCCGTGACCCCATACTGTTAGATAACTCTTCACGTTGTGTCCCGTGACCACATACTGTTAGATAACACTTCACGTTGTTTTCCGTGACCCCATACTGTTAGATAACTTTTCACGTTGTTTTCCGTGATCCCATACTGGTAGAAAACTCTTCACGTTGTTTTCTGTGACCCTACACTATTAAATACTTCTTCCCGTTGTTTTCCGTGACCTCATACTGTTAGATAACTCTTCACGTTGTTTTCCGTGACCCCATACTATTAGATAACTCTTCAAGTTGTTTTCCATGAACCGATACTGTTAGATAACTCTTCACGTTGTTTTCCGTGACCTCATACTGTTAGATAACTCTTCACGTTGTTTTCCATGACCCCATACTGTTAGATAACTCTTCACGTTGTTTTCCGTGACCCCATACTGTTAGATAATTCTTCACGTTGTTTTCCGTGACCCCATACTGTTAGATAACTCTTCACGTTGTTTTCCGTGACCCCATACTGTTAGATAACTCTTCACGTTGTTTTCCGTGACCCCATACTGTTACATAACTCTTCCCGTTGTTTTCCGTGACCCCATACTGTTAGATAACTCTTCATGTTGTTTTCCATGACCCCATACTGTTAGATAACTCTTCACGTTGTTTTCCGTGACCCCATACTGTTAGATAACTCTTCACGTTGTTTTCCGTGACCCCATACTGTTAGATAACTCTTCACGTTGTTTTCCGTGACCCCATACTGTTAGATAATTCTTCACGTTGTTTTCCGTGACCCCATACTGTAAGATAACTCTTCACGTTGTTTTCCGTGACCCCATACTGTTAGATAACTCTTCACGTTGTTTTCCGTGACCCCATACTGTTAGATAACTCTTCCCGTTGTTTTCCGTGACCCCATACTGTTAGATAACTCTTCACGTTGTTTTCCATGACCCCATACTGTAAGATAACTCTTCACGTTGTTGTCCGTGACCCCATACTGTTAGATAACCTATCCCGTTGTTTTCCGTGACCACATACTGTTAGATAACCACGTTGTTTTCCGTGACCCCATACTGTTAGATAACTCTTCACGTTGTTTTCCGTGACCCCATACTGTTAGATAACTCTTCACGTTGTTGTCCGTGACCCCATACTGTTAGATAACTCTTCACGTTGTTGTCCGTGACCCCATACTGTTAGATAACTCTTCACGTTGTTTTCCGTGACCCCATACTGTTAGATAACTCTTCACGTTGTTTTCCGTGACCCCATACTGTTAGATAACTCTTCACGTTGTTGTCCGTGACCACATACTGTTAGATAACTCTTCACGTTGTTTTCCGTGACCCCATACTGTTAGATAACTCTTCACGTTGTTTTCCGTGACCCCATACTGTTAGATAACTCTTCACGTTGTTGTCCGTGACCCCATACTGTTAGATAACTCTTCACGTTGTTTTCCGTGACCACATACTGTTAGATAACTCTTCACGTTGTTTTCCGTGACCCCATACTGTTAGATAACTCTTCACGTTGTTTTCCGTGACCCCATACTGTTAGATAACTCTTCACGTTGTTGTCCGTGACCCCATACTGTTAGATAACTCTTCACGTTGTTTTCCGTGACCCCATACTGTTAGATAACTCTACAAAGTTGTTTTCCGTGACTCCATACTGTTAGATAACTCTTCACGTTGTTTTCCGTGACCCCATACTGTTAGATAACTCTTCACGTTGTTTTCCGTGACCCCATACTGGTAGATAACTCTTCACGTTGTTTTCCGTGACCCCATACTGTTAGATAACTCTTCACGTTGTTTTCCGTGACCCCATACTGTTAGATAACTCTTCACGTTGTTTTCCGTGACCCCATACTGTTAGATAACTCTTCACGTTGTTTTCCGTGACCCCATACTGTTAGATAACTCTTCACGTTGTTGTCCGTGACCCCATACTGTTAGATAACTCTTCACGTTGTTTTCCGTGACCCCATACTGTTAGATAACTCTTCACGTTGTTTTCCGTGACTCCATACTGTTAGATAACTCTTCACGTTGTTTTCCGTGACCCCATACTGTTAGATAACTCTTCACGTTGTTTTCCGTGATCCCATACTGGTAGAAAACTCTTCACGTTGTTTTCCGTGATCCCATACAGTTAGATAACTCTTCACGTTGTTTTCCGTGACCCCATACTGTTAGATAACTCTTCACGTTGTTTTCCGTGACCCCATACTGTTAGATAACTCTTCACGTTGTTTTCCGTGACCCCATACTGTTAGATAACTCTTCACGTTGTTTTCCGTGATCCCATACTCTTCACGTTGTTTTCCGTGATCCCATACAGTTAGATAACTCTTCACGTTGTTTTCCGTGACCCCATACAGTTGGATAACTCTTCACGTTAGTGACCCATACTGTTAGATATTTCTTCCGTTGTTTTCAGTGACCCCATACTGTTAGATAACTCTTCACGTTGTTTTTCCGTGACCCGATACTGTTGGTGACTCTTCACGTTGTTTTTCCGTGACCCGATACTGTTAGATAACTCTTCACGTTGTTTTCCGTGACCTCATACTGTTAATAAATTCTTCCCGTTGTTTTCTCGTGATGATCCATACTGGTAGATAAACTCTTCCCGTTGTTTTCCGTGACCCTGGGTACACTGTTAAATAACTCTTCGTTGTTTTCCGTGACCTATTACTGATAGATAACTCTTCACGTTGTTTTCCGTGACTTCATACTGTTAGATGACTTCTTCACGTTGTTTTCCGTGACCTCATGCTGGTAGATAACTTATTGTTTTCCGTGACCCGATACTGTTAGATAACTTTTCGTGACCTCATACTGTTAGATAACTCTTCCGTTGTTTTCCGTGACTCCATACTGTTAGATAACTCTTCACGTTCTTTTAGCGTGACCCTATACTGTTAGATAACTCTTCACGTTGTTTCCATGACCCCATACTGTAGACCCCATACGTTGTTAGATAACTCTTCTTCCGTTGTTTTCCGTGACCCCATACTGTTAGATAACTCTTCACGTTGTTTTCCATGACCCCATACTGTTAGATAACTCTTCACGTTGTTTTCCGTGACCCCATACTGTTAGATAACTCTTCACGTTGTTTTCCGTGACCCCATACTGTTAGATAACTCTTCACGTTGTTTTCCGTGACCCCATACTGTTAGATAACTCTTCACGTTGTTTTCCGTGACCCCATACTGTTAGATAACTCTTCACGTTGTTTTCCGTGACCTCATACTGTTAGATAACTCTTCACGTTGTTTTCCGTGACCCCATACTGTTAGATAACTCTTCACGTTGTTTTCCGTGATCCCATACTGGTAGAAAACTCTTCACGTTGTTTTCCGTGATCCCATACAGTTAGATAACTCTTCACGTTGTTTTCCGTGACTCCATACAGTTAGATAACTCTTCACGTTGTTTTCCGTGACCCCATACTGTTAGATAATTCTTCACGTTGTTTTCCGTGACCCCATACTGTTAGATAACTCTTCACGTTGTTTTCCGTGACCCCATACTGTTAGATAATTCTTCACGTTGTTTTCCGTGACCTCATACTGGTAGATAACTCTTCCCGTTGTTTTCCGTGATCCCATACTGGTAGAAAACTCTTCACGTTGTTTTCTGTGACCCTACACTATTAAATACTTCTTCCCGTTGTTTTCCGTGACCCCATACTGTTAGATAACTCTTCACGTTGTTTTCCGTGACTTCATACTGTTAGATGACTCTTCACGTTGTTTTCCGTGACCCCATACTGTTAGATAATTCTTCACGTTGTTTTCTGTGACCCAATACTGTTAGATAACTCTTCACGTTGTTTTCTGTGACCCCATACTGTTAGATAACTCTTCACGTTGTTTTCCGTGACTCCATACTGTTAGATAACTCTTCACGTTCTTTTCCATGGCCCCATACTGTTAGATAATTCTTCGCGTTGTTTTCCGTGACTCCATACTGTTAGATAACTCTTCACTTTGTTTTCCATGACCCCATACTGTTAGATAACTCTTCACTTTGTTTTCCGTGACCTCATACTGTTAGATAACTCTTCACGTTGTTTTCTGTGACCTCATACTGGTAGATAACTCTTTACCTTGTTTTCCAGAGGGGACACGGTTGATCGTGAAGGGCACTCACTTTGAACAAAACGGCAAGAAGGTTTTTCTATCCGGCGTCAACCAGGCTTGGGTATCCAACGGGCACGACTTCGGAGACAACAACTACGAATACAGACACCTAGATTTTGAAAAGTACCTGAAGATGGTTGCCGACAATGGCGGCAATTCTATTCGTATGTATCACACAATCTACACATAAGGAATTTGTAACATTATTTTTTTGGTCTTGAACAACAAGAATTGGGTAGATATGACTGCGTTCAGGTTTTCTGGTGTCAGGACTTACCGTTACTGCAGCAATATCGAAGCTGGACACATTGCACCCATCTGAGACTCGAAACCAGTGGATAGTTTTTTCTTGTTCTTCGGCATTGTTGATACCTGTTTGTATAATTCGAGATGATTTATTACGTGGTCTTCAGGTCTTTACAGTTTGAATTGTATCATTTCTTCTTCTTCATTTCACTTGCACAAGGTGAAATGTGAAGCAGCCAGGTGAGTGAGTGAGTGAGTTTATTTGGACCAAAATATCCAGTGATCAACAACATGAGCTTCGATCTACGCAATTGGGATACGACGACATATGTCAACCAAGTCAGCAAGCCTGACCACCCGATCCTGTTAGTCGTCTCTTACGACCAGCATGGGTTACTGAAGATCAATTCTATCCCGGATCTTCACGGGTATGCAGTCAGTAGAAGGTGCATGGTCAGTAGCACAGTGGACATCATACCGTGGTGTATCTGTTGATGACAACATATAGTTATCAGCCATTATTCTACATTGACGAGATAGGACGATTTCAATTTAAATAGATCAGAGTTGTTCGCAAGGAGTGCTTTCTGAGTTGATGGTAAAAAATGATTTATCACACAAGTTCCCAATCCCGGCTTTGAAATCTCCGCAGACATCTAGTCTACTTTTAGGTCCATATAGGACCAATTTCTGTTCTTAGGATGTAAAAGGGTCATTTTATTTTTCTTTCATTACAACTGTGAAGATCCGGTTAGGACTGGTCTTCAGCAACCCATGCTTGTCGTAAGAGGCGACCGGGTGGCCGACTTGGTTTATGCATGTCATCGTATCTCAGCTGCGTAGATAGATGCTCGTGGTGTCAATTACTGGATTGTCTGGTCAAGACTCGATTATTTTCAGACCGCCACCATATAGCTGGAATATTGCTGAGTGTGGCGTTAAACAACAAACAAGCAAATATGTCCACATGCTGGCGTTTCCAGAAGGGATTAAAAAAACTTCATATCAGGATGTTCTTTACTAATCATAGTTTCGCGCATTTGCTCCCACAGTCGTTTCAGAGAATATTAACAGTTGAAGAAAGAAAGGAATGAAGGCTTCCTTTAATATCACATGTTCATACATACATGTTCATCTAGGTGTGTGGGTGCACGATGAGGGAGCAGTCTCTCCCCATTTCGACTCATCTGGCATGGTCGTGAGCCTGGATCAGAAGGGCACCTTCATCAGCGACATCAAGAAGTACCTGCGGAAGGCCCTGGAGTACAACATCCTTGTCTTCTTCTGTCTGTGGAACGGGGCCCAGGCGCAGAATGACCACATCCACATTGACGGGTTAATCAAAGTAATTTGGACCTATATACGTCATTATTTTGTCTTTCACTCCATTTATCATCTCTTTTGATGAACAAACAGATAATGTACTTGACAAAAAAAAGGATTTGTGATACAATGAATACAATCACCCGTAAAGAAAACCACAGGAAGACACCTAATATTGGCAATAGTTTTGACTTGCTCCGCTCGTCACGCCGAAGACCCGGGTTCGATTCCCCACATGAGTACGATGTGTGAAGCCCATTTCTGGTGTCCCCAGCCGTGATATTGCTGGGATATTGCTAAAGGATAAAACTCTCATTCAGTTATTCCGAGAGGCAGGAATGGTAGGAAAGGGGTTCAACAAGAGATATACTGTATACAATGGTTTACCTGGATCCTGGGTGTAAGGGCTTCCGTGGATCCCTCCCCACCCCACCACCCCACCCTCCTTTTATGAAAATTCCGTCAAGGGTATAGGTTCAAAATATCCATGTTTAGCCCGTGAGTAATCATTGGTCTGTCAGCCTCACTGTCGTCTTTGTAGGAGCCTCCAAAGTTGATGATGGAATAGTTATTTGATATTGTCCCTATTCTACTGCAACAGAGTCACACATGCCTAGGGCTGTTTTTTTAAAAACACATCATGTGCCCTTTTCTTTCAGACACGTGTCCAAAGCATACACTTCGAATGGCTGCTGCCTAGTCCAGATAAATGCGTCACTTCTCCCACAATACTTTGCCAAGTTCATAGAACTGTGATACTGCACAAATAGTTAGACCCTATCATTCACGTTTTCAGGACGAAGCTAAGCTGCAGTCGTACATAGACAATGCCCTGATCCCGTGGGTGAAGGCGGTGAAGGACGAGCCCTCAATGGGAGGCTGGGACATCATCAACGAGTTTGAGGGAGAAGTCAAACCAAACCTGGCCAACGCGGAACCCTGTTTTGATACAAACTTCCTGCTGAACTCCGGGGCAGGTTGGGCGGGCAAGCTGTACACGGCGCAGCAGTTTCTGAAGTACGTATACTAAGTGAGTGAGTTAGTTTTACGCCGCACTCAGCAATATCCCAGCTATATAGCAGCGGTCTGTAAATAATCGAGTCTGCACCAGATATTCCAGTGGTCAGCAGTATGAACATCGATTTACGCAATTGGGATACGATGACATGTGGCAACCAAGTCAGCGAGCCTGACCACCCGATCCCGTTAGTCGGCTCTTACAAGCATGGGCAACTGAAGATCAATTGTAACCCAGATCTTCACGGGTACGTGTTTGCTTTGTACACCCGCACCCAGGACTTGCACACAGTGACAGACATGAAGCTTCTAGTGTTAATGCAGCTTCCACGAAACAGACTTCCTTATCAGGCATATCAAATGATGAAAACTCTGGATGATAATGGTAAAAAAACATGGGCTTCTCATACTAGGTTGATATTATTTCAATATGGATTTGGTTTCTTATTGATATCTCAAGACATAGGCTGTACATTAGACAAATGCTTAGTCTCTGAATATATATAAGTTTGATAGTAACAAACAAGCCCATTTAAATTGAAAAGGAGCCCCGGGTAGACCAGAGATTCAGAACCTGAGGAATCTAGACTTGCTTTATTTAGCGCTTTAGCACTGCAGAGAGGGCTTAGCAGTAGGGAAAAAAATGTGGTTCAGGGACTGTGAGACTGACTAGCTGTACATCCACATTCATGGAAATGTTTAAACAGAGATTTTATGACTGCTTCACTCAATACCATATTTAACCAGTGAATTGCTACCAAATCAACGTAAAATCATTACTCAGTTTCGGTGCTGTAACTTCAGACTCGCAGTGGAATGTGGCCGTCATACAAACACCCCGTATAATGAACGTCTCTGTCTCTTGTCATGCTGCGGGCCTTGATTACATTGAAGATGAACTCCATATTTTATTAATATGTCCAAAATATTGCAAACAAAGATCTGATTGTTTTTCAATACATCTGACTCAACCACCGGCAATTGAAACCTTCATCCGATTGATGTCATCGGACAATATACATATTTTAAAGTCATTGAGTAAATTTCTTTCACAAGTTCGCCGTAGAATGAACGAATAAATGTAAAATGTATCAATACTGCTCTACTCGGTATGTATTTACTTTTGCCAAATGTATGTATTATGGGCCGTGGGCCAACATTACCCAATAAACCTGTCTGTCTGTCTGTCTGTCTGTCTATTGTTAAATACTGATAATGTTGTCGTGGTCGTCGGGGAGCATGAACTACTATTTTTAAATGCTGATAACGTTGTCGTGGTCGTCGTAGTGCAACAGTCACTGTATGAGATTGACATATGACCTCTGGCCCCAGGGTTATATTTCATTGGCGTACAACTTACACGAACTTACTTGGTCAAGAATTTATATTAATTTTTAATTTTTCTTTCCGTACAGGGGGCGGTGGGGTAGCCTAGTTGTTAAAGCGTTTGCTTGTCACGCCGAAGACCCGGGTTCCATTCCCCACATGGGTACAATGTGTGAAGCCCATTTCTGGTGTCCCCCGCAGTGATATTGCTGGAATATTGCTAAAAGCGGCGTAAAACCAAACTCAATCATTCACTTTCAGTGCAGAATTATAAACGTAAAACAGATGTACACAATGACTACACAAGTAATAGAATCTGTACTTTGCTAAGAAAGTGTAATCCCAAATATAACATATGTAAGATGTACACAATTTGTGTGAACCAGTATCGGTCTTTACGTTTATAGATCCATAAACGCAATTAAGACTGAAATCAGTTCCTAGTCAAATCTCAACTTACGTTTTTGTTCTTCAGATTCATAAACTGGCAGGCGGACGCTATCAGACAGGTTGACCCCCAGGCGCTCGTCACGGCTGGGTCGTGGGAGGCGAGGTCCAACGTTGATAAATGGGGAGGCTTCAATATGTACAAAGACGAGTGCCTTGTAAAGGCTGGCGGCAAAAAGATGGTACTTTCAGAAATATTACGCTCATATCGCCCTCTGAAGTTGCAAAAATACTTTTTGATGGATGTGTTTTTATTGACTTACGGCCACGTAGTCTATAACAAAGAATCCTTGACAGATGTTTAGGGAGTGTTCTTGAATGCGTCTCAACACATGTATAGTATATGCTTGTAATATTCACACAAAGAGATCTAGTGCGTAGATGCACACTTTAACGGGTTCAAAGCGACCACATTGCTCTAGTGTTCACATGTCATCATTCGAGGTTTCCATAATGTTGGCTGGTAAAAGAAACAATGGTATATATTTTGTAACTTTGAAGAAAATGTAAAAATGTTTTTGGTTTTTATATTTTTGTGCATGTTTACAACTGTGTTATGGTTTCAGGGCACGCTGACGTTTTATTCGAGCCATACCTACGCCTGGCAGGGGAAATATAGTGTGTTTTCCCCCTTCAAGGTGAGTCCCCTTGACGTTGAAACTGACATTTCATCTTGTCTTATCCACAGACATTATGTACATGACTATACTGCTGGGCCCTGTTCCTCAAAGCGATCGTAGCGCTAAGATGATCGTAACTCCCATACTTTAACACAGACTTACGACAGTCGTAGCGCTACGATCGCTTTGAGGAACGGGGCCCTGGGCATCAATTAGATAATCCTAAGTTGCTCGAACTTTCATTTCATGTGATGCCAAATTGACTGCTTTTAACACGCAAAGTTGGGTGTGAAGTCATTGAAAAACCCACTTGTGACGCCATCGGTAAAAGTGGACTTGTTGTCGCAAGTCTGTGTTAAAGTATGGGAGTTGCGATCACCTTAGCGCTACGATTGCTTTGAGGAACGGGGCCCAGGGTCCACCTGCACAAGGCGATCTTATCGCTACTGCCATACTCTAACATGAACTTAAGATAGTTGTTGCGCTATGGTCGCTTTGTGCAGGTGGGCCCTGGATGTTGGACATATATTAAGACAAATCCTGAAATATATATTCGGCGGGCATATTGCATTATGGTATCATGACACACACGGGCCTTTTCCACAAAGATATCTTAAATCTACGATTATCGTCAGTCGCCTAGTTTAACCAGGTGTCATCGATAAATGCAATTGGGTCGGCAGTTGTATACACAGATATGAACACCTTGTTGGCAGAAGGTCAAATTATAATAGCAACGTATCTTTCAGCACGTCTTCGCTGACTACGGACTTAAGAAGCCGTTGGTGGTCGCCGAGTTTAACCAGGTGTCCGGGGCAGGGATGGACATCGTTGACCAGTTCAAACACCTGTATACCACTGGCTACGCTGGAGGATGGACCTGGCATATACGTGCTGAAGGATCGAACTCAGACTCACCAGCCACACAGATGCGAGGACTCCTGTCACTGAAGGGCAAGGACGACCAGACGAAGGGAGGCCAGATTCCACTCACGTTGTGATCAGCATCGAATCCAACTTAATTTGCACGATTATATGCAATAGGTCACAGGCTTTTCAAAAATAGACTTTGGAATATTGTTATGGATAATGTCTTTCTCAATGAGAATTACTAAATCATCATACAATATAGATAATGATGATTTGGGTGTTTTTAAAGTTTACTAATTCTGTTTGAACATTATAAATTCTGTCAAACATATTAATAAATATGAATTTACATCTGTGATTACATTTTTAATCGGTATTGATTGAGCGAGCGAGTTTAGTTTTACGTCGCACTCAGCAATATTCCAGCTATATGGCGGCGGTCTGTAAATAATTGAGTCTGGACCAGACAATCCAGTGATCAACAGCCGATATTGATTGAGTGAGTGTGGATTTACACCGCTTTTAGCAACTTTCAAGCAATATCATGGTAGGGAACACCAGAAATGGGCTCAACACATTGTAGCCATGTGGGAAATCGAACCTGGGGCGACGAGCGAACGCTGTTACCACTACTGTAGGCTACCAAACTTCCCCCAACTTTTTCTCTAGCAGGCTGTAAATGAAGGAAGTCGCTTCCACATGAAGAACGCATCATGGATGTGTTACTTTCTATATAAAGTTGACCTCTGTACGCTGTAATTACTGTTCACAACTTAAGTCGAACGCCCCCGTGGTGTAGCGGTTAGAACATCCACCCGGAGAGCGGAAGGTCACGGGTTCGATCCCCGCCCACGTCATACCAATAGACATTTAAATATGGTGCTTGTTGGTCCCTGCCTGGCGCTCGGCATAAATTGGTACAAGGACTGATCGGCTCGGAGTCAGTATAATGTGTCTGAGTGGGGTTTCATGCTTAACTGCGGCATGGTATCTCAGTGAGCTAGCACTATAAAATCAGATTAAGTCTGGGCTGGTACAACTGCCACACATACACATGCATGCACGTCGTCATATGAGCGAAATATTCTTAAGTACGATGTTAAACCCCCATTTCACCTCACCTCACAACTTAAGTTCTTTCTAGGGGTGGTTTTTTTTTTTTTAGCCTAATGGTTAAAGCGTTGGCTCGTCACGCCGAAGACCCAGGTTCGAATCCCCACATGGGCACAATGTAAAGCCCATTTCTGGTGTCACCTCACCTCTGGAATATTGCTAAAAGCGGTGTAAAACCAAACTCAGTCAGTCAGTCAGTCTTTCTAAGGGGTTATACATAAGAAGCGATACCACTAGTAGGCCCTATGACCTCAACAGCCAGTGTAAGCAGGTAATGTGAGAATACAACAATCCTTGGAAAAGTCATCAAGAAACAAACATTAAAATTGATTTAAACATGACATTTTATTCACTCAAAACATTTAACAAACATTCACTCAAAATCCTTTCTCTAACAGAAACGCTGCTACTTCATCCTGAAGAAGCCCCTTCACCGGATAAATCTCCCAACCTCATGCACCTGAACTGCAACTTTCTTTCCCGACACTTTTTCCAGATGCTGTCGAATGTCAGATTCAAAGGCCTGCAAAGAAATACAGATAATGTTGAATGTGGCTCCAAACACAAAACACATAATAATTATATGACAGAAAAGCCCAAAGACCCTGGACAACATTTTCAACTTTGGTTAAGTTCATGAGCATAATTATGGCGTTGATAAAAGAACATTACTGTGAATAAGGGAGTTAAACTGACCACCGGATCCATGCACATGTAAGGGACACAACTCTGCAGATATTATGAGTGAGTGAGTTTAGTTTTAAGCCGCTTTTAGCAATATTCCAGCAATATCACGACAAGGGACACCAGAAATGGGTTTCACACATTGTACCCATGTGGGGAATCAAACCCGGGTCTTTGGTGTGACGAGCGGACGCTTTAACCATTAGGCTACCCCACCGCCTCTCAATCTGAATAAACGTTCTGCATTGAAATATACATATTTAACATGACATGGCAACTTTGCGTTACAGACAGTTATCGCCAATATTAGGTGTCTTTGTGTGGTTTTCCTGATTGAATTCATTGCATCATAAATATTTGACACTTCTGTCAGTTACATCACCTGTTTGTATATCAAAAGTGATGATAACTGGAGTGAATCCATGTGGGGAATCTCAATCACCATGGAGTCCCGCATGTGTTGCTGGGGACCTGTTCTAACCACAATTACCATGGGGCCCCACACAGGTTGCTGGGGACCTATTCTAACCACAATTACCATGGGGCCCCACACGGGTTGCCGGGGGTCTATTCTAACCACAATCACCATGGGGCCCGTCATGGGTTGCTGGAAACCTATTCTAACCACAATTACCATGGAGCCCCTCATGGGTTGCTGGAAACCTATTCTAACCACAATTACCATGGGGCCCCACACGGGTTGCTGGAAACCTATTCTAACCATAATCACAATGGGGACCCACACGGGTTGCTGTATAACTATTCCAACCACAATCACCATGGGGCCCGTCATGGGTTGCTGGGGGCATATTCTAACCAAAGAGGCCCTAGTGACGTACATACCCAGATATCCCCCTCCACCTTCCTGATCATCACCATGTGCCTGTTGCCAGCATGAGTGGTCTGCATGTACAGTGGCAGCATGTGGTTCTTGGTCCGCTTCACAAAATACTTCATGGGTGATTGATTTTCTGGAAAATACAAAATCACCTGTACTTGCACTCAAACATGTTTTATTGGAAAAGATCTCACATGCTACTTGAGAAAGAGCTTAAGTTGCCAATATTTCAGTAAATTCTATACGGAGTGTTAACTTTATAAGGAAGGGAAGCTCTCAGGTATGCAAAGAAAAGTCATCGTCAAATTCACTGAAATAAAGAAGCAAGGAGTGAGTGAGTATTTTTATGCTCCTTCTAGCAATATTTCAGTAAAACACCAGAAATGACCTTCACACACTGTACCATAGTGGGGTCTTGTGTTGAGTGAAAACTTTAACCTTTTGTCTTCACCCCTTGAAGAAAGAAATCACGGTTCATTTTATACATAGAATCTTTTTTTTTCTGAAGATGGCTTTTGGCTCTGCACTGTAAACAGATGGGGTGAATCTCAGATTCTTGTTAAACCCAATAATAGCAGAGCTCAACAAGACAAAGGGAGGTAAGGCTAAGGGAGGCAACCCTGCGCAGTTTGTACTGTGAGTGGCACATATTATCACTGGGCTATCAGTGTCTGCAGCATGGACAGACAATGCTAAACTGATGGTATGCAAGTACCTACCAGCTGGGGGTACCCATCCTGATGGAGTCGGGTAGGATTCATGTACTGGTGGATCAGGGACTGTCTCTCTGGGCAACAGTGTCTCAACAAACTTGAACTCTTCTGTAGAAACCTCATAGGCTGGGTGGCTCTTTTCTTTCTGGGCCTGGTTATCCTGCAATAAACAAAAAATAGAATTTGTAATTTCAAGAACATCACTGACATAACCAGAAAGATCATGAACAAAGCCAAATACATCATAATCATACAGAGCTACAGATAACTTTTTGGGTCATTGAGTTATGTACTCGCTTCTGTTCAACTCAATTGGGTATCCTAATTTTTCACCATTTTGAGTAACCTTACTAATCACCAATGATACTTAAATATCAACCCTGCATGCTTCTCTGAAATGCTTGTCTATTACTGTTTTTCATCAAGTGTCCTTATGCCATCCTATATCCTCTTAGTAGTTGATCCATATGTCATGATTGTTTTATTATTACACCAAATGATACTCAAATACTACCATGTATGCTTCACTGAAAAGCGTGTCTTACTACTTCACCAAATGATACTTAAATATCACCCTGCATGCTTCATTGAGATGTTTGTCTACTACTGTATTTCGTCAAATGTCATTATACCATCCTGTATGCTCCACTGGAATGAATAAAAATTAAAAAAAAAAAAAAAAAAAAAAAACATAAAAATTAAAAAACCAAATAAATTGTACTCACCTCACTCATGCTCGATTGGGTATTTTGCCATTTTCCACTAATTTAAAAAATATAATAAAGTTTAGATGTCAGTGTTTGTTATTTATATTTGATCTGTAATATGAGAAACTATAAGAAAGACTGCAAGTTGCCAAGTTCATGTCCTGAAATAGAATCTCTCAATATACCACAGTTATTTTATTTATCCACCGGTACGCAAGCTAAGATTTGACATTTTTGTGTGTACACATGTTAGATCACGTTTAGTGAGTATTTCCAAAAATTCATGCATACTTGTACGCAACAGACTTAATAGGAATTGCGTTTTCACATAAATATTTGCGTAATTTACGCAGATACGCAGCTTATCTGTACCTCTGATCATAGCCAAACATCATAAATATAGTGAGAGACATAATCAACAGAATGAACACTGACAAGTGACCAATGTAAGAGATCATCACGATGAGTTGTGGTGCTACATTCTTTCAGTGCTTGAATCTTTTCCCCTACATTTTGCTTTCCAAGGGATTCAGTTCTCAAAGGATTATCATGATTATAGAACCAGCTTATGAAGTAGTCTAATCGTATCATGAGATAACTTTTGAAGTGATGGATCAACAAGGCCATCTGTAACGATCTGGGCCAGAATTATCAAAATTGTGTAGATCACTGTCAATCACTGGATTGTCTGGTCCCAACCCAATCTACAGACTGACGTCATAGAGCTGGAATATTGCATCGTTAAGCAATAAAAGATTTCAAAAAATTAAAATTCAACAAGGCAGCAATACATATATTAAACCAAGCATTATAAAACAATATTAGTTTCAAATTTTTTCCTGTTTTACATATTAGACAGGGGCGGTTGGGTAGCCTAGTGGTTAAAGCTTTTGGCCTAGGCCAGATTCTCCCCGGGGAAAGTTTAGACGTGGGGAAGAAATGGCCTGCTACACCCGGTGCCATTCCCCACATGGGTACAATGTAGTGTTGGGAATTGGTTTATTTCTCATAATTGATGATTGGTTCATAACAACCGATCAATTATCGAAAATAATTGGTTAGCGTTATTTATCATTTTCTGTTTATGATTGGATAAATTCAATCATGACTTGGGAACGAGCTTGTAGTGCTTATGAAATATAACAGACAAAACCATCCTTGTGCAAAATATTGTTAATGCAAACAAGTGTTCCAAAATTGTTTGTGTTCGATTATGAGAAACCTGATCAATTGCTTGGTCGTTTAGTCATTGCGACGAATCTTCGATTATTTCAATTAATCGGACCACCACTAGTACAATGTGTGAGCGCATTTCTTGTGTCCCCGGCGTAATATTACTGGAATATTGCTACAAGTGGGCGTAAAACTAAACTCACTCACTCACATATTAAACAGGACTCTGTTTTTTGACTACTATGTGATTACCTCCCTTACATACTGAATTTGACCCTTTTCAGGTCTAAATTTGACAAATGTAGTGTAAACCATGGTTCTAAAAACTATACTTTCTAATTCATCATGTTCATCGTTTTCAATTATCAAAGACTTTTCAGAAAAATATTTTAAATATAAAAAACATAAGTTATTCAGAATATTACAAATGCCTAGACAGGTTTATAAGACCAATATAATGCTAAAAACCTGCATATATCATTCTCTTATATGCATTTACAACTGTTTTGCCTCAATCATGGCTACCTCCTGTACTTTACCAAATTCATACAATATTTTGAAACCCCACAGAATAAACATGATAGGATATTCAGGTCAAGGGTCACCCTTTAATTAAAAAGACAAATTGTCTGTTATGGATTTAGGGACTTCATAATGAATACAACTGAAGAACCAACAACAAAAGGAGTAGAATGCATATACCCAAAATAACTTGCAACAGACAACTGTGCACAAAATCAGACATGCATGAATTTCCTATATAATTATCCCATAAACACCCATGTCCCAACAGACTTGTTAAGGAACTACTACAAATATGCATGGGCAGCACTGAATGATGTCACACTATTTCAGAGTGACATCAGGTAGACTATAACTGTCACAGTTCATCATGGTTCATACAGAAAGAGATTACTGATAACTTTAGTAATTGGGCAGGGTGCAGGCTAAAAAGCGGAACCACAGCAAAAGCGGCACCTGGCGAAAACGGCACCATTTGGACATAACGGAACCTCGACTTGGCGGCGGCTACAAATCTTATGGCAGCACGGCACAAACTAAAAATCTTATGGGGGAAAACTAGTTTGTTATAAGATAATCGGATTGCAGATAATAAATACATCTACTATTATGTCGAACTATCAAAATTTTAGAACAAGGATGTATTTTTATATTCAAGGATGCGATGTGAAAACTACTTTTATCACGATAGCGGTAGCATTGAATAACTCATTACAACAGTTCATTTCTAAAAGTAACCGCTTACAGTAATTATCAAATCAAGCGATATATTCAATGTAAGGCAAGTGATTGGAAGTGGACATCCCATAGCTGACAATCGGATTGCAGAATGTTTGATAGTAATTACATCTACTGTGCCGACAGTGATTGGAAAGGGCATCCCAATTTAGCGTGAAAACATAGCAACCTTTGATGTTTTAATGTTTAACATCTGTGACATCAGCCACTGGAGTTGTGACACATGAACATTGAGTAAAATTGGGTGGTTTAAAGTTAATATAAAAATATAGTTTCCCTACTTTGTTACTGTAAAGTGCAGAAAAATATTGTGATAAGTTAGTTACCATAATTTTTTTTGGTTTGATTTTGACTTAAGTTTGTCGGATACAAACATCTGACATAAATATGCACGGATTTTGAGAATGACTCATATGTTGATATAATCTTGCTGATGTTATAATGAAATGAAATCAAACATGAGTCAACGTCATACTTTGTTTTATATATGGTGCCGTTTTAGCCCAGAAATCAGTAGCCGTTTTCGCCAATATGGTGCCGTTTTCGCCACAAATTTGGTGCCGTTCTGCTGTGGTGCCGTTTTAGCTATAACTCCAATTGGGCAGCATGGCCGCCATGGAATATTATCTTGTCACACTACTCCAGAGTGACATCACGTAGATCTCTTTAACAGTAACATGTATTAATGATAACTTTTGTAACTCAAGATGTTTATAAGCAGTGAATAAGCACGAATGTTTAGATGAGCTGTAAATGTCATTACTGGTGTTACGGAGTGTTTAACTTTAACGCCCGTAAAATGAACGTTTGAACTCTTCGGGTAACGTTGATGGTTCCAAAAGCATTTTATTGGATGTAATAATCTAACACCAGCAAATCTAAAACACAGATTGTTTAGCTACAACACGTACTACATGTTAGTATGCTACTGATTGAGGTGAAAAATGTCATCATCCCGCGTGCGTTTTGAACGAAAATAGGACAACATCACTTAATGACAGTAACAAGAAACTGCGGAGGCGTATTCAAAAGCCAAAATCATACCTGGATACCCGAAGCACTGTAATATCGACTACTCGTATTCAATGCAATACTCTTCAATCTACCCATGAGTATTTGAAATCGGCACCAAGTGGGTACAGCAGCCATGGCCATTGTTGCCCCGGAAGTAATTCCGGCTGTCGACTCGCTATGTAAAAAGTATAACTTGGGTGCGGAAGAAGACATTTCAAGGGATCACATAAATACGCAAAAGGCATGTCACATATATGAGGATTAGATTAGGCAAAATGATTGATAAATATTTTAATTTATCAGTTCTGATACCGAGCTTTTCTCATGTGGTAAAGTTATAAAATGTAAAAAGAAAATATATCATTCAGAATGATCAAGATGTCTATACCTTATTATTAGGGGTGGGTATTGCAGAGGGGTAATTTTCATATAGCGATATATTGCAATGCGAAAGCATGTATTGCGATATGTATTACAATATATTGCATGAAGTATTTTTAAGCAAAAACTACTTATAATCGAGGTAATGCTTGATTTATAGAGCCAAATACACAGCAAAATCACTATGCTTGATTAAGCTTAAATAACAACTTTTATTCATGATTAAAAATAAAAATGTGAATAATATTTGGGCAACAAATGAAGATGGAAATATCCGAAGATTCCCGAGTGTTACGAAGTTTTCCGAGTGCAAGTCAAAATACCGGTTTTCGATCAGCGTATCGCAATACGTATCGTTTTCATATCTGAACCGGTAAATACCGGTAAACCGGTTATATTGCGCAGCCCTACGTATTATACTGAATTCGTCGGAGCTGATAGCAATAAATTGGGGTAATAATTTCCGATAAATGTTTATATTTTCATGACTGCTGTTATATTTCATACACATTTCATCTTGAATGTATTTCTTAAACAAACGTCACAACATAAAAAAATAAGTGGTAATGCATGTAGGACGCTTTATTCAAATGTCAGCCATTTTCGATTGTACATAGTATTAGATTTGATATGGAAACATGACAAACTGAATAAGCGCGCATATTTTTAACTGGAAGTAAGCAGGCTTGCGTTCCCTTGTCAGATCAGGATCCGACAACTGTGTTCCAAACACCAAGGGTCTTGACAAACAGTTTACTCTGTGGAAGAGGGGTGCTGGCTTGGGACCAACTCCATATAGTCCATCTTCAATGACATTGGTATATCCTTTGAGTTCGACAAATGCAACATTCTCCTTTCATATTCTTTGGGAGTTGTTGATTGGACAAAACAAGAAATTCAGAGTACTGACACCCTTAGGCGAAGAATGGTTTCACCACCTTCGCCCTTCCCCAATCGTAAATTTATAAGTTTCAACGAGAGGGCGTGGTTTGATTAACATTTAGGCTCTTCATGACAGAAATTCAACTGGGTAGAAAATATATCGTGGAACGTTTGATTATTTTGCTATGAATGTTGGACCTAATATGAAATACATCATCACAAAGCCCATCGAGTCGCTAGGCCTTCACATGACAATGTAAAAATCGTAGCATTTGAGAAGAATGCGTCGGATCTTGTCGGAAATGTTCACCTATCACTCGAATAAATAAAGTCGATTAAATAAGGGTTCAAATTTACTCAATGTGGCAATAATCATGTTTCGTAATGATTACAGAGTCTAAAGGAAACCAAATGTGCATCATTGACATGTGTATAAATCATATTTCGTTCCTCATTTCGACACCTTTTTTGTATAAACCGTCATAATTTACGCTAGGAAAAGCGTCTGCTAGGGTTAGCGCATCGTTTACCTTCCCAACATTTTATGGCCTTTGAATGCCCAGGTTCAGACAGGCAAAGATCATCGTTGTCTTGTCACTTGTTCAGTATCTATCACATGGTACTTTGCAATATCCAGATGCCAATCAATCAAATTAATGAAATGAAATATTAAATATGTGACAGATTTCAAGGTCAAGGCCACATTTCCCGGAAGTGCATGTGCTCCTACCAAAACAAGACCGCAACAGTTTGTCTACCATTTGTCACCGTCACGAGCTTCAGTGATGATCTAAGCGTTCAGTTTATAATGTTTTTGAAAGATTAGAAGCAATGGCGTCTGGACAATGCTATGGATGTGGCACAACCTTTGGAATTTTCCGAAAAGAGGTTTGTGTTAGAATCTGGCAGCTGTCTGGAATCTTCCATTCCATTGGCTATTTGGTGTGATTCTGTGATCAGTGTTTGGACGCAATGGGCTTTTCTGGAATGATTGTGTGAAGTCACTTCGGGGCGTGACCGTTTCAAAGTATTTTTACATTCACAATTTAAAGATAATAGGTTAATATTCACTTGTGACAACACAAATATTTGTAGAATTACGCTGGATATAAGCGGACACGGAACATCATTTGGGCAAAAAATGGATCTTGTTACATATCGGTTGCATTCTGCGTAGAATGAAAACAACACATCATATCATCAAAACCTTTAATGCGAAACATTTTAATAAGAGTGCTGTGAAAGAAAATATAAGACATCTCGAGATGTTATCATTTTTTTAAAAATCCAGTTGGTCAATGTTCTTTTATCATATTTATCAGTTAGTGTTCCTCACTCTGATTATTTCTTTTGATGCATGAAAATTATGAAATATATTTAGGAAGCATTTTATAATACCAATGTGTTATAGGTTTTCAGAAGCTTATGAAACATCTGTAATTTTCTTGCCAATAAGGGGCTGTGGGGTAGTCTAGTGGTTAAAGCGCTGGCTCGCCACGCCGAAACCCGGTTCGAATCCCCACATTGGTACAATGAGTGAAGCCCATTTCTGGTGTCCCCGCCATGATATTGCTGGAATATTGCCAAAAGCGGCGTAAAACCAAACTCAGTCAGTCAGTCAATCTTGTCAATTACATGATCAAGCGTAAAATATCTCACTTAAAAAAGAACAGCATATCTTGACATGACAAAAATATTGAAGAAAGACTTCTACATTTCTTGGGTAAACTGTTGGGAATCCCAATCATGATGAAACACAGACCAGTTGTTTATTATTATTCAGATTCTATATGCATGTACTCAGGGTGTTTCCAGGTGAGGCAGTAGACCAAGGTGCAGATATTCAAGTGCTGTGTATCTTGGCCATGCCAGAAACTTATCATTGAGAGCTTGAATGCCTGTTCAACCAGTTACCTTCTTAGTTTTGTGCTCGTGGGTTTTATCAAAGATGTAAACGTGTGAACCCTGCATCATTTTCCTTTCGTCCATCATTAAGCTAACACACGGTGATATGACAGGAATACTGTTAAAGGCAGCATTAAACCCATCCTCAATAATCTCCAGGGTATACTTTCCGATAAATCTCCACTATACCCTGGATGCATCTACGGCTCGAGCCGATTTTATTACCTCCCTTGGTTGGCTCTTTATCCAATCAGGTGTCACGCTGGGAAGTTGAGCGTACCAATCACAACTCACTTTCACTTTTAAATTATCTTACCGATTAAACTTGGCAACACAATAATATATTGTTGCAGAGGTACTCTGAAAGAGGTAGAAGGACTTCTTGCATATATTTTTTAAGGTGTCAGACCTGTCAATTTGTATGTTTTTCCCCAAAATGCGACCGCTATCTTTGTTGACATTGGCAAGCTCGGTTGTAACGGGCGGCTTATCTGATTGGCTACTGTGAGAATGCAGTGCCAGGAAAAGGAGGTAATAAAATCATAGACTGGAACCGTAGATGCATCCAGGGAATAGTGAAGATTTATCGGAACGTATACCCTGGAGATTATCGAGGATGCATTAAACACAACTCACTCATACTCTCAGAGCATACTCGAAGCATACATACAAACAGACAGTGTGTCTGACTGCATGACCATGACAGAATATGTATGCTTCAAAATGTTTCATTCTTGTGAAGAAAATGAAGAAATCCCAACTGAGACTATCTGTTCAATGCTAACAGTAACAGTTAGTAACTTTCAATAGCAGCTTATTAGTCAGTGTGCTGGATTTCAGTGTGTTTCATCTTACTGTAGAGGAAAAGCCCGACGTGAAGTACGGTTCAGTGTTTAATACTTTGCTTTAGCTCATAAGCACAGTTTGGTGCTGACAAGCGTAGAAACTTAATCGTGGACAACTGTCATTCAGATCCACAATCATAGATTTCAGGCATCCTAAGGGAAGCAACTCTGCACATAGAATTGTAACACCTCTGACGACTGTTGAAGAAGAGCCTATGAAGATGCTTCAGCATCTGTCATGCCTATTTAACACATTTTTATGACTTTTATTATTATTCAACCTAAAGTTGAAGTATCCAACAGGGCTCCAGATAAGGGCCGTATCGGCGTTTGTACGGATATAAAATATGCAAAATACGGTAGGAAATAATTTAGAAAACAAAGCAGATACGCACCACAGCAATGGTGTACGGTCTTAGAATCATTTACAGACATATTTATCTGAAAAAGTACTGTTTTATTGTTTACTGACCTGTTTACACAAGAGTAGCAATATTGTGGTGCATATATGAAACAAACACAAGATTACTGATACACCATTAAATTCCATTCAGTACTCTAAATGTACTCTTAAGTTTTTCCAGAACTCCTATATTGAAAAAATAAGGAGTACTCCTGATGTTGAAAAATTATCTGGAGCCCTGAGTCAGTAACTATATCATGTTACCATAGTTACAGTCTGATGTAATAGAATCATCTGCAATAGTTTTAGTTTTATTGATTGGACATAAGAAACATTTATGTTCATATTGTTGTCAACATCGTCTTCAATCATACGATGTTTTATTGCAGCATGGCTGTAAAAACTGTGGATTTGCCTTCTGTAGCAGATGTTTACCGAAATCGATTGAGGTACCAAAGCTGAACAATGTCAAGCATCATGTGTGTAACAGGTGTCATGAGATTCTGACAGGGTAAGATAACAATTCTTTGGAAATGCTTGAATGCAGTTCTGCACAAAAAGAACTAACTAAATGTAGTCACAAGTCTAGGGGAGATAACTCTCATTTGTTTTAATGCTTTTCAAGTGTGCTGTTTTTGTAATCGTCCATTATCATGCACGACTGATTTGAAGCTGTATATATACCACTGATATGTTGTATTGCTGAGCTGAGGGCCTCTTTGACAAAAAGGGTTATTACGTTAATAAAGTTATCATATAGCGAAGTGCTGTATGTTTTATTAAATGGGGATATTTGATATGAAACTTTTGCAGTAGTTTAAACTAGTTATTGCATCTTCAGGAATAGTTGAAAACATAATGCATAAAAAACAGTGATAAAAGTAAAAGAACCAGTTATCTTCCTATAAGTAGTATATATTTATACTGTGAGTAACCACCTATGCTTGGAAATATCAAAATCTTACAAAGTTTAGGACTCACACTCTACCGGGACCTACTGTCTATCAAGGAAATGGAAGTTGATGACGGTCAACTTCCGGTGGAGCATAGACAGGGCTTACACCCTGTGAAGTCCAGTGATTCATATTCAATCCAGGCAGGATAATCATGATAATAGTGAACTTTCTTTTTTATTGAATTTGACAGTAAAGTGGTGACAGGTTATTGTTGTGATACTGTCAGTGGTGTCAAAACAGGCCCAGAAATATACTGAATACAACAAATAATGCATCAACTGCTTACTTGTTATCCAGGGTTCGTTTACCAAATATTTGTGATGTGTATCACATTTGCTGTATAGAAGTTTCGTTGAAGCTCTGATCTGCATGTGTATGTTATTTCAGTACTACCACCCCCCAGACAGGAGATCCCAGCAACAACAGGTCGATGAGCTGCTGAATGAGATCGCTGATGAGGTGACCATCGATGATAAGTGCAACCCTGCCAAGGACGTGGAAGAGAGGCTGGTGAGGTTCAAGAATGATCCACCAAGGAAGGGAGGAGGTGAGAGTTTAGTGTCCCCCAGTGTTTCCCAATACTTTCATTTGCTAGTTGGACATCAGGGCCTACTGCTGCCTACAGGCTTTAAAATCGACAGGCCCTGAATGAAATCTGCAGGCCTATTTTGTTAAAGTCAAACCAATACACACAGTTTCACCCTGTTTCTATAAAATCAATTAGCGAAGCCAATGGCACAGTTTTTATTTGTTAAAGACTGGTATTGACATTCCTACGTGCAAAGACGTGAAATACCAGGAAGTGAAACTGCAAGTATTGTAACATGATGGATCATGGATTCCTGAACGCTGATAAAGAAAAAAACATGGGAAAGATTGCAGTTGAAGAAAAAGACAGATAATATACTGAAGGCCACAAGGGCCTGCTAATATTTGGAACTGCCGGCCCGATACAATAACAACCGGCGCTGGCCCTCTGGTCCGGCGATTATTTCAAACGCTGGTGTCCCCGTGTTGGTAGTTTAGAGAACCTGCAGAACCTGTACTTGTCATAAGAGCCAATAGTGAGTGAGTGAATTTAGTTTTACACCACTTTTAGCAATATTCCAGCGATATCACAGCAGGGGACACCAGAAATGGGTTTCACACATTGTACCCATGTGTGGAATCAAACCCGGGTCTTCGGTGTGATGAGCGAATGCTTTAACCACTAGGCTACCCCACCGTCCCGTAAGAGCCAAGAAAGGGTATTGGATGGTAAGGCTGGCTGCTTTGGTTGATGTGCTTCATCATGTCCCGATTGTATTGACAGATGCTTGGTATGTCAATCATTGGATTCTCTGGTCCACACTGACTAAATACAGGCTGCCATTATCTTGCAGGAATATTGCTGAATGCAGCATTAACAAATACAAAATGAACAAAAATTCATCTAATACGGTTTTAGGTTCAGTTGAAAGTCTGTGATACTGTAAACCGGAAATATTCTGCGCCTAGAAAATTTTGCGTCAGTGTACCCCCAGCCTGTTCTGCGATGTATTATTTTGGGGAGAGTAGTAGGCTTTTCAAAAACAACATTGTTAACTAAAACTACATTGCTTCTTACATCAAAGGGATACAGGCTTCAGGGATACAGGGGCGATCCACAAAGCGTTTGTAACGTTACGACCTGTCGTAACTCTATAGTTTATCATAGGCTTACGAATGTCGTCAACGTTTTGTTGATCGGGACCCAGGATGACAGTTTTCTTATTACCCCTTTGATCTCAGCAGTATCAACTCAGTGTCAGTGGGCATGTAACTATAAACAGCAGAATGGTCAGTCTCTCACAAGAACAAAATGTGGAGGTTTGTAACTGTACAGAAGCGTGGGGACATAGGCCTACCAGATCCTTCGAAGGCCTCGACACCCGAGAAGGCTAAGAGGATGGCTGCTGTTAACCAGACCATTGAACAAACTTTAAATAGCGGTAGCCATGACACAACCATTACTAAACGTGGTGTCAAGCGAAAACGAGAAAATAACAATTTCTCTCCAGCCACAAGAGCCAAGATCGCCAAGTATGCGATTGACAATGGCAATACCAGGGCCGCCAGGCACTTCAGTTCTGTTCTTAAAACAAACATTGGCGAAAGCTCCGTCAGATTCATGAAGAAGGCCTACCTTGCTAAGAGGAAAGAAGACAAGACTGCTGATATAGATGAACTAGTACCCAAACAATGCAGCCATACCCTCATGTTGGGAGAATTAGACAAAGTTGTGAAAGAACATGTGACTGCCATTCGTGACAATGGGGGGATTGTCAATTACAATATTGTTTTGGCTACTGCTAAGGGTATAGTTTCTTTTGAAAATAGGTCACGTCTTGCTGAAAATGCAGGGCCCATTTCTTTATCTAAAACATGGGCGGTAATTTGTAGTGATTTGTATGATTTACTGACACATGCATGTACAGAAGTAGATTAATGCTGTCATCCATTGTTGTTATTTAATACTTGATCAACTCAGCTTTGGTCATTGAACTCATAATTTCACTGAGAATTGGCTTGTTACAGCCATGAAGTTACAAATCAACTCCAGGGGTGGAAATAACCCATTGCCCGACGTACCAGTCCAGTGGGTCTTTCTGTCGGTAAATTTGTATATCACGCTGTGCCGATGTCCAGTTGACTTCCCAATCTTAATTATGTTCCTTTTGTTTAAAATCAACAAGAAAATCGTCTGGTATAGTGGAAAAATTACCAGGGCATGTGATTTTAGATGTGACACTGTACCCGAGTACACTAGCAATTTTAAAGTTATTTCCACCCCTGAACTCTTTCACATGTTAGACACTTGAGTTTTTGTAAGGTAGCTATTCATAAGGCCTCAATGCAGTGGGTAGCCTAGTGGTTAAAACATTTGTCACCCCAAAGACATTTATTCAATTCCCCACATGGGTAAAATGTGTGAAAACTATCTCTGGTGTCCCTTGCTGTGATATCGTTGGAATATTGCTGAAATTGTGTATAACCTTACTCTCTCATAAGGCTACTACCCCCATGCTGTTTTGAGTGGCTTCCCCTACACTGTAACAATACAGACTGTGTCTCAGGCTTCTCAGCAGCTCTGTATGTATTTGTATTTTCTGTTTGAAATATGTTTCTTTTCCTTTTGTATAATGCCTGTGTCATCCAACAATATTCGTTCAACAGACAGGAAGTCGTCTGCCAGCAACAACCTGAACTCGGATACTTCTGGCCCCCACAAGCCGTACACAAAGAACATCCGAACTGCCACTGGTGGACGATCAAGTCGGGAGCTCAATCTGGATGATGTCAACAATATGATCTCTGCCATGGCAAAGGAGATGGAGTTAGATGCTCAGAAAGCTGTGGACGATCTGCAGAAGGACAAGGAGATCATGGAGAGACTGAACGAACTGAAGAAAAAGAGAAATACGAAAGGTACGTTGTGGTTGGTTACTTTACTGGTTACTTTAGTGACATTTTTGTTATCCTTTTCATCAGTTTGTGAACAGATATACTATAATGACCTTGACATTGGTTTAACCCCTAAGGTATACTCAGGTTAGAATATGTCACCTGCACCTTATGCTTGTGGTAAGCAGTGACTAGATTTTATCAGGTAATAATAATTGGGTATGTTTTTTAGTGTAAAACAATTGTCAGAGAATAGGATAAATGAAATTTTCATCATAAAAACTGTAAAAATCTACAGTTTAGATTTAATGATTATGGGATAATGTCGTTAAAATTACACTGGAGTGGTGGGGTAGCATAGTGGTTAAGGCGTGGACTCGTCACACCGAAGACCTGGGTTCGATTCCCTACTTGGGTACAATGTTTGAAGCCCATTTCTGGTGTCCTCTGCTGTGATATTGCTGGAATATTGCTAATAGCAGCATAAAACTAAACTTACTCTCTCACACACGAAAATTATACTGACTACTGATGTGTGACAATTCCCCATCAGGACCCTCAGTAAGGCTGTGCTGACTGTCAGACATTGGCTCCCAATGGCATGGATAGTTTCTAATGCTTTTAAAACATCAGTTTTCCTTGGCCAGACTAACTTGTTTACTCAGGAATACAGCATGATATTAAATATACAGTGTTAAATTATATACACTAATAACCCACTCACGACCTTCATTGTGCAGGTGAGAACTCGGAGGAGGACAACGAGCAGTATGATGACAGTGATGACGAAGAGTTTGTAGCCAAGAAGATCATCAAACAGGTAGGCACTTATCTCCAGGTTCATCATCAAACAGGTAGGCACTTATCTCCAGGTTCATCATCAAACAGATAGGCACTTATCTCCAGGTTCATCATCAAACAGGTAGGCACTTATCTCCAGGTTCATCATCAAACAGGTAGGCACTAATCTCCAGGTTCATCATCAAACAGGTAGGCACTTATCTCCAGGTTCATCATCAAACAGGTAGGCACTTATCCCCAGGTTCATCATCAAACAGGTAGGCACTTATCTCCAGGTTCATCATCAAACAGGTAGGCTCTTATCTCCAGGTTCATGTATACTCTTGTTAAGTTGACTCGGAGATATCTTTTTGAATATGATTTACTCCAAATCTAGAAAACTGGAACAAAAAGAGTTTTACCCATTCAATCTTAATGAAAAGTCAATGATGAGATCACCCCATCAAGCTCATGTCACTTTCTTCAGAGAACTAAATGTGCTATGTCTTATTTTTTGTCTTGCCACATACCAGTCATCCTTGAACCATGTGAGTGAGTGAGTTTAGTTTTACGCCACACTCAGTAATATTCAAGCTATATGGCGGCCGTCTGTAAATAATCGAGTCTGGACCTGACAATCCAGTGATCAACAGCATGAGCATCGCCTTGAACCAAAAACAGGGTCGGTGGAGTTGAAGTGGTTAAGGTGTTCACTGATCACACTGAGGATCCAGCTTCTATTCCCAGATGGGTTTGAAGCCTATTTCTGGTGTCTTGAGATAACTCATTTTTCTTTATAGGAATAGGCTGATTGGGGTAGCCTAGTGGTTAAAGTGTCCCCTCGTCACACCAAAGACCCGGGTTCGATTCCCCACATGGGTACAATGTATGAAGCCCATTTCTGGTGTCCCACACCTTGATATTGCTGGAATATTGCTAAAAGTGGCGTAAAACCAAACTCACTCACTCACTCTTGATGGAATATTGCTAAAAGCGGCGTAAAACCAAACTCATCCACTCACTTTTGATAGAATATTGCTAAAAGCGGCGTAAAACCAAACTCATCCACTCATTTTTGATAGAATATTGCTAAAAGTGGCGTAAAACCAAACTCACTCACTCACTCTTGATGGAATATTGCTAAAAGCGTCGTAAAACCAAACTCATCCACTCACTTTTGATAGAATATTACGAAAAGCGACATAAAACCATACTCACACACTGAACCAAGAATAAATTATCATTGGGACAAAAAAATAAGGGTACTTTAACTGAGTTTGTGTTTTGGTTGTTTTTGTTTTGTTTTTAACGTGAGACAGTTCATATGGACATTTTAATCAGTATTTAGACTGGATACAACCGGCTTGCTACATGTGAAGAACGAGAATGCCGCACATTCACCCATGGCAAGCAAGATCGTTTTAGGTTTCATGAAAAAAGATACTGTTGGAAAGGCGACCGATCGACTCAGGTTGAATATGTTATACAATTTGGTTACGCGTTGGTAACACCTTTAGTACAATGTATACGTGTTTTCAAACTGCAAATGCGTCATTACAGTGTAGAACTGACCACATAGCCAGCTGACGGGCAAGCAACAGGTGGATTAAAACAGTAGCCTGCGCGATCGAGACACAAGAACCACACCTATACCTGCACCGTGAAATAGTCTAATAAGGTCTAACGACGCCATTCGTTTATCGCTTGGGCACCAATGACGTCATTTCTAAGGGACATAAGCCATGGTGTGTTTATTGTGGACATAAAACTCGGTAAATGTTGAAAATATGAATTGAAATAACATAAAATAATAAATTAGTTACTTCTGATATATGTGGACGGGTTTGGATATAAAACTACTTGATAAACATTTTTCATGATGAAAAAGTGCAAGACAAAAGGTTTATTTTAGCGTGTACACTTGCCCTTTAAGGTGTTCACTGATCACACTGAAGATCCATCTTCTATTCCCAGATGGGTTTGAAGCCTATTTCTGGTGTCTTGATGGAATAGGGGCGGTGGGGTAGCCTAGTGGTTAAAGCGTCCCCTCGTCACACCAAAGACCCGGGTTCGATTCCCCACATGGGTACAATGTATGAAGCCCATTTCTGGTGTCCCCGCGCCTGGATATTGCTGGAATATTGCTAATAGCTATGTGGAAAAGACCAAACTCACTCACTCACTCTTGATGGAATATTGCTAAAAGCGGCGTAAAACCAAACTCACTCACTCACTCACTCTTGATGGAATATTCTGGCGTAAAACCATACTCACTCACTAAACCAAGAATAAATTAGCATTGGAACAAAAAAATAAGAGTACTTTAACTGAGTTTGTGTTTTGGTTGTTTTGTTTTGTTTTTATCGTGAAACCAAACTGGTGGGTCTGTATGACATGTGGAAAGAGTGGGTATGGGGTCTGTATGACATGTGGAAAGAGTGGGGTATGGGGTCTGTATGACATGTGGAAAAGAGTGGGGATTAACTAGGGGTCTGTATGACATGTGGAAAGGGGTTGGAACTGTGGGATGGGTCAGTGTAATGACATATGGTAGAGTGGGACTGGTGACATCTGTATGACATGTGGAAAGAGTGAACACTGGAGTGGGATCTGTATGACATGTGGAAAGAGTGGGGTGGGAGTCTGTATGACATGTGGAAAGAATGTGGGGGAGTCTGTATGACATGTGGATGTGGGGTCTGAACATGAGGGGGGGTAGGGTCTGTATGACATGTGGAAAGAGATGGGTGGGGACTGGGAAGGGTCTGTGTGACATGGGGGCGGGTGGTATGAATGTGGAGAGTGTGGGGTCTGTATGACATGTGGAAAGAGTGGGGTATGGTCTGTATGACATGTGGAAAGGGATCTGTATGACATGTGGGATGGGGGTCTGTATGACATGTGGAAAGAGTGAGATGGGATCTGTATGACATGTGGAAAGAATGGGATGGGATCTGTATGACATGTGGAAAGAATGGTGTGGGGTCTGTATGACATGTGGAAAGAGTGGGGTGGGATCTGTATGACATGTGGAAAGAAAGAGTGAGATGGGATCTGTATGACATGTGGAAATATGTCTGTATGACATGTGGAAAGAGTGGGATCTGTATGACATGTGGAAAGAATGTATGACATGTGGAAAGAGTGAATCTGTATGACATGGGGTGGGATCTGTATGACATATGACATGACATGTGTGGAAGGAATGGGGTGGGGTCTGTATGACATGTGGAAAGAATGGGGTGGGGTCTGTATGACATGTGGAAAGAGTGAGATGGGATCTGTATGACATATGGAAAGAGGGGCAGGGTCTGTATAACATGTGGAAAGAGTGGGGTGGGATCTGTATGACATGTGGAAGGAATGGGGTGGGGTCTGTATGACATGTGGAAAGAGTGGAAGGGGATCTGTATGACATTGAAGGAGAGGGGCAGGGTCTGTATGATATATAAGGGTCGAGTTAGATGGGGTCTGTATGGTGTATGTGGGAAGAATGAGCTGGATTCTGTTTGACATATGTGAAGAGATGGTTTTAGTCTGTATGATATGTGTGAAGAAAGGATTTTGGTGGGCATGATATATAAGTGTGAGGTAAGGTCTATATGATGTGTGAAGAAAGGAGTTGGGTGTGCATGATATATAAGTGTGAGGTAAGGTCTATATGATGTGTGAAGAAAGGAGTTGGGTGTGCATGATATATAAGTGTTAGGTAAGGTCTGTATGATGTGTGAAGAAAGGAGTTGGAGTGTGCATGATATATAAGTGTGAGGTAAGGTCTATATGATGTGTGAAGAAAGGAGTTGGGTGTGCATGATATATAAGTGTGAGGTAAGGTCTATATGATGTGTGAAGAAAGAGTCATACTGTTAGTTTGTGTTGGCTTGCAAGTATTGACATATTGCACATTATTTGAGTAGGATATGAAGACTGGTGAAGAAGACGAGTTTGACCCAGACGAATTGCCATATTGCTGTATCTGTACCAACGATGCCACCATTAGATGCCTCGGATGTGACTTTGACCTCTACTGTGCTGGATGTTTCAAGTATGCTCATTTCTGTGATGCCTCATTTTGTTGCTTATCGAATTCAAGTAATTCCACAAATCCTAACAAGCATATTGATATTTATTTATGAAATCATTACAAGGTGTCCATGGTCCTCCTCATTGAGGGCTGGCGAGGTAGCCTAGTGGTTAAAGCATTCAAAAGATGTGAAAATATGGTACTCGTCATGCCTGGCTACGGCATTAATGAAGACCCAGGTTCGATTACCCACATGTGTACAATGTGTGAAGCCCATTTCTTGTGTCCCCTGCCATGATGATGGTCGAAAAAAGATAAAAGTTTCGTAAAACCAAACTCAATCACTCACTCACTCCTCCACGGTGTGACAGTGTTTGTTGGGATGAGATAGGCATGCTAGAAATCATTGTGGTAATTGTTTTCGATGTTTGTTTCAGAGAGGGCCATGACAAGCTTGACCTTGTGGATCACGTGACAGTGAAATACACGCCACCAAAGGAAAGTTGAGCTGACAGAATTGGGCCTTGGATCAGAGCATATGACCATATCATTGTTAATGTTCTTAAGTCAAACTGAAGCATGAATATGGCTGTGAAGGTTATTGTCTTGAAACAAACAGTTGCTAGGATGCATATATTGTTTTAGGGACGTATGGCAAAAATATATGTAGCATGTTAAATATTGATTTTTGGTGATGTGTTGTTATTGGAGATCAACATAGGATATATTTTATAAAATGGTGGTAGTTATATCATGAAACAAATGAAACGGTTTGCCAGTGATCTATGTATGGAAAGGACTTTTACAGTTGTAAAATGGGTACCCGGTAGAAGAAAGGCAGACTTGGCGCCAGAGAATGATTGTTAACACTAGCCATGTATACATGGTTTTAAGAGAGTACCAGGAAGGATGAAGTTTGAGAATCAATTTCATTTTCAGATTACCTGATGAGATGTCAGATCGTCATCTCTCAGTTGTAAGATGGGTACCAAGTAGGAGGGAAATTCTGTCAAAATGGCATTACAAAGCACCAAGATCTATACATGATATTTTCTTTTTTATATGTATACCCCAGTATGGTAGCAGTTTATATAAGAGTTCAGAAACTGTTTACAGGACTGATGGCACTTTTGCTGTTACACAGTCATTAAAAGAATCAAGAATTGGAAAAATCTTTAGTCCCAATTAGCATAGCCAGTAAGTTTGTATGTTTATACTACAGTATTTCATTACCAGTGAGTGCACAATTCTTCAAATTATTAGATTTTGTAACTAGGCTAGAGTAAAATTTCACAGTGATGAACTAGTTCATTTCTTTTGGAATCACTGTAATCCTTGTATAAATTTAATTTTATCAGATACATATTTGCACCAAATCAAACCATTTTCATGTATTTAATCTGAGTGATATTGTACTTAATGGATTCTATTTATCATGTATATTGCCAAAGACAGTTACATATTTTCCTTGACAGTTACTAGTTAAGTTACATGATGAAGTAGATTGGTTTTAACACAAGATTGTTATTTATCTGCTTTGAGATTGTGTAGTGGTAATTGTCAAGTTTGCTTGTTTGGTATTACATTTAGATAATTTGTTATACAATGGAACCCTGCTTGTCTGGACTTACACCCTGTTTACTGGACACCTTTCATGAAAAATGTACCATAAAAATTTCCCATTTGTCCAGAAATCTTCATTCTGGAACCGGGTTGGGGTAGCCTAGTGGTTAAAGTGTTCGCTCATCACGCCGAAGACCCGGGTTCAATCCCCCACATGGGTACAATGTGTGAAGCCCATTTCTGGTGTCCCCCGACATGATATTGATGGAATATTGCTAAAAGCGTCGTAAAACCAAAGTCACTCACTCACTATTTCTGGAACCAGATGTTGAATTTTGACCCACAAAACAAGTGCTCATTATAATGCTCCCCTTACCGGTCAGCATTAATGCTTGACACTCATTTAGTAGGTCATAACGCTGGACCATCATCATTGTAACATTTGTTCACAGTGAAGGATGGGAATGAAAGTTTGACAATTGATCCTTTAATCATTTTCATCAAGCGATAACATCGTTGAGGAATTTGTCACCAAGGTGAAGGTTAGTTATTGTCCGAGATGAATTAATCTGTATGTGTATATTCGCTATCAAAACGCACAGGTAATGATGACCTCTGACCTCTGACCTCTTCCATGACTGATTGATGGCTGATACATGATGTCTTAGATTTGTAGCTATGTCTGTATGTATTAATTCAAGAACGTATTGATTACAAATGCTGTGTCTATCTCATTTGGGGAGCAATCAGTGATATTATGAAATTATTCACATGTCCTATTATTCCTTGAGAAAGTCAATAGTCCAGATATGCAGTGTTCTACTGTAAGGGTAGCCAGTGGTTAAAGTGTTAAGCTCATCACGCCGAAGACCGGGTTCAATCCCCCACATGGGTACAATGTGTGAAGCCCATTTCTGGTGTCCCCCGACATGATATTGATGGAATATTGCTAAAAGCGGCGTAAAACCAAAGTCACTCACTCACTATTTCTGGAACCAGATGTTGAATTTTGACCCACAAAACAAGTGCTCATTATAATGCTCCCCTTACCGGTCAGCATTAATGCTTGACACTCATTTAGTAGGTCATAGCGCTGGACCATCATCATTGTAACATTTGTTCACAGTGAAGGATGGGAATGAAAGTTTGACAATTGATCCTTTAATCATTTTCATCAAGCGATAACATCGTTGAGGAATTTGTCACCAAGGTGAAGGTTAGTTATTGTCCGAGATGAATTAATCTGTATGTGTATATTCGCTATCAAAACGCACAGGTAATGATGACCTCTGACCTCTGACCTCTTCCATGACTGATTGATGGCTGATACATGATGTCTTAGATTTGTAGCTATGTCTGTATGTATTAATTCAAGAACGTATTGATTACAAATGCTGTGTCTATCTCATTTGGGGAGCAATCAGTGATATTATGAAATTATTCACATGTCCTATTATTCCTTGAGAAAGTCAATAGTCCAGATATGCAGTGTTCTACTGTAATGACAAACAGCATATTTCTCAACAGGTTTTTCTAAATATTTGTGGTATTTTAGATATGTAATTTTTTAATTTGTGTAAATTTATTCATTTCATCAAATCTTATAAATTTGTATTATATTATATTGTTTCTTCAACTCTTTGCCAACAGTATGGCATGTTTATACACAAACCAGCCATATTCTTTCTTGAGAATTTGGTTTGTTATAAAGTAGTGAAATTCAGAGAAAGACTTTTGATTGTTTGTAACTTCTATTATTGTCGCTTGTCACATTCACTTGGCTGTTAGTGATGCTGTTTGTTACTCATCTATGTCAACAGTGGGTTTTGATCATTGTCAGTACCTCAAGGTTTGTATTCACGGTGTTCCTTCATCATGAAGTAATACATCAGTCAGTGTATAACGCATAGCAGTTGAGGGGATGTGGGGTAGTCTAGTGGTTAAAGTGTTCGCTCGTCACTCCGAAGAGCCGGGTTCGATTCCCCACATGGGTACAATGTGTGAAGCCCATTTCTGGTGTCCCCCTCCGTGATATTGCTGGAATATTGCTAAAAAGCGGCATAAAACTCAACTCACTCACTCACTCTTAGCAGTTGAGTGCACCTAGTACTAATTGGCCTTAGTAGTTTCGACCAATATTTCCATCTGTTGTATTCATACTGCCACCAATATTTCTTTTAATAACTAAACTATGACATTGTCGGTTACCGTGGCAGCGGGTAATATTTTTTCCAGTTGTCACCCTCCTGGAGGGGTGACACAGAAACTTGTTAAAATGTCACTGACCAATGAAATTAAAGTATCTTATATGAAGGTAAGATAAAACAATGTTTTAATAGTTCCAAAATCATCCCGATTAGATATAATCTAGTTTAAAATGATACGTCAATTCATATCTAGGTTCAACTCGATATGTCATTTTGTATCCATGGTATATTTTTATGGTAAACCGATCAAGAGTGTCCCCATGACTACCAAACTGTACAGGTACTGTATAGGAATGTGTGTACAAACCTATATAGACAATTGATGATATCAATGAACTATTTGCTCAACTGTTGCCAATGAATACCGGTAAGTTCTTAAATCAGAGAAAATGAGTAGATGGAAGAAATGTTATGTTGATGATCTCCAGTGAGTAGACTGAAATTGATGTATAAGCTTATCCTGATCAAGAATATAAATGAATTGTCAATAAACTCTGATGAATCAAGTAAATGCAGCGTTGATATGGCAGTGGAACTTTGGCATTTTTCCATCAGCAACTCTAAATTGGATCTTGTCAAATCTGTGAGGCAGACAATATTTTTTCACTTGATTCCCAGGCTTGTTGTCTTTCATGGTGGACTTTTAACCTTGCTTTTACTCTTGATATCAACAGAACTACTAGTAACTAGAAATCTATAATTGAATCTTGTTGAAAAAATATTCTAAAAGCTTGAAATCGTAGTGAATTATGACAAATTGCAAGAAGAAATAGAAATGAACAATTTAAAAATTGTATGTATTTTTCAGTTCGGGAATATTTTTTCTGATGAACCTGAATTTTAGAGTCGGAAATTCATACCCTTTGGTGTCACACTGTCAAAGTTATTGTTCTAAAAGCAGTTTCAGAATATTATTGTCGTAAAGATGTTGATACAATTGTTGACAGGAGCAAAAAAGATGAATGTTTAAGAAAATGTTTAGAAGACAAATACTCTGGGACTAGATAGTCAATATTGTTTCCTCTGAATTCCTACTCTTCCTCCACAAGATCTTCCTCCCATCGGATGTTCTGGAGATTCTTTCTCTGCTTGCCTTATATGATGGTGCTTACTTGCTGTGATTTCTCTCCTCTAAGTGTGGGCCAGGACTGGGTAGATCTCACTATTCTGTATTACCTGGATAGTGAAGGCCTCATTTTTCTAGTCCCTGGATAGTGTAGGCCTGTACTCTTTAGTTCCTGGATAGTGTAGGCCTCATTTTTCTAGTTCCTGGCTAGTGCAGGCCTCATTTTTCTAGTTCCTGGATAGTGTAGTCCTGTACTCTTTAGTTCCTGGATAGTGTAGGCCCCATTTTTCTAGTTCCTGGATAGTGTAGGCCCCATTTTTCTAGTTCCTGGATAGTGTAGGCCCCATTTTTCTAGTTCCTGGATAGTGTAGTCCTGTACTCTTTAGTTCCTGGATAGTGTATGCCCCATTTTTCTAGTTCCTGGATAGTGTAGGCCTCATTTTTCTAGTTCCTGGATAGTGTAGGCCTCATTTTTCTAGTTCCTGGACAGTGTAGGCCTCAAGTCTCTCATTCCTGGATAGTTCAGGACCGTACTCTTTTGTTCCTGGAAACTGTAGGCCTCAATTCCCTAGTTCCTGGATAGTTAAAGCATCGATTCTCTGGTTCTTGGATAGTGTGGGCCTTCATTCTCTAGTTCCTGGATAGTGTAGGCCTCAAGTCTCTAGTTCCTGGATAGTGTAGGCCTCAAGTCTCTAGTTCCTGGATAGTGTAGGCCTCAAGTCTCTAGTTCCTGGATAGTGTAAGCCACAATTCTCTAGTTCCTGGATAGTTTAGGCCAGTATTTTTTAGTTCCTGGATAGTGTAGGCCTCATTTCTCTAGTGCCTGGATAGTGTGATCTTCAATTCTCTAGTGCCAAGATAGTATATGCCTCTTGACATAATTGCCCGGATAGTGTAGACCTAAATTCCCCGGTGCCTGGATAGGGTTGGCCTCAATTCGATTGTGCCTGGATAGCATAGGTTTAATTACTTTCTAGTGCCTATATACTGTAGACTTCACTCTTCTCTCATGTCTGGATAGTGTGGGCATCTCTACTCAAGTACCTGGATAGTGTAGACTGCACTAGTCTCTAGAGCCTGCATAGTTAAGGCAACTCCTCTTCCTGGATAGTCAAGGCAACCCTACTCTCTAGTGCCTGGATAGTCTAGGCATTTCTAGTCATAGTTCCCGGATAGTATATACTCTCTAGTGCCTGAAAACCAGACTTCAAAGGGTTCTTGGATACTAATCTGGTTTTGCATCAAATTTGCTCATTCTGGCAGTAATTGTGTTATATTGTAGTATGACTGGTCAATATATGGGTACCAGTAAGTTGTAATATTGTGATAGTGATTATGGCAATTGTTTAGACTTGATAATATTCAACTATCTATTAGCCTTGAATCTCTATATTTTTCCTATTAAATTTATATTTCAGAATATAATGTTATTGGATCACTATGTCTTTTTCTATGGTGCTATTTGTAATACTACAAATTTAGCTGGATTCCATAACTGCTTGAGGCTCTCCTTGCATCATTGCAATATTATAGAGAATAATAGTGAGAAAAGTTGTAATACATTGGAATGATTAATTCAACCAAGGGAAATTGTTTATGTAAAGTGTACAAGACTCCTATTCCTTCTTAATGCTTACTAGTACAGCAATATTTATATTTTTGTCATATTATGAAAAAAAGTTGCAAAGGCTTGTTTGAAAAACAAATTTGTATTCTTTTTTCTACTTTTTTTTTTTTCCATTTTTCAAACAGGATGGAAAGAGGTGTGAACTTTGGTGTCATTTTGGTCAATGAAATACCAGCCAAACTAGACAGAGGATGGGGAACATGCACCCTTCCTGACATGGATGTGAACATGTTAGAACAAACTGTGTTAACAATGCTTGGATGATAGGCAACTAAATCAACTAAAGTACTGTCGGAAATAGAAAAAAAACTGTTTTTGGAATATTGCTGGCTACAGCATGGAAACATACAAAAACAAAACAAATATAAAAACAATGATAGATCTTTTCCATTTTAGTCCCGCTCAATATATTTCTTGTTTCATGGGATATTTTCTCAGTATACAAGGAAGGAGATAAAATAAGGGGTTAAGTATAGACGTTTAATTTCCGTAAAAGAATCTGGAAAATAGTTTTAACCAATCTACAGACTAAAATAATCATAATTCATATTTTCAATCTTATATAGCATATTGTTATTTTTTTTAAATTAAGACTCACTAGTACTAGGTAATAGCTTTGCCAATTGCCAAACAAGATCTCATTTCCATATTTCATGAAAAATAATGGCCATGGAATCTCTATTGTAGGATCTCAAATAACAGGAAAACCACCTTCTTTAAGTACCTGTCATATCTTTGAACTGTGGGCTTAATCTCACAGTAGATTGACCGAATTATAAACTCTCTTTTTATTAGGTCAGGTAGTTCAAATATTGTGTATTTATTGTTTTTATCGAATCTGCATCGTTGTTTTCGGCCTCTTTGTTGTTTCGGTCGACATGAGGTTGTTTGGTGTATAATGTTGTACATTCCAGCAGAACAAAATGATCCAACTGTGGTCACAATTCTTTCTTTGCTGAGGCTTTTTGGTTTCATATTGTGATACTTTTGTCGAACAATTTGGTTGTTGTTTGTAATTTTACATCTGAAAATCGAAAGGCGATTGCCTTCTGAAGATACTCATATGTTGTATGTGAATTGGATTTCTGCTACTTGTTCATGTGACGAACAATTTGTTGGTTTCAATGTGAAAACAATCTTAGCATCTGATGGTCAAGGTTTTACATATTGACAGTCCAGCAAAGTTGGACATTGACTGACCTGGTGAAGTTTATGCGGATTTGGAACTGAGACTCTAGGGTTTTATGCAATGCAGATAAGTGCATCTGCTAGGGGTGAAACGGTACGTTCTTACCACGGTAGCGGTGTGTATTGCGGTACAAAGCCTTCGGTTTGGTCCATTTCTGTTCGATATATAAGATATGCAGAAAATTGAGCCAAAGAGCCAAACAGTACATTGTTTCATGACATGAGGGCAAAATAACCATAATATTTGTTATTTTGAATGAACAAAACTGTCACTTTATGACTGCATAGAAATGACAGTACAAAATACTGAATTTTTGGATTGTATTTGGTATACTGATCCGAAGGCAAAATACCACGGTTCTACTAATTCCGCGGTTCTACTAATTCCGCAGTATACCGTTTCACCCCTAGCATCTGGTATACACAAATGTATAGAATGGTCGCAGAAAAATACTTATTGCATCCCAAGGGATGTATAATACCATTCACTGTACATCACTGTACCAAATTTTCCACAAGAATTATAGAGTTGATATTATCGACATTATCATTACATCTTAAAGTACAGTATGCTACTTCATCACTCTAGAGGACCTTAAAGTACAGTATGCTACTTCATCACTCTAGAGGACCTTAAAGTACAGTATGCTACTTCATCACTCTAGAGGACCTTATAGTACAGTATGCTACTTCATCACTCTATAGGACCTTAAAGTACAGTATGCTACTTCATCACTCTATTGGACCTTAAAGTACAGTATGCTACTTCATCACTCTATAGGACCTTAAAGTACAGTATGCTACTTCACTCTAGAGGACCTTAAAGTACAGTATGCTACTTCATCACTCTATAGGACCTTAAAGTACAGTATGCTACTTCATCACTCTATAGGACCTTAAAGTACAGTATGCTACTTCATCACTCTATAGGACCTTAAAGTACAGTATGCTACCGTCACTCTCTAGGACCTTAAAGTACAGTATGCTACTTCATCACTCTATAGGACCTTAAAGTACAGTATGCTACTTCATCACTCTATAGGACCTTAAAGTACAGTATGCTACCATCACTCTATAGGACCTTAAAGTACAGTATGCTACTTCATCACTCTAGAGGACCTTAAAGTACAGTATGCTACTTCATCACTCTAGAGGACCTTAAAGTACAGTATGCTACCATCACTCTATAGGACCTTAAAGTACAGTATGCTACTTCATCACTCTATAGGACCTTTAAGTACAGTATGCTACTTCATCACTCTATAGGACTTTCATGTTTCCTGCAAGGACCTATGAATTACTTGGAATCCTCTATACCACGAATATTGTTGGTCAAGGTAAAACCCAGAACAATCTTTCCTGTACCTTGAACCAAGCTAAGGGAGTCACTGAACGGCGTTTAGAAGAAATGCACATAAAGGCAAGAATTTATGAATGTCAACTTCTTCATTTCACCACGACCGCCGTGATATTGCTGGAATATTGCTAAAAGCTGCGTAAAACTCACTCACTCACTCACTTATTTCACCATGATGGACAATCACAAATAAAGAAATTGACATCCATAAAATCTTTGCCTTAAAGCTAGGGGAGTTACTGTTACTGTCCAGATCAACATGTTACCATGGTAACAATTCCTGGATACTGTGCTCTTTGAGTCTATGTCCATGCTTATGTATTGAATCTTAGATCGGTGGGAGAATGTGGAGAGTCCAAATATAGAAGTCACTGTTTACAAATCAAATTGTTGAATATATTTCTCTTGCTATGTTTGTTACAATGTTCAGATTTTGATTCAGTCAATGCTTCTTTGTTATGCATGTTGCATATTGAAGGTTGTGATTCCACTTGTTTAATATTGTCATCGTTATTCAAATATTTATGTCTAAGCTGCCAGGCATAAATGTTCTGTCCCAGAAATAAAACCTCTCTGAAAAACTGCCTTGTTTCATGTGATATTTTGAAATTGTTCTCCATTTTACTGTTCTATGGAGGTCAGTCATACAATACTAAGGTTGGGTTTTCTGGCAAGCAAGTCATTATTATAAGCCAAGGAACTAGTGAACTGAATCGCTTCCCTTCTCCTGTCATAAGTCTGTGTTAAAGTAAGAGAGTTAGGATCATATTTGTGCTATGACTGTTCTCTTGATGCGGATGCAGTTGAAGTCTTCTTCAACAGCCAATAGCAGCCTTCGAAATACCTGCCTCCCGACCGTCCGGGATGGGTTATTTTCAACAGGGACTTCTCAAATTCACCTGCCCGACAGTCGGGATAAAATTCAGACATGTATATGAAGATATTCATTATTTTTTCAGGATAATAAATCATTATTAATTCACTCGTAAAAATAAATGATGAATGAATGATGATAAACTACGTCGCTTGTCAAACCTAAATTTTTTGCAGGCAGGTAAGTTTTGGTCAGGGCTGGCAAGTTTTACATCCTACCAGCCCTGTGGTCTGGCTGAAGGGTTTGGGAGTTTCATACCCTGCCAATAGTCTTTTAAGTCTACTTCCAATAGACATTTAAGTCTACTTCCACTTCCAATAGACATTTAAGTTTATTTCTACGTCCAGTAGACATCTACGTCAACCTCCACATCCAACAGCTAATGAAGTCTTCTTCCACATCCAACAGCTATTTAACTACCTCCACATCCAACAGGAAGTCTTCTTCCACATCCAACAGCTAATGAAGTCTTCTTCCACATCCAACAGCTAATGAAGTCTTCTTCCACATCCAACAGCTAATGAAGTCTTCTTCCACATCCAACAGCTAATGAAGTCTTCTTCCACATCCAACAGCTATTTAACTCTACCTCCACATCCAACAGCTAATGAAGTCTTCTTCCACATCCAACAGCTAATGAAGTCTTCTTCCACATCCAACAGCTAATGAAGTCTTCTTCCACATCCAACAGCTATTTAACTCTACCTCCACATCCAACAGCTAATGAAGTCTTCTTCCACATCCAACAGCTAATGAAGTCTACCTCCACATCCAACAGCTAATGAAGTCTTCTTCCACATCCCATAGCTATTTAACACTACCTCCACATCCAACAGCTAATGAAGTCTACTTCCACATCCAACAGCTAATGAAGTCTTCTTCCACATCCAACAGCTAATGAAGTCTTCTTCCACATCCAACAGCTAATGAAGTCTTCTTCCACATCCAATGGCTATTTAACACTACCTCCACATCCAACAGGGATGTTCTTATATAGACGGAAAGTAATATATGTTAAACATTCAAAGGGTCAAATCCAGAGAAGGAGTTTGCTTATCTTCCCAAAAATTAAGATTTAAAAAAATGCAAAGTGGCGATGAAAGGGGTTTATATATGAAAATCAGTCATGCCCACAAATGTTCTTGAAAAAGGTATTCCTGTGCAGGTTTGTGTTTCGTTTAAGGGTTACAAATGAATGACGGCTGTTGTTCCACCTTTAGCAAATGAACTTTAATGATGCATTGACATCTGTCATTTGAATGCATAAGAATCTACGGAAAGACTCAATTTCAGGACTATATAAGATAAGAACGCTCCCTATATACTCTTGCCTATCCAAACCTGCCTATATTATAAAGGGAAACAACCATAAAGGAAATTGACAAATGAAATTCAGAGAATAAGACAACTCCGAGAGGCATTAAAATACATCCAAAGTAAATGTGTGCATCTCCAAATGGTCTGAAACTGAAATAAATCTGAACTATTTTTTTATTGAATTCATTAATGCACTCTCTTATCCGGAAATAACTTAAGATGATTTGGGAGCTTATTGCAGATTAAGCCCCTGAAACGTAGACTTGTCGAGACTATGTGACTGAAGGACATTTAAACACATTTAATTACGTGAGAATTTGCTTCAAATCCTTTTCCTTGAAAAATGCATCAACCTCAGTGCTTTGTTTAGCTCATACAACAAACCATTACAAACCATCACCAAAATAAATCCACGTTGTATACATGTACATATGATAAGTTCTTTCATGATGCCGGGGTTTTTTTTGTTTGTTTTTTTGTTGTTTTTTATAGGTTATTTATCTATCGATCAACCAGACGGATAAAGATAATTACTATCCGTGGACATGACAGATCCACCTTCACGAGTGACCAACCACTCCAACATTTATTATTCGTTGTACATCATTCTAATTTGAGTGCCATTTGTGTTTATTATTCAAAACTGATATTATTATGTTTTACACTGCTGTGCTAAATGAAACCGAAACACCTGCATACACAGCATCTGATTCTGGAAACCTTGCGAAGTTCCGGGTTAGAATTGGTCTTCAGCAACATATGCTTGTCGTACGATTGGACTTCCAGGATCTGGTGATCAGGCTTGAGGACATGGATGACAGATGCCAGCTACCGAATTCCAGCTGCGTAGATCGATGTTCATTGTGTCAATCACTGGATTGTCTGATCTAAAATCGATTATTTAGAAATCACCGTATAAGATGGAAAATTGCTGAGCGTATCTATAAAAAACAACCAAACAGGAAAATTTACAGTTACTAAGTACAGCCGTTGTCTTGTACAAACGATATTTTGGTTTCCCACTAAATGCAACGCATATAGTTCTTGCAAAACGGCCACGTTTACAGGTCGTGTACTGGAACATTGAAAACAAACACGCGAGTCTGGCGTGGTCAGGGTGCCGTTGTACAAAGCGATCTTATGGACTTAGGCGATCTTAACTCCCACACCATAACACAGACTTACCATGTTTTCTCTTATGTGAGTGAGTTGAGTTTTACACCGCACTCAGCAATATTCCAGCTATATTGCGGCGATCTGTTAACACTCTTCTTTATATGTGTACTAGGCACTACTTATTGTATTTGTTACATTATACCATATTGTATATTATCCCAACAGATCCATTCCATTGTACCATATTAATATATTTCTGTATATGCCTCACTGAAATGAATAAAAATATTTTTTTAAAAGAAAGAAAACATAGACTTCCGACTGTCGTAGCGCTAGGGTTGCTTTGTACAACGGCTCCTAGGTCTGTATCCCATACCCAAGAGAATATATTAAACGAGTAGTGCTAAGTCTAGAATGGTTAAGCCAGTCTACATTACCTCAGCTCTAGAAATAAGCATTGCCCTGAACTGCTTTAAGACTGTATTTTATTGTATTTTTAGACATATAAATTTTCTTAATAACATAACTCTATTTCTAGGACGAAAGGTCAGTCTAGATCTGGACGTGTAATAGATTCATAAGTGACTCGACTAAAATCGGTTATGAGTCTAACTTATGACTTATGAGACATACCAACACTTCCTCGATAATGTGTATATGGCAATGTCACTATCCCGTTTTGGTTATCGAGCCTCGGAAGGCCTTAGGACATCCGTGTGGTTTAGTATTATTATTTTATTATTATTATGTTTTACAGATTAAAGATGAAAATGCAGCAGAGAGGGTTCGGGTGATCCTGGCACAGTCAGGCCTCAGGGCCCTTGCCCCCTCTACACGCAGCCCAGACAGCGAATGAGACTTCTCCCAGGAAACACTCCCTAGTCGAACCCGCCAAGAAGTTTCCGGAGAATATGAAGGCTCCCCAACACTGCAGCCTTCTGCATTGCCCAGAGTGTCAGAAGGGCTGTGCTCCCGGTGGAGAACCCGGGCACTCTCCTGATATGCGCCAAGAGATCAGGAGGTACCAAACCAAGGGCACCGAGAACAATGGGGAGTCTGACGACAGTGTACTTGGGATGCAAGCGAGACATTTCAAAGGCGGGGTCATTGATCATGCTTTTCCTGAATCTTGCCAATCACATTGCTGTCAAATGGGACAGAAAATTCAATGATATAAATAAATTCATTAGCTTTATCAAACAGGACAAGATCAGGTTTGTTGGCTGGAATTCTTCTGAGGCTGTATATAGGCCTATTCCACAGAAGTTTAAAAGCATCATTTTCCGCAAGCGTGACATTTCGTAAGCAAGGTCCGCATATTTGCCATGATTTTCCTGAATCTGTCAATCCCATTTGTGTCAAAGGTGACCGAAAAGTCAGTGATGTATATAATTACATTTCCTTTATCTAAAGCAACATGGTCAGGTTTGTTGGCTTGGATACGTCTGACGCTGCCTATTCCAAAAGATTTCATAGTTGTCAGTTTCCATGTCGACCTCTATATATTTTGTGTTGTACCATGGATGGACACCCGGGTCAAAACCACAAGCATGGCGAAAACGGTAATAAATCGAACGATACACGCCATCATGTCGCTGTGTTTGTGCTAGTGCTGGGCATCCACTGACAAGGTGAAGGTCAGCTTCCGTAAATTTTACATAATCTACATTTCTCGTTGTCATTTTAATGCAAAATCGCACACCGACGCAGCAGCAAAGAAAGAGAGCCTTCTGTTTCACTTTTCAGGCCAGCCCACTTCGTCCTAGCAAACTATTCAGCAGTGTTACTGTACATCTCAACCCACTGCACAAAACCTTTAAGCCTTTTCTTAAAAACCGACCTGATTCCATATAACGTCGCTAGTTTGAAATTATGCAATACACCCAGCCAGAATCTCGCGCTACAGATCAACACAAAGTATCGTTATATGAACCTGTATAGCGATAAACAATATAATGAAATGTACGAACCGGAAGTAACAGAAGTAACAGACAAAGCAGGAGTGATTATTTTTAGTTTCGTATTTTTAATACAAGACAAATCTTATGAATAACAACTTCTTGATTTATTTATCACAACGTTCCTGGACTAGTTCTTGCCCCTTCTTCATCCACCTGAAGTGAGGAGGTTAGGAGGTCCCTGGTGAAAACCTTTTCATTTGTGGCTAAGAAAAAAGCTGAACGTAAATGACTAAAAGAATTGCTCTGAAATATTCCTCTGTGTCTCGTGTTGAGATGGTAAAATATGAATGGAAATACATTCGTTACTTGTAATATCTGTACTGTGTTGGCTACGAAATTAGAAAAAAAAATTAATGTTGAGAAAGTGCAAGACAAAAAAAGGTTTATTTCATAAAGACATGGGTAAAACGGGAAGGTCAATACATTCATGTGACCTCAAAATCTATTGAGGTACAAAATCATAACCTTTCTTTAGTTTCCAACACACTGAGAGGTCAGTTAATTTTTTGCGTTTGCCTCTTCGGAAATATATGTTTTAACCAACCATTTATCCTTGAAACCCCAATATTCACACACTGAGAGGTCAGTTAATTTTTTGCGTTTACCTCTTCGGAAATATTTGTTTTAACCAACCATTTAACACACTGAGAGGTCAGTTAATTTTTGGCGTTTGCCTCTCCGGAAATATATGTTTTAACCAACCATTTATCCTTGAAACCCCAATATTCCTTTCCGGCTCTTTTTTGTTCCACGTAGATAATGCCGTTTGAGGTGCAGTGTTATGACACAAGATCTGTAAAACACCCTGTAAACATTTTGTATTGAGTATTTATACACGTAATAGGACGGAAGACTTTAGGATCTGTCAATCACCTTTCTTTGAAAGACGTATTGTTTGACCTTGGCGCAACGAAGGTGTAACATCACCTGAGTCCTAGACAGAAAAGTAAACTTAAGTAATGGTGTTTGGTCACAAGGGAACAGTTTCCAAAACCCGTTTCGAATACCATCAGGTCTGGCGCCGTATTAGATTTGGATTTTTCTTTTTAATTTCAAACTGGTCTAATAAAACCCACAAATGGCGACCAGATATATTTTTTTTGTTTACATTATCATTGTTACCCTCTACCCGTAGTTCACTGAGGTTGCAGTTGCCTGGTATAGACCATAACTGATTCCAAAATCTATCACTGGAATCCATAGTGGGTCTTTTCTCATCGACCCGTGAAGGTCCGGGTTAGAATTTTGATCTTCAGTAACCCATGCTTGTCGTAAGAGGCGACTAACGGGATCGGGTGGTCAGGCTCGCTGACTTGTTTGACACAATGTCATGTCATCGAAGTCAATTGCGCGGATCGATGTTCATGCTGTTGATCACTGGATTGTCTGGTTCAGACTCGATTATTTACAGACCGCCGCCATATAGCTGGAATATTGCTGAGTGCGGGGTAAACTAAACCCACTCACTCACTCACTTTTCTCATCAGTGCACTTTGCTTGCATTAAGTAGCCTTTAAACCCATTTTTCATCAGTTTTGAATAGTTTATTTTATTTGAAATATAAAATAGTTATTTTCTTGCCCCACTTAATTACTTTTCGTTTTTGTGTTAGTATTTAACTAGCTTCTAATTCAGAATCTGATTTCGCTATTTTTCAGTTTTGTTTTGTGTACCGAATGTAGGCAGGAAAGATAATTTGATCACGTAGGCCTGTAACGCAATGTCAGGAGATTAATCTAGCCCTCGGTGATGTATTTTTGGTTCATGTGAATAAATCATCACTGTCTAGGACCATCACGGAGAGGTGTACATCATTAGGCGGCCATATTATTATTATTATTATCATCACTGTTACTTTTTGGACAGAACTAAAAGGGTCCGTAGCTTACTTTATATTATTTTGTAATTGCTTGCAAGATACAACTGTGTATATTATTTAACAATTACACTTTCTATTTTCTATGACGAAATTATGGAGGATTCACTCTTTAATGAGGGACCAGTGTACTCTGCCTAACAGCAGGGAGACTTAGTCTGTCTCACACTCCCTGAACCACATTATTTTCCCTACTGCCAAGCCCTCTCTGCAGTGCTAAAGTGCTAAAGCCCTAAATAAAGCAAGTCTAGATTTCCTCAGGTTCTGAATCTCTGGTCTCCCTAGGGCTCCTTTTCAATATAAATGGGCTTGTTTGTTACTATCAAAATTATATATATTCAGAGACTAAGCCTTAGTCTACAGGGAGACTATATGTTGTAGATTATCCCTGCTAACAGTAACTTTGTAGAAAGTCTGGCCACTCATGCATGCATCTGTCAAATCTGTGATATCGGCGCCTTATCCCCAAGCAAAGAGCCTACGAATAAGCAATATACTTAGATGTAATGGTTACAAGTGGCCAGGCGCTGTGTTACTGCATATTTCATCAGTAGCTGGACAGTACGTATCTAAAAATAGACCTTGCACCATTCTTAATATAGCTCCAGTTTGACAGCTAAACATTGTCCAGAGACGGAACGTTGTTATCATACGGGCCCTTTTCACGCTAAGCAAAGTGTTTTCCGAACAACTGATTAACAGTATTCATCATACCAAATGATATTCTAATCAGACTTTTTCAGAAATGGGTTAAGTATTTCTTTAAATTGCTTTTCGCCTCTAGTAAATACTTATTAGTTAATAATGATCAATTTGGCTTCCACTTTGATTATTGCGTTTATGTTTTAACATGTAATAATGATAGTTGTTAGGAGAAATACGTATTTTGTGTTGGCTGATGCAAGATGGCGGAAAACGCCAACAAACAGCTGACCGCGAATTTTAGCGGTCATATTTGTATACAACAACACCAAGTACAATGATAGCAACGTTATTGAATTAGGAATATTTGTAAATGTTTGGATTTGGAAAGATGGACAACCTTGTAGATATGCTTGACCCAACAGCTGCCACGGAACTTCCTGAAAGCTTGCCACCAGAGGTGAGTACTGGGATTTAGATTAATATAATGAGCAAACCTACGTTTTGCTTATATCTGTACATACACATGATGAAAATGTTTTAATGTTCCAAATCCGTTTTGACAGTAGGTATTGATAGTTAACTGATTACCTGTCAAAGACTAAGGAAGTAAATTGATCGTCTGCTGTCAGTGTCAAAATTTTTATACAATTATCGTTTTGACAGCACCCTCTACTTTTATTGTTTATCATTTGACATGTTTGGAATCAGACTATGAAATGTTAAGCAGTGTGTAAAGGTTTACAGGAATAAGGTGTCCCAAATGAGAGTCAACTTCTATACAATCTCAACGTAAGAACTTATTATCCATGATAATACACGTTACAATCTCACCCAAACAAAGGATATTTGAACAGTTTTCAAAGACGTCCATGCTACTACGATTATTACAGACAATTGTTTTACTTTTCATGTGGCCATGTTTTAAAACTACCATGAGCCTCTTTTAGGGAACTCATAATTTATGCTAAGTCTCCATTGTAATTAATATTAACCATGTTAGATAACAATGATAAGAACAAGCTGATGTCATTAAGATAAGACACAAGATGATAATCATGTTAATATTGAGCAATTTTGCATATATTTGGTGATATTTTTTGGGTTAATTTGACAAAAACACATGGTCAATGCAAAGGTTATTTATCATTTGATGTTGTTAAGGCTTGTTAAAATACAATTTTTGTTTCTTAGTCTTATAAACATTTTGTCAGCTTTATGAAATGATTCATTTATAAGACAAAGTTTGTATTTGCATGAGATTCCAGCCTTTTTCATGGTCATTATAGATAAACATAACCATAAATCTGTTAGACATATGGGTGGTGGGGTAGCCTAGTGGTTAAAGCGTCCGCTTATCATGCCAAAGACCCGGGTTCGATTCCCAACATGGGTACAATGTGTGAAGGCCATTTCTGGTGTCCCCTCCCGTGATATTGCTGGAATATTGCTAAAAGTGGTGTTAAACTGAACACTCATTCACTGTTAGACATTATCTAGTGAAAATGAAACTGGACTGAAAAAAGCTCCCCCAAATCTAATAATAATTTACCACTGTTAAAAAATTAGACAAGTTTCAATGATCTAAGTCTTTTGGCACCTTGTCCTTGGGCCCATTTCTTCACCATGTTCACACTTCAAGTTGTACATGCTTTTTGCCCAAACAGGTCATGTTGTACATTATTCTTAAGTTTATTTTATAGAATTGTAACTACTAAAGAAATTAAAGGAACCCACCTGCTGGTTTACAGCATTTGGCACAGTTCAACTGACCATTGTTGACCACTGTCCACAACTTTTTATGATTATGATGATGTGGACTGATAACTTTGTGTCAAAACTAGAATCCTCACAGTCCATTTCCTGGTTAGGAAAATGACTAAATAATTGAAAGTTGGACATAGGGTATCTGTACCTTGATGTATTTACAATCATACCAGGAATATTTTTCCATTGCATGCTACCATGGCTATAACATGAACACCATAATTAGTTTTAATAATTCAGATGGTCATACCTTTTTGTGGTACATGGGAGTGATTGGGACTCCAATGCATGTTTATGTCCATTTTCATTGTATGTGTATATGTGTAACACAACATTTTGTCATCAAGGTAAATCATGATTTCCTCAGTGTGAACAATACTATTTTTGGAAAGTTTTGATGCAATAACCATGATAACTGATATGCAAGTTATTTATTTGCAAGTAATTGACAGAAGTAAATATGGTTGCCATGGTTAAAGTATTAAAATGTTTAAAAAATATTGTTTAATGCTAATCATCAGCTAATGTATGGATGAAAAAGATGAAAGTTAATGTTGATAATTGTGAAGTTAGGCTACCAATCTTTATTCATTTGAATATTTAAAATATATTTTATTTTCAGTAAATAATAATATACTTTTTAACATGTTAAAACTATTTTACATTGTATTGTTCTACATGCTTCTTCCCATACCAAGACTGGTCGCTAGCCTCTCTCTCTATATATATGTATACAGTGTACTCTGTCAATACCGGCATCAGTCGGGACCAAGTAAAAATGCAGGTTTTGACAGAGTGCCGGTTTAGCTAGGTTCGCTTATGACGCCTGCGCACACGGAAGTTCGCTGTCGTACTGTCACGTTAGCATTAACAAGATGTTTGAATAAGAAACAAGGCAGTGTCTGAATGCACATTCATGTTGTTTAAATCAAATAAAAATGTCTGAAATCTCTTATTAAATTTCAACTGATCATATATTATCGGCAGAATTAAAATTATAAACTATTTTTCGCGAATGTTATTGCAAACAACGATTCTTGTTTATGCTTCGGCAGCGGGTCTACAATAGCATTGTCAAAGAGCAAAGTAACGATGTTTCAAACATCGAGGAAATCATTAAATAAATTGAAATCAACAATAACATTCATAAAAGTTGTCAAACGTACATATAAAATTACTATTTCCATTCTTTGAGCGATCATGCAATGTAAGTCAAGTCACTGACAAGTTACATCTCGGCTTTCACACGATGCTTAATGTGAAAATATATGCGTGAAGCATTTTTGTCATAGGCCATAACCTAGCACGATATGTCCAATACGCTCCATGATTTCACGATAGGTAGCGATGTCTTTCTTAATATGTTCAGAATAGCATTATTTACCCAAAACTTTTGTCTTAATCTAAAACTTTTCGCTTTACAGAAGTTTCTAAATGATAATAACGCATTTCTGCCGGGACTGAAACTTTGTGCCGATGTAGACAGAGTGCCGGTGTTAAGAGAGGCCGGTATTGACAGAGTCCACTGTATATAACAAGTTAGGCTTTTATATGCGCAAGTGAACACTTTTGCATCAGGTAAAAGTTCTCCATGAAACCAAGTCCATGTCATGGTATCTATGTTCATGTTTCTTGATGCATGTATGATGACGTGTTCCTTGTGTTTCAGGAAGAAGAAGGAAATGTGGAATATAAGGTAAGTCCACTTCCTTAGTTTGACAGTGATGCATGGGGTTATCACACAGCTGGAGGCTGTGCACAATAGTGTCAGCTGCTTCATTAGAGATTTCCAGCATTATCTGCATTACTTATGTATACGTTTTGTATCATGTGTATACACAATTGGTATATGTTATGTCCAGAATGTATTATCATGATGGTGGACAATAATCAATGGTACATAGTGTGTCAGTATATCTACATGTTATATGTCAATTTGTCATAAATATGTCATCTATCATCCTGATCATGTTTATTCTTAAAAACATATTGCAGTTTGTGTCACAAATTCAGACACATTCAGTACTTGTCTATATTTGCATAGTTTGTAACATTATAGATGTCACAAAGATCAATGAATGTGAAAGTTAATATTTGCATGCCCAGAAAGCATTCGCACCATCATGAGAGTTATGATGTAATCTTTAGCCCCATAAAAGTGAGAAGGTATGTTGGGAATAACAGGTGACTTTAAGCTAAATTAAGCATGAGGTCTATATGTGTGTAACACATGTACTTACTAAAGTAAAGGATATCTCTCTTACATATGACAAACATTTCCATGAAATGGCCATGTGGATGTATTTGAGTCATAAATGTAAGCAGATCTAGGCTCACCCCAGTTAGGTTTCTCCCTTTGGTCGGTCTCCTCTCCTCCTCCTCCTTCCCCCCCCCCCCCTCTCTCTCTCTTTCTCTCTCTCCTTTCTCTCTCTCCCCCTCTGTTTCTCTCCTCTTTCCTCTCTCTTCTTTCCTCTTTCACTCTCGCCCCTTCTCTCTTTCCCCTTCTCTCTCTCCCTTTCTCTCTCTCTCCCTTTCTGTCTCTCTCCCTCTTCACACAGTATGTTCCAAATACTGGAAGTCTTATGGATATCTTTAACAGTTATTGAGGCAAACATGCTCCTGACTAGCTGTAGGTGGAGGACTTCTGCTATATTCGTCACTGACTGTTGGATCAGTTTCAAGTCACAGTTGTCCACACATGTAATGGGTTCATATATTATTCCTTGCACACACTGCACATGTTAATCAACCATTGCTATCATGGCCTGATCGTGCTTATTGCATCATCCTGTTTAATATACATGCTGTGGTAACCATGGCTCCTAAATTATTGCTTTGGGTCTCAGCAGGGAGAAATAAACTGGGGGAGTCAGAGATCTCCCCAGGGGATAATTAAACTTTGAGGTGTGCAGTCATGGCAATAGTCTCTCCCAAATTTGTAAACGTTAAAACTTGCCATGCTTACATGAATCCAGTTGGTGAACTATATGCTTTTTGTTGAAAATATATACAGTCAAATCCCGATGAGTCGAATGCCCGTGTATCGAATATTATGCATAACTCGAAGTACCTGTCGGTCCCAACCATTCCCTGTTATAGTTGTCATCATTTGAATACTGGTTACTCGAATTCGTCTCATAAATACACACGATGACTCGAGAAGGAAATTTGGTCCCATGAGATTCAAACAACAGCAATCTTGTATACATAAGCCGAAGTCAGTCAATGAGAAGGTGATTGGTGTAGCAAACTGATCCAATTAACAAACCAGCTCGGCTCACACCTTTCCGCCATTGACGGGTGAGTTCAAAAGGCAGATTAGTGATTTTATGGAAATCACTGTCTGTGCTAATCAGACTGGAACTGATAAGGTGCCCCTATTAGTGATAGGGAAATCATTAGGTAAACAAATGCTTAGGTGGAGGAATTAGGACTGGATCATCTTTTTTCTACCCTCATAGACATACCTATGTCTCGAATACATCAATAAGTCAAATTTATTAGTTGGTCCCCAGCGATTCGTCTCATCGGGATTTGACTGTATTGCTTTTTCGAAGTGTGAAATTTATTCATCCATATTTTAGAATATGGTGACCATATATTCATTTTATCTAAATGTCAAAATTACTGGACATTAAGGCTGCAACCATCCACAACAAATGGAATATATCCACTCTTACAGATTACATTTGACAGTTATGTGGTCACTGATCATTGTTGTCAAAGAATGTATTTTGTTATTGTTTAACCAAACATCATGGATAACAGATTGACTTGTTTTATTTGTGGATTTTGCATAAATTATTTTGATAAAATAACACCAAAATTCAAGTAAAACATTTCCAATATTCGATTCTGGTGATTAGGCCTAAAAAAAAGAAGCTTGTGGTTCCGATTTCCCGACCGACCCTAAATATTCCCGCCGAGCCTAACAATTTTACTCACCACATAATAAATTAAATTTATTTTCAGACACATGACTCCGATGAGTAATGTAAAAATATTTTGCAAAAAACCCCAAAAACCTACCTACCTACCCTAGTTCTGAAATGTAGGAAATCGGAACCATAACATTTATTTTTTTTGGGCCTTACAAATTCAATTCATGAAGGGATACAGTTCTGTTCGCCAAAACAGCCATGTTGGACAAGTACAACTATGTTGACTATTTATACCCAAAATTATGAGACCACAATATTTATCAGCATTGTGAAATACAAAACACATCAGTAATTGTCTATAGCACTCATTTTCTGTGTGAAATCTTAGTCCCACAGTTGTATAACATACATAATATCATTTTAGAGTTAGACATCATGAGGCAGTGGGTGACCATGGTTACATTATATGTTCCACAACAGAAGTCTGGCAAGCAGAATACACTTGACCACAACTGAATACATTGTCCTGATAATATATTGATCAAACTAATATATCAAGCCTTTTCCTCAAGCCAAATACAAAGTTTTTTTCAAATGTGGGATTATGAAAGATATTATCAAGAAAGGTAAATCCGTAATTGTATATCTGTGAAACGTCGTTTTCTCTGACTTCAGCTGAAACTGGTGAACCCATCCGACTTCCGGTTCGAGCACCTGGTAACGCAGATGAAATGGAGGCTAGAGGAGGGAGAGGGGGAGGCCATATATGAATTAGGAGTGGAAGACAATGGCATTATGGCTGGGCTGCAGGATGTGGAAATGGCGGCGTCAGTCAACACACTCAAGCGGATGGCTGTCAGGTATGACAGGAATATGTTCATTAGTGTGTAAAGCTACACAGATACATACAATTCTAATCATGCTAATAGGTGATTTAATCATGGTTGCTTATTTTGAAGGCTGAATCTGGTTACATGAGTGTAGCCCACAGAGCTAATAACATGAATAATAGTCCTCATTGCATTATGTGATAACAAGTTATATATGTTATGATAGGAAATACATAACTCTCCACACATATTTGTGGCATAAATATATGTGAAATATAAACACATCAAAAGGATAGAATACCTACCAATATGTACTCAGGTGATAGTTAGCATCGTCTACGTTTACTTTTAGTCAAACAGCATGTCCATCTTGAACAGACAGTAGTTGTAGAGCAAAAGGAGACCAATAGACATCCGTCAAAATGTCAGAACTCTTGTTTTAAGGTGCCTTTCTTGTGCAACTGTATGTGGTAGACTAATCAAAATGTGCTGATGTTAGTGTAGAAGAAAATAGACAACATAAAGCTGAACAATAAGAGATCAAGGAATAGCTTGCCCTCTGAATGAAGATCAAGGAATCCCAGATAGCTTCAGACCTTGGCTCTGAATTGAAAACCATTGAACGTTGGCAAAGTTGAAAACATCCAACGCTGCGTCTCCCTGGGATAAATAAACAATAGAGCCCAGGTCTAGCTTGGGACAATCAAGCTGGAGACGACTACTATTCATGCTCAAATAAAAACCTAACCACAACCAAACTGTTTATAAAGACAATACCGTATTTACACAAATAAATAAAATGTGAAAATATGACACTGCCACAATTGTTTGCTATATTTCAAAAGTAAATCAGTAATTACAGAGTTTCATGCCCAGTTGTTGTATTGGACACTTGAAAGATTACTCAAGAAGAATTTCAGTCATCCCTTGCAATAATGCTCTTCGCGATACCGCAGTTTCGGTTGAACTGCGGGGAAATCTGTGGCTCCCATAAAACAAGTTGCCCAGCTATCACACATCTTCACGTCATCAGAAATAGCATATCAACAAATCCGCTGTTGTGCTCATTTTAATAATGTTGTAAACTAGCGAAATTCAGTGCATATTGCAATAAACAGTGTTCATCGTACATATCCTTGTATTATGGGTTTTCAGATGCTTAAAAATATTCAGGGTTTTCTTGAATAATCACACAAACAGCGGAACATCGTAATAACTTTATCATAATGACATGCCATCAGTACTTACAATGTTTGCTGAGATGCCACATACCGCCAGTTGTCCTCTTGTCTGGATTTAACTTTAACGAAAGGTAAGGTTGACGTGTGCCATTCACGTGCACATGCCCTGTTCCACAAAGAGATTGTAGCACTACAACTGTTGTAAGCCCATGCATAAGTATAGGAGTTCTGATCACTGCAGCACTGTGATCGCTTTGTGGAATGGCGCAATAGTTGACATACATGTATCTTAATGTGAAGGCATATGTTTCATGTGAGGTAATTGCTCTGTTTTTGTAGACTTGGTGCATCGCTAACTGTGCTACGTGAGCGCACTGTAGAGGAGGATGGTGAGAACTGTATACGACGGAGGGCATTAGAGATACTTGTGAGGAAAGTTCCAGATGACCAAGAGGTCAGTTTCTAAGTCAAGTAGCTCATTTATATCTTTGATACAGTGAATATTAGTGTTTGTATTGGAATTTCATTGCTTGATGAAAATTGGAATTTTGATGGATGTCAAACTTTTTTAGGTGTAACAGATTTTTAGTGAGGGAAAGGGCTGAAGAGAGTATGATTGTATACTGTGTGCAAGTATGATAAATCTAAGCCCAAACCATGGTCACTAGTCTGTCTCATAGTCCCTGAACCACATTATTTTCCCTACTGCCTTGCCCTCTCTGCAGTGCTAAAGCCCTAATTTAAGCAAGTCTAGATTTCCTCAGGTTCTGAATCTCTGGTCTCCCTGGGGCTCCTTTTCAATTTAAATGGGCTTGTTTGTTACTATCAAACTTATATATATTCAGAGACTAAGCATTAGTCTACATGGTCATGAACATGATAAAGAAATCACATTCTATCCAAGACCAAGGCCTTGGGTAAAACTAAAAGGGCCTGTCTATCTTGGAAAGCCTTAAATGTCGCCAGAAGAGCTTTGAATTTGTATCTAATGACACTCAAGTGTATAAGAACAAACAATTTTTTCTGTTATTTCTTATTGTTGAAATGTCAAAAATACTCCTCACTTGATCATTGACAGGAGTTATGTTATTAGAGTTGTTCCCTTCAAGCAGAACAGAGTAGATCTCAGCCATTAATGCAAATGGTGGTGCTGTATGACTTCTGCCACACTTATAAGCTATATTTAAGATATTACTCGTTTATTGAGGCTATTATCTTTGCCATAAAAGGCCTTGAAATGTTGTTTAATGTGAAAAGCTGTGAAATATCATATGTTAATAGCTGTTGAAATTATCTTTTCTGTATGACTCCAGTTTGGTATCAAGGTTCATCAAACCTGTAAACAATTATTCGAGCCATTCATTGTAAACATGTGTAGCAACTGTCACAACTTTCTTTTGCTGCCACAGTTCCTGGACATGCGTCTTGCTGTGCTGGGAAACGTTGATGTAGGGAAGAGTACTCTGCTGGGGGTCCTGACTCAGGGACAGCTGGACAACGGAAGGGGACGGGCACGCCTCAACCTGTTCCGACATCTGCATGAAATACAATCAGGGAGAACATCAAGCATCAGTCATGAGATTATTGGCTTTGACAGCTCAGGGGAGGTAACTGAGTTCGGTTTTCATTGGGTGAAAAAGTTAGGCAATGATATGTGGAATAGCTATTTGTATTGAGGTAAAGGAATAAAAAGTATGGGGGGCTTAAGAAGGGCTTGTATCATGAAGATGACACATCACAACATTTTGTTGTTATTTTCGGGATGTAATAATGGAAATTTTGTTTTGTTAATTTTGCTGAAATAAAAAGTATAAATTGTACATATCAAGACCATTTTTTTTATCAGTTTATCTTCTTAAGATCCTAGGTTGAACATGTTAAATATTCCACATACTGAAGAAATACTAGAAATGCAAACTAGTATTGCAAGAAGATAATTCAGTGTTTTACTTTCAATAGTTGACTGATAACTTGGCATTGTCATGCTGCTATGGTTGTCAGTATTGCATGTGTATGACTTCAGATGGTCAACTATAGTGGGTCCCGGTCTGTAGAAGAAATCTGTGACAAGTCAACTAAGTTGATTACTCTCATTGATCTTGCTGGACACCACAAGTACCTCAAGACCACCATATTTGGGCTGACAGGGAACTCCCCAGACTTTGCCATGTTAATCGTCAACGCCACAACAGGAATCAGTGAGTTAATGTTTTGGCATCGTCATGGTTACGTTTTTCATAGTGCTAAGATTGATTTGTGCAAGTGGGCCCTTGACTAACCATGTTTATTGTTTTTGCAAGTGACTAAATAACACTAATAACATTGGAAACATCAATGTCTCCTCCATCTCTAGTCCAAGAACGTATCACCCAAATAACCTACAGTATGATGACTTAACTATGTTCTTATTTAATTATTATATAGCATTTTGAATTTACAGACCCTTCTCATTTCCTTAATGTTAGGGGCTAGAAGTCCCCATCCCCCAGATAAGAAACTGCTGGAGCAAACATTCAGTACTCTGACATGTCTTATCAGGCTCTAACTATTCCTTGTAATCCTGAAAGCTAAAATGTTCCCATTTTTATCAGCTGGGACTACAAAGGAACATCTAGGGTTTGCCCTTGCGCTGGGAGTGCCAGTGTTTGTGGTTGTCAGCAAGGTGGACCAGTGTCGTCACATCCTTATAGAGCGCACTGTCAAACAGCTGGAGAAGATTCTCAAGTCTCCTGGTTGTAAGAAAATACCTGTCCGGATCCTGAATGACGACGATGCCATCACATGTGCATCAAACTTTGACACTGAAAAGTGAGTAAGAAATCTGGGCCTAGATTTTCGAAGCTCTCTTAGCGCTAAGATAGTCAGTCGTAAGTGCCATTCATTAACATTAACTTGGCGCAGCATAATTAGAAATCAGTATGATGGCCTGTCACCACTGTTCAGTACTGTTCAGTGTACATAGCGTAAACAATGGTTTATGCATTACTTTCGAATTAGGCTATAGATTTTCATAGTACAAGTAAATTCTGAAAACAGCTGAATCATTTCAGTGTAATAATCTCTATCTTAGTGCATGGTCTAATGGATCGTAGTCATGTTAATGTTCCAGAAGAAATTTTACATAATCACAGATCAAAAGAAAACAGTTTTTACTCAGAACTGGAATATGGGCAAATTGATATTGTTTGGAACTTAGTGTATTAATCATCAAATGAAATGCCACCTTTGACTCCTACCTGATATTGGCTGTGAGTGTATAGTATGGCTGGAACAAATTAAAGTATCTGCTATATCAAAGTAAATTCTATCTGACAATATTGTGACAGCACCTGTTATAATACAGACAGAATGGCATGATCTGATCCTTGTACACCAGTGTATCATCTCACTGGGATTGTGTTTGTTAACTGCATTGGTGCGGAATGATGCTTGAAATAATGATCATAATCATTAACCGCATATTTTACAGCACTATTTATTCTGACATTGATCTTTGGCAGAAAATAACAACCTTATGTTTGTGCACAGGATCACGCCTATCTTTACCATCTCAAGCGTGACAGGGAAGAATCTGGATCTGCTGAAGATCTTCCTCAATGTGTTGCCTCCACTCAAGAGCCGCAAAGATCGAGAAAAGCTGGCCCAGGACAACACAGAATTCCAGGTGAGTTGTGTCTTCAATCTTAGCTTCATCGCTGTTACATTTACATCTATTTTGATGAGGGGAACCTTGTTCTCGGGCAGTGTTATTGGGGCGAAATGCAGTAACAAATGTTTCTCATAAGAGCAGACTAATATTTTGATGTTGGGGTAACAATGTTTGTCCCGGTCGTTGTATCCTGATGGCTTGGATAGTTTGAGGATTTCGTGCCATGCGATCTAACACTGGTTTGCCTGGACATATCTTAATTATCTTACCTACATGTAAAATGCTTTAATTTCATTGGTCAATGATGCTTTAACGAGTTTCCGTGTCACCCCTCCCAGGAGTGTGACAACTGGTAAAAATATTACCTGCTGCCACGGTAACCGCCAAACTCTCCGCCGAGAAGTATGACGTCATAATATGATGGATGCAGTGCACGGAATTCGAACTCAAACATAATTGACCATTTTTATAGCAGTTTTAAGCTTGTCAGAATATGTTTCACTGATTTTTAAAGTCCAGTCGAGTGGCAGACGCCATTTTGTTCAAATGTCAAATAGTCGGTAGCGATCTTCAAAATAAAATATATTGATATTTTGTACAATTAACATGGCGGTAAGATAAATATGAGCCTATCAGCTCGGGTGACACTGCTACAAAGGGGTGTACATTAGCCCGTATTACCCTCGAGAGAAGTATACAGGCTGCTGTCATGTGACGTCAGTATTTATGACTGCCATATAAAACTACTCTCACTGATAAGAAGATAACTCCCTAATTAATGAAACTCCTGTTTCTTAAGACTTTTTGTCAGAGATTATTTTCCAAAGCATGCTAAACAAACTGCAGTATATTCAGTGAGTTTTGATGTGTGTTTGTAACCTGTTTTGTCCTAGATTGATGACCGTTTCTCTGTGCCTGGTGTTGGAGGTGTTGTAGGCGGAACTATATTGAGGTGGGTCAAGGTGTTGTCTTACAACACATATACATCTGGGTTAGAATTGGTCTTTAGCAACCCATGCTAGTCATAAGAGGCGAGTGGTCAGGCGTATTGATTTGGTTGATGCATGTCATTATGTCCCAGTTGCATAGATCGAGACTCATGTGGGCGGTGGGGTGGCCTAGTGGTTAAAGCGTTCGCTCGTCATGCCAAAGGACCGGATATGATTCCCTTTATGGGTACTATGTGTGAAGCCCATTTCTGGTATCCCACGCCATGATACTGCTGGGATACTGCTAAAACAGCGTACCATTGTCAGTCAGTCAGTCAGTCAAGACTCATGATGTCAATCACTAGATTGTCTGGTCCAGACTTGATTATTTACAGACCCATCATGTGGCTGGAGTATCAGGTCCAGCATTTTACATTGAACAAACATTGTCTCACATGCATTCTTGCTACTTGTTATTGTTAATATGTGTATTCAGTTTAGATAAGTTATGATTAACATTTGAAATGCTTTAGTGGAAGAAGTATTAGTTTCCACAATGTGCATCTTGCGGCCATCATGAGCCTGATTGATTTTTCTGTATGGTAACTGGTAATCTTCTGTTTCATAGAGGATCTATACGAGAAGGGGACATGGTTTTGTTAGGACCATCTGAAAATGGAGAATTCCGTGAGGTCAAAGTTAGAACTGTTCACCGAAACCGGTTGCCATGCAGACTTATCCAAGCAGGACAGACAGCAACAGTTGCACTTCAAGATGTTGAGAAGGAGCAGCTAAGAAAAGTGAGTCCATATTGTTACTGTTCTTTAGGCCAATTGGTATTTACAATCTACCTTCAGCATGGTTCAGACCAAATGTTATTGGCAAGATATCTGAAAAAACATTTATCAGTGGCAGTCTGTACATGGACCGGTTGTTGTTGAAAGTTTGGTATTGAAAATCTCCCTACAGACTAATTGGTATTGACAATAGTCTTGGTGGTATTGATAGTAATCTTGTTGGTATTGACAATAGTCTTGGTGGTATTGATAGTAATCTTGTTGGTATTGACAATAGTCTTGGTGGTATTGATAGTAATCTTGTTGGTGTTGACAATAGTCTTGGTGGTATTGATAGTAATCTTGTTGGTATTGACAATAGTCTTGGTGGTATTGATAGTAATCTTGTTGGTATTGACAATAGTCTTGGTGGTATTGATAGTAATCTTGTTGGTATTGACAATAGTCTTGGTGGTATTGATAGTAATCTTGTTGGTGTTGACAATAGTCTTGTTGGTATTGACAATAGTCTTGGTGGTATTGACAATCACCCTGCAGATTGGTAGGTGTTGACAATAGTCTTGTTGGTGTTGACAATAGTCTTGTTGGTATTGACAATGGACAATCACCCTGCAGATTGGTTGGTGTTGACAATAGTCTTGTTGGTGTTGACAATAGTCTTGTTGGTATTGACAATCACCCTGCAGATTGGTTGGTATTGACAATAGTCTTGTTGGTATTGACAATAGTCTTGTTGGTATTGACAATCACCCTGCAGATTGGTTGGTATTGACAATAGTCTTGTTGGTATTGACAATAGTCTTGTTGGTATTGTCTTGTTGGTATTGACACATAGTCTTGTTGGTTGATAATCACCCTGCAGATTGATTGTTTAGTCTTGCGTGAGTATGGTATTGACAATAGTCTTGGTGGTATTGACAATCACCCTGCAGAGTAGTTGGTGTTGACAATAGTCTTGGTGGTTTTGACAATAGTCTTGTTGGTATTGACAATCACCTTGCAGATTGGTTGGTATTGACAATAGTCTTGTTGGTATTGACAATCACCTTGCAGATTGGTTGGTATTGACAGTAGTCTTGTTGGTATTGACAATCACCTTGCAGATTGGTTGGTATTGACAATAGTCTTGGTGATATTGACAATCACCCTGCAGAGTAGTTGGTGTTGACAATAGTCTTGGTGGTATTGACAATCACCCTGCAGAGTAGTTGGTGTTGACAATAGTCTCTGTGGTGGTATTGACAATTACCCTGCAGAGTAGTTGGTGTTGACAATAGTCTTGGTGGTATTGACAATCACCTTGCAGAGTAGTTGGTGTTGACAATAGTCTTGGTGGTGTTGACAATAGTCTTGTTGGTATGTGATTGTCAATACCAAAAGGACTATTGTCAATACCAACTAGTCTCCAGGATGATTGTCAATACCAACAGGACTATTGTCCATACCAACAAGACTATTGTCAATACCAACAGGACTATTGTCAATACCAACTAGTCTGCAGGGTGATTGTCAATACCAACAAGACTATTGTCAATACCAACAGGACTATTGTCAATACCAACCAAGCTGATTGTCAATACCAACAGGACTATTGTCAATACCAACCAATCTGCAGGGTGATTGTCAATACCAACAAGACTATTGTCAACACCATCAAGACTGTTGTCAACACCAGCCAATCTGCAGGATGATTGTCAACACCAACAAGATTATTGTCAATACCAACAAGACTATTGTTAACACCAACTAATCTGCAGGGTGATTGTCAATACCAACAGGACTATTGTCAATACCAACAAGACTATTGTCCATACCAACAAGACTATTGTCAATACCAACAGGACTATTGTCAACAGCAACTAGTCTCCAGGGTGATTGTCAATACCAACAAGATTATTGTCAATACCAACAGGACTATTGTCAACACCAACTAGTCTCCAGGGTGATTGTCAATACCAACAGGACTATTGTCAATACCAACAAGACTATTGTCAATACCAACAAGACTATTGTCAATACCAACAGGACTATTGTCAACACCAACTAGTCTCCAAGGCGATTGTCAATGCCAACAAGATAATTGTCAATACCAACAAGACTATTGTCAACACCAACAAGGCTGTTGTCAACACCAGCCAATCTGCAAGGTGATTGTCAACACCAACAAGATTATTGTCAATACCAACAGGACTATTGTCAATACCAACAAGACTATTATCAATACCAACCAACAGGACTATTGTCAACACCAACTAGTCTCCAGGGTGATTGTCAATACCAACAAGATTATTGTCAATACCAACAGGACTATTGTCAACACCAACTAGTCTCCAGGGTGATTGTCAATACCAACAAGATTATTGTCAATACCAACAGGACTATTGTCAACACCAACTAGTCTCCAGGGTGATTGTCAATACCAACAGGACTATTGTCAATGCTAGTGCCCAGTCTGTGTTGTGTTTCATGTAACCAATGCCTTTGCTAGATGAAATGAGCAAGTCTACATTGAACAGTGTTGATAAGAATCAATCTGATGTGTTTCTTGCAGGGGATGGTGCTATTGAGTCCTGATTCTGAGCAGTACGCCTGTCGAGAGTTCGAGGCTGACATTTATGTGCTGTTCCACTCTAGTCGTATCTCAGTGGGGTTCCAGACAACCATCCATATAGGAACCGTGTGCCAGACTGCCGTCATAGTCAAAATGGACAGGGTGAGTGTAACTTCGTTGAGAGGCATTCTAGAAGTTGTAAATGCTTGTTGTGATGCTTGATGACGGTGTTAGTACCTACACCAAAATGTCACACTCATTGCAACAAAGAAGTTGACTATCCATAGAACTTGGTTTTCCTTCAGGATGAGTGTAGTTCATTAACTATCAACTCCATAACACTTAATTGGGCTCAAACTTTTGTGGAAAAGTGAAAGAGAATTGATTTTTTCACGCGATGCCTGACTTCATCTCAAAGAAATGTACAAATGAAACTTTTTTAACCATCTGCTGAGAGGCAGAACATAATTAGGTACGCTGGAAAATGCATATTTTTCCTTATCCTGACTCATGCTCTTTTGCTTGTCCCCTTCCTCTTGCGAACATAGTGGAACACTTGTATCTCCTTAATTGAAGCTCCCTTCAATGTAAAATCACTAATTGGTACTCACCCAAGAGTTGCCTCCCCTGCCGCAAGCGCGGGAACAGGTGTCGCCACCCTCTGGCCTCATGCTTCACTCTCTCCTTCTTCGCCCAGTGAGCAGGATGTGAGAGCGCCTGTGTCTCCTTACACACTATATCCTTTGGTTTTCTTAGTTAGTTACCTCTTATAGTTTACTATAAAGGTATAGCTAGTATCCTTCATTAATTTGCATTGATAATTAATCGTATTTCTACTGTTTATTCACGGAGTTCGTAATTGTTCAGCTAGTATTACGCTGATGAAAAACTGTACTATTTGTAGATTACGCTTTTCCGCTGCAGATCCGCATGTAGTATGCCCTAGTTGTACTACGCCTTGTGCGTTGATTCACGCTGCAGTTACTGCATTAATTTAACCAATTCTGCCTTTAATAAATACCATCTTTGCGCTCTTGAGACGTGTTGCAGATAGGTCACGCAAACTAGGTGTAGACATGGCCGATACATCGGATTTCCCATCCAGTCAGCTGCTGTCGAGCGATCCCCTCCCGTCTGGTGTTCTGCTTGAGACCCCATCGGAAGGGGGACGTGGGATGCAGTCCGTCACCTCTAAGAAGCGACCGGCCTCCCCAGACATCCCGTCATCGCAGATAAAGTCCAAGAGGGCCTCAACGTCTTCTCAACGCAGACTTCGTACCCCCAGGGCAGCGTCATCCTCCAAAGGGAAATCTACGAAGTCATCGAGAACTTTCTCAGCAGAGATCGTTCCAGCAGCAGAATTGGGCCTCTACGATGATCAACCAATCTACTACGCCGCAGATCATCCCAGACGATCTAATGAAGCAGATCATGATCATGATGGAAGGCCACTACAGACTGGAGAAGCAGCCATCCCAGGGTCCGAGCCTTCGCGAAGGCTCCAACGTAGACAGCACCCCAGAGGCACCCCCAGTCAACGTAGCAGCCACGACGATGCCGCCTTCACGAAGGAAGTCACAGACCACCTCCACGAAGGACCCAGATGTACAGCCTTCGCGAAGGCGGGAAAGATCATCACCCTCTTCGGCGTCATACTCAGATACGGAATCTGATCATCAGACCTCACGGAAGCCTTCGCGAAGGTCATATCACCGTTCCCCAGGACCGGACGCAGAGGAAGCTTCGCGAAGGACACCTGAACCCAGATCGTCATCATCATCTAAAAGGACATCGAGGGACTACACAAGAGCTTCGCGGAGCTACCAACGGTCCCCTCATAGGTCGCCAAGAAGATCAACCTATCGATGTAGATCACCAAGACGATCGCCTGCGCCGACCACGCCGATCTCCACGCGATATCACCACGTCGATCACCTCACAGGTCTGCACATAAGCCTACAACTAGATCTCCACAAGCGTCAAACGATATAGAGATAGAGCCACACAGTCCTACATCAGAAGAGCAACAACCTCTCATTTATGATGACGGAATGGAAGATGATGGAGGAATTATTTTCTCAGATGCAGAGATAAGATATTGGATGGTCAATAATCTAGATCTCTCATCACCTTCCAAGAGTGGCAATTCGGCGCAGACTTATCTGATGAAAGAAGACGATGCAGATGCTATTACACTACCCCCAATCGACCCGATTGCGGCGGTACCACAGAACCTAGATACAGCATTCAACAAAGCCACGAAGGTTCAAACACCACATCTGCCAAACTTTCACGCCAAGAAGTTCTCCACGCATAATATGGACCCCTTCTTCAAGGCTCAAGACATCGATGAGAACTACAAGCTGATCTCCGATGCCAAGAACAAGTACTACAAGATTGATGATCGAAAATTGGTTCAGATAGAAACCATGACGAGGCGTATGTTCTTTGGTCTAAATAGATCTAGAACAATAAATGAGACACTTATCACCAGATTTCGTGAACCTACCTCTGAAGATGATAGAATGATTTACTTCGCCCTACTGATGCAAAAGAAGGACCAGCAGTTCTTAACAGATCATCTCACGCCTGTCTCAGCAGCATTGACCTTAGCTCGTCGCCAAGGCCTCCTCGCTTCCTGCAACTGGGGTGAGAACTTTACAGCTCCACTATATACAGCCCGTGGTCTTCCCCATCCATCTTTGACGGAGGAATAGACAAAGTCTCCAAGGAAGTCACCAAGGATTCCAGAGAAGTCCTGATGATTAAATCGATGGACACGCTAGCCAGTCATTCGACAGACTTCACAAAGATACTCAGGAGATCTAAATTCACGGGCCTACAAAGAGCAAGAGACAGGAAGATAGCCAGTTCCAGGGGAAGAGATTCTTTTCACGCCCATATGGCAACTATAGAGGAGGGTCAGGAAGAGGCAGGACACCCAGAGGTTCCCGCGAACTATAAACGCTGAAAGACAGGTTCGAACGACTGGAGTCTTCCACCCCAGCCGCTCCAGTACAACCGCCACAAGTGGGTGGACGCCTCCAACTACACTGAGAAAACTGGGGAATACTTCAAGACACCTATGTCTCCAACATTCTTCAACGCTGGATTTTCAGATCCCACTACAGGCCAAGCCTCCGCTAACAGTCAACCCTCCCAAGTTCGAGGTACAGGCACAGCAACTACTAAAGTTAAGAGAGGCTGTTACATTACTCCTAACCAAGCAGGCCATAGAAGTAATAGATCAAGGAAACGCCGAACCAGGTTTCTACTCCCCAGTTTTCCTAGTACCCAAGAAAAACTCCAAGGAGAAATACAGACTCATTTACAACATGAGCTTCTTCAACAAGACTTATCTACGCAGACCACCGGTTCCACATGATACATCTACCGAAAGTTACGCACATGATTCGTCCCATGGACTACATGGGCAGTATAGATCTACAAGATGCCTATCTGCACATCCCTATACATCCCGAATCCAGGAAATACCCACGGTTTACTCTAGACGGGTTACATTACCAGTGGAAAGTACCCCCATTCGAATAACATCAGCCCCATGGTTATTCACGAGGATAACGAAACCGATTGTCACTTCTATCTACATCGCCAAGGGCTACGCAGCGCTCTTCCTCGACGACGGGGATACAAGTAGATCAAGATCCACAGCATCTCAAACTACAGTTAAACTACATCATAAAGCTACTAACACAGCTGGGATGGTTAGTAAATCTTACACAAGTCGGACCTAGTACCATCGCAAGATCTGCAATTCCTAGGCATTCGATTTATCACCAATCTCAACCGTGATAGTCGTAGACCAGAAGACCGCTGGCTCAAGATCCAACAGATCATTCCTCCAGCCCTACTCTCTCCCGCTACCACTTCGACAATGGCAGAGTTTACTAGGTCTTCTAACATCAGCCCAAGACTTGACAGTCATAGGCAGATTACAGTTACGCCCCTTACAGATCTTCATCAACACACATCTCAACGACCTACAACCATTCAGTCTACCGAACATCTCAGACCTCATCTACTATGGTGGACCAAGAAATCGAATGTTCGCGAAGGGATCTGTTTAGCAGAGCAGGAATTCAAAACCCATCTATATGTAGACGCCGCTGCTCCAAGGTTGGGGAGCTCATCTCACCAACCAGACGGCATCAGGGTTATGGAATCAGCTAGAAAGCAAGCTCCACATAAAACTCATTAGAGATGAAAGCTGTAATCAACGCCATAAGACATTGGAGCAACATTCTACAGAATGCGCACCTGATGATACATACCCCGACAACTCGACAGTGGCGTTCTATGTGAACAGGCAAGGCTCAACGAGATCACGAACCTTTTGACTTTAACCTTTCAACTGTTCAATTAATCCAAGATCTAAATCTACATGTCAAAGCATGCCACATTCCCGAGCCAGGAATATACTAGCAAACGACTCTCTCGGCCACATCTACCGTCACGACAGAATGGATGCTCAATACAGAGATATTTGCACAGATAATCAAGCAAATAGGAGCCGCCTAGTAGATCTATTCGCCACAAGATTCAACAATCAACTACCGACATTCGTGTCACCAGTTCCAGACCCACAAGCATGGGCAACGGATTTAAGCATATCATGGAAGGCTCAATGCGTGCATCGCTTCCCCTTCAGCAATAATACCTCAAGTAATACAGAAAATCAGCCAAACACAGAGCCTACAACTCATTTTGGTCGCTACCTACTGGCCAGCCAGAACGTGGTTTCCCAGCTCTAATACAAGAAATCGGGTCAACCGGCACTAGAGCTACCCAAGCGCCCAAAGCTGTTAATACATCCACACACCAAACAGGTGCACAGAAACCCAGAAGTATTCAAACTTCACGCATGGACTGTATTAAAATGTGTTTTAAACAAGAGAGGATATTCTACCAGGCGCAAAAGCGGTCACGCTTTGCCTTCTACGATACTCAGCGAAAAACTTGTACGACGACAAGTGGCACAGTTTCAAAAATTATGCAGCAAACAAGGGTTTTACAGCAAGAGATGCCACGCATCCTCAAGTGGCAGACTATTTGTGTTACTTCTACGGCAAAACAAACATTTAAAAGGCTCGACATTGTCAACATATCTTGCCGCGCTTTAGTTCTGTGATTTCTATGAGAACGGGTGTTAAATTAACAAAAACACCAGAGTTACTGGCCTTACTACGTGCTTTCGATTGGAGGACCAAAAGCGGAAGTTCCACCCAGCTTGGGATCTGAATGTAGTGCTACAACACCTCACAAGTGAGGATTATGAACCATTGGAATCGACAACCTTTGAATTTCTATCACAGAAAACAATTTTCCTGTTATCGCTAGCCACGGCAGCCCTAATATCTGAAATTCACGCCTAGATTATGAGAGGATACAGTTTGATGACAATCAAAACACAGCACCTGGGATTAAGATGGGATTTCATCGCCAAAAATCAACTACCAGGACAACCAGACAGGTTATTTCATCGCCCCTGCGCTATCCTCGATTCTCGATCTCAAGATACATTGGACTTATCTCTATGCCCAGTACGAGCTCTCAAAATCTATTTACGATGCCGCTCCAAAACAAGGCTTAAGATCGCTCAGAAGATTGTTCTCCCGTTATCGCCTACTAATCAGACAGAAGTCTCTCGTACCACCATATCTATATGGATAAGAACTGTCATTCTACGCGCCTACAAGGCAGCAGGACTGGACCCTCCAACAGCATCAAATCCACATGAAATCAGGGCATTGGCCTCCACCCTCGCCCTTCACGGTAACTGTTCATTGAATACAATTATGGAAGGATGCTTCTGGAAATCTAACATGGTGTTTGCTAATCACTATCCTTTGGTCCTCGCTCAGCAACTGACAGTCCCTCGTAGGCGTTAATATTCACCCCCACGAGATTATTATGTATATTATACATACATTATTTAGCTTATAACTCCATAGAGTTCTAGGGCTATGTATATAATTAGCTTAGGTTATTCAACTTAAGCTCATACTGAGTTTTATGTTCAGTTGTACAGCTTCTCTATCAGAGTAGCTTGTTATATCTATAAATTGGTATATCAGTCTATTAGTAATGTAATTCCCCAGTTATGGTATATATAACCTATGGCTTATTATAAAGGAAATATCCTAAGTCAATGCCTTTATGAAGTTCCCGCAGGGGTTATTACAGTATAAGTTATTTAAATCTCTAATTATTAATCCAAAGTATTCTGTATGTAATTTTTTGAGTAAAATTGATATTTTATACTTATCCTGACTCATGAGGTTAGCCCTCCCATCCTCCCCACATAACACTTTGGATTTCCCTGTAAATTCAAGTGTTGGGCTCGCAAAATCAGGAGAGAGTGAAGCATGAGGCCAGAGGGTGGCGACACCTGTTCCCGCGCTTGCGGCAGGGGAGGCAACTCTTGGGTGAGTACCAATTAGTGATTTTACATTGAAGGGAGCTTCAATTAAGGAGATACAAGTGTTCCACTATGTTCGCAAGAGGAAGGGGACAAGCAAAAGAGCATGAGTCAGGATAAGTATAAAATATCAATTTTACTCAAAAAATTACATATCTCTTCTATAATCGAGGAAACACAGTATATGGGTATGTATATAATGAGAGTGAATCTGTGACATTTGAATGTTTCTCCAAGGAATTTATTTTGCCCAGTGTTGATATACCTAATATCAAAGAGAATCTGTTTATTACCCAACATTTTCAGTTAGTGAACAATAATAACCAGTGCCTTGAGAGTGAGTGAGTGAGTGTGTTTAGTTTTATGCCGCACTCAGCAATATTCCAGCTATATGGCAGCAGTCTGAAAATAATCGAGTCTGGACCAGACAATCCAGTGATCAACAGCATGAGCATCGATCTACGCAATTGGGAACCAGTGACATATATGTCAACCAAGTCAGCGAGCCTGACCACCCAATCCCGTTAGTCTGCCTTTTACGACAAGCATGGGTTACTGAAGATCAGTTGTAACCTAGATCATCACCCAGATCAACAGCCTTGAGAGTGAAAAGTAGTACAGCATATCATCATCAGTAGCAGGGATATTTGAGATTTCATTTGATTGGGAAGTCATGGAAGCAGGTGATGTCACAATGGTCAGCAAAACATCATGATGCAGTTCATTTCAGCAATGTCACTCAAGCAAGATCTATTTAGGAAACCATTTTGGGATGATCTGGTTAACTGTCATAACTAATTTTGTCCACTTTGTTCAAAATTTATTACTATTTTGCTATCCTGATGGTTTAACCATTTTCTGCAGTATTTGACATTGTTACTCTTTGTTCACAGCAAAACATACGTACTAATGAAAAAGCCCGAGTGATATTCCGTCTCTTCAAACACGTGGAGTACATTCGACCTGGGTCCAGGCTGCTGTTCCGAGATGGCAAGTCTAAAGGAATGGGAGAAGTGATCAAACCGCTTCCCCTTGAGCCTATAGAAAGATGAATCTTCCAAGCAAGATGCAGTAAAAACACTAAATGCTGACTAGGTCTAGTACAGGCCCGGATAGCCCAGATCACGATGTTCTACGATGTGCTTCGATCCAGCTAATGAGTGAACTTTTTCACCTTTTATTTACCACCTGTTGTCATGTTATCAGGAGAAAAGTTTTATTATAACTATTTGTTGACATTGTTATTGTCTCAACTATATATGTTGGTTTGACCGTGTGAGTTTTGTGTTTATATTTTTAGATCTTATTTAAACACTTTTTAACACTTTTTAATACCATTCATCACCTGTTCATGACTTATCACTCAATGAAGACTCATGAAATCTTACATCATGCCATCGTAGACTTGTGAGAGAAAAAAGCGATATCACTTGCGCACAAATTTACTAAATCATGCAGGTTTTCTGGAAGTCTTGCATCTAAGTAACAACACATGTTTTGTCATTTTACACTACGGTCAATAATCTAACTTTTCTGAGAGGCATTTAGAAGTTGGATCAAAAAGGAAAGATGACAATATATGGATGAACAATTTCTTTATGATAGTGAGAGCGACGTTTCAGTGAAGGTTCTAAAGAACTTGTTCATCCATACATTGTCAACTTTCCTTGTCAATAATCTAGTCTTTGATTGTTTGAACTATAATGATTCATTTCCATATGCTTTTATTTAATGTGTTGCAGTTGTAACCACCTTGACTTAGAAACATATTCTTGGTTATTTAGTATGTTTGTCAAGATCAACTATACAGTGAGACCCCAGATACCCAGACACATTCATTTTTGCTGAATAACTGAACATCCTGATACTAGTATCTGGATTTCTACCATCCAGGCTGTGGTGTTAAAACGGTAGTGACAATACACTTCTGGGTTGAAATCACTTCCAAACCAGCATGGTCATTTTGATTTGCCAATAACAGTTCACTCAGTGTCAGGCCTACCAATCACCACCAATACCCTGCTGACCGGTCATTAATCCGGATTAGCAGACCTTGTTTCATGTTATGACGGGGACACCTCACATTCCCCACATCTATTGTTTAGAGTCTGGGTCCACCAGGCCATGACCAATTAGTTAACAAAGGGGGATTAAGGTATAGTTTGTGAGGTTAAACTGTTAAGACATGTGGGACACTCACGCTTCACTTAACACGGTCAGCGGAACATCAAAGCTTCGTGCGGATAAGTGAGTCAATTTTGTGTTGATTTAGACGGTTGGTTTGAAAGAATTTCCATCAGGAAATGGAAAACATGTATCTGTTATAGACAGTCACTTTTATAACGTATGAAAATTGACCGGAAGGCGAGGTTTCTGGGTATCCAGGGTCTGACTATATTTCAATATGGTGATGAAGAATGTTCTTTTGACCATGTTAAGCTTCTCTCTTTTGTGCACTTGTTATTGACACATTTTGTTGTTAGTTATGTCATAATGAAAAATCAATTTGAATCTTTATGATAGCATATGTACACCTGTTTACAGAGATTACAGAATACAGATGCCTCTGTTAAAGAGATGATTGGAAACAGAAGTCTGTTTAGGAGATTCGTTTCATAGTTTTCATGCTAATTGTCTGTCTGTTGACAGTTCCAGTTTGGTTTTATCATACATTTCAGTTTTGTTGTTTCATGTTATGTTCGTTACAGCTTGAAATGTGTTAATTTATGCTTTCACAATTTCACGATACAATTATTTTCTGAAACTGCAGATCATTGTGAAGATTCAACTGAAAATGACTCAATTCTTTCATATTCCTTGTAACTGTTTTTACGAGCACAAAAGCATGCCAAAAATTACCGGTGCATTGCCATATCATGATAGATTGCATGGTAGATGGTACAAATATCGTGTCACAATGGTTACAATTGTCTGCATAAATCTGCCATACTTACTGAGTTTTTGAAGGTTCCTGTATTAATCTGATCATGAATTTGTGTTGTCTTTACATAGACATCTTCCCTGTGAATATTGGGTCGAAACTGGTCTTCAGCAACCAATGTATAGATCAATGCTCATGATGTAATCACTGGATTGTCTGGTCCAGATACTATTGCTTACAGACTGCCATCGTATAGATGAAATACTGCTGAGTGTGTCGTACGCAACATAGACATTTGACATAAAAACATTTTTGAAACAAATACATGTACTGGTATAAGCTTTTAGTATCACAAAATTAGGATACCATTTTGTTATGGTGTGATGTGTATCAGGCCTTGAACAAAGTCCTGTGACATTATAAGTTATATGCTTCTCTCGAGGGTAATACGGTCTGGTGATGTCCGCCTTTTTTGTAGCAGTGTTACCCGAGCCGGCAGGCGAGGGATGACACTGCTACAAAAAGGCGTACATCAGTGAACTCAATTTCAAAAACAACTAATCGAACAGTTTTCCAACTCCGTGCACTGCATGCGTCATATTATGATGTCATAAGATTGTTAGCGATGGAGCTTCTTGGTGGAGTTTTTTCCAGTTGACACCCTCCTGGGAGGGGTGACACATAAACTTGTTAAAGCGTCATTGACCAATGAAATTAAAGTAATTTACATGATGGTAAGATAAACATGTACCGGTATATAATGATACTGCAACTTCTGCGTCATGGTTCAGTCTCGCCACAAAGCGTTCTTCATTTTGTGACAGCATGTATAAAAAATCTGTGTTGACAGTAGACTGTTTGAACTGTTATGATGAAGATTAGATTTCTTCATGAAATAAAATTAATACAGTCATATATTATGTGCTGTATATTTAAGGATTGTGTTTTTTTGGACATTTTTTGTGCATATATTGAAGGATAACAGTCAGAAATTGTATAAAATCATGGAGCAGAGCAGCTCCCCATATTATGTTTCATTTTCATTTCATCATAATTCACCAATTGTTGCGTGTTTTCTTGAAAGAACAATACTATGATCTGCAGATATGTATGTGGGTCCTGAGGGCAGTCAAATTTGGTCTCTTTAGTCAGCAGTCAATTTTTTTCGTTCAGCTAGTGAAAAAGACAAATGATTAGTGGTCAAAGCTGTCAAGTTGATTGTAAAGTTTGGAATCATCTCTCAAAATGCTGTAGGGGTCTGTAGGGAAACAGAACACAACACCTAGTTATGCTTTCATTTTGCTCAAATGCCAAGCGGAGGTGGTGTAGCCCAGCAGTTAAAGCGTTCGTTCATCACACCGAAGGCCTGGGTTCGATTCCACATATGAGTACAATATGTGAAGCCTATTTCTGGTGTTCCCTGCTGTGATGTTGCTGGAATATTGCTAAAAGCGGCGTAAAACCCAACTCACTCACTCAAATGCCAAACATGACTGGTTTTGTTGTGTTTTGTTATGAGAAACAGCAAAGTATGATTGACACTGGACAGCTTTTCTTTTGACAATTTATGTTAATCTTTCATGAAAATAATTTGACTTTTGAAAAGTATCTTTCAGCTGTTTGATGCTAAACAGTATATCTTATCAGGATATTTGTTTTGCTCCAGTTTTCCCAGGTAAATGTAACTTAGGTATTTCAGCCATGGCGTCCCAGCAAGAACCTCCTAGTCTTTCATTATGACAGTTTTGAAATAAAAATATCATTTGCTTCCCAGTGTATAGATGTCTGGCAACTGATTTGTTAAATGTTGTTTCCTTTTCTATATGTCAAGAAACAGTTATCGATAGTTAATTATATTAGCAAAAGAGGTCCTTGTCATAATCTAATGATAAACTAGGGTTTTGGTGGAAGGGGGCAATCCCCAGATTATACCATCATGCCCCAGACACACATTATATTTCTAGCTATGCATAAAACTTGGCATTTTAAACTGTGAAAATATACAGAAGAAGAGCATGTCTAAAATGTTGTTTTGAAACAATTAGGTTTTTCATGTTATTGGAATTTCAGTGTAGAAAATAATGTATTTCTGCAGGGCACAAAGTGTCTGTGTTTGTTGACTATTATGTGATTTGTTGTACAAATTCATAAGGCCACTCTGTGTGAAGAATACTTTCAGTTTATGCAGTATTGATGAGGAAAGACTGAAATGTCATTGCTACAGATAAAACTGTATAAAATGTATGCTATCTCATGTTAGCGAGATCAGGAAAAATATCAAAACTGATATTTGTAATCGCTGATACTTATTTAGTTTCATATGAAACTCTTTAGCCATGATCTCGTATCTCAGAGCATGTAGAGATATTGTAATCTAGATGTGCAAGATGTTCAGTTTTGTGTAAGCTGTATGTGCATTTGATATTTATTTTGATTTTATAAGCATAATTATCGGGTAAAAAAAATCAGGACAATTAAAAATGTGTTAAGGAATGTATACAAAATGCTATATGTAAGTGATGTTCCATTGAAAGTAAGATGGAGATTGACTTAGCAATACAAGCTTTGTTCTAGATATTTTGTTATGTTCACATGTGAAGTCCTATGTGTTACATTATATGCCGAGTCAGCACTGACTGATGATGTATAGGTACAGCAGAACCTGGGGGCCCTATGGGGGAACTACCCCATACCATACACTTTGCTAGTAATTCAGGGATTAAGTGAGGATTCTACACTCCGTGGATTAGGCATGCCATGGGGAAGTCATTGTTTTGCTTTCCTAAATTCAAATTATTTGAACATATCATTTTTGCAATAATGTAAACTTGAGCAAAGAGCCTCTTGGTCTTCAATGAACATATTATCAGTGATACACAATGTACCTCTGCAAAGCCATAAATATTTATGAAACATTAAATGCAGCACAGTGGTGTAGCTGTCAGCATGCTGGCCTCTCACTCAAAGGCCCGGTTCGACATTTGTGACTGCAGAGGTTTGTCCCTGGGCATTTCGTCTGCAGCACCCAGCTGTTGAAATGAACCACTGAAATGAAATAATAACCATTTCAGAAATTACAAGGTGACTACACACATCACTTGGATTCTAGGCAAATATTATTATTATTATTATTAAAACATTTAGTTTCTTTGGGACTGCTGCAGAGGTTTGAATATTTGTCTCTGAGCATGTTTAGATGATCCACTGTAATGAAATAATAAGCTATCAGAAATTCAAGGTGACTAACTGTCTTTACTGCTATTTGAAATAAGCTTCGACAGGATTTTACCATAAATTGTGACAAACAAATTATCTGGGTTTTATGCAACACAGAAGTGTGTGTCTAGTATGCACAAATGTATAGAATGGAGCATTATAGAATGGACACACTTAAAATAAGTATCCCGTACCGAGAGACAAACAAGAATATTGATTGTACCAAATTCTTGACAAGAAAAATATAGTTGCAGGTAAAGTTATCATTTAATCTTACCATACAATACACTATTTCATTACTTCACAGGACCATAATATTTGGGGAGTCTGTACAAATTCTGGTATGCATCTGCATATATCTCCTCAACATTACAGGGAAGATTGGGAACAGAATAGAAACAATCCAAGCTGAGTTTGGTAATCCCCCATGGTGGCCCCACTTCGTTCTGCTGTATTTTCATGTGTTCATCTGCTGTGGTCAATGTTTTACATTTCCTACAAGGATTGCTGTGATATGGACGGAATCACACTTGTGTGTTTCACCAATTTCCCAAGTTTTTTCCTCAAATCGTAATTAAAAATTCAAACATTTTTCTTTGTTTTGTGTGATGATATTTTTCAACACTTGAATCCTGCAAAAGACTTGGACACAGTTGATGGCTCTCAGTTCAAATACCTTTGCCAACCTCAAGAGTCATAAGCCCCACATTTTGCACAGTCAAGTTCAGGTAGAATCCAGGGCCTAGATTTTCGAAGCTCTCTTAGTGCTAAGATAGTCGTAAGTGCCATAGCTTAACATTAACTTACGACTATCTTTCGAAAATCTAGGCCCTGGGCCCACTTGCACAAAGTGATCTTAGCGCTACGACTGTCGTAAGCCTAAGTTAGAGAATGGGAGTTACAATCATCGTAGCGCTAAGATCGCTTTGTGCAAGTGGGCCCTGGCCTGGAGGGAAGGAATCG